CAGTTCCACCATATATGGATAAGGGATCCGTCCAAGCAACCACATCGCCAGCAATGAGGATTTTGGCCCGGGTACATCCTACTGATCCTGCATGGGGTCAGATACCATTTGTACATAAGCTTGTATTGACATCCTATTAGGTTCAAACAGGGAATATGTTTACGGATGTCCTTAAAAGAAGAACACCATTCATTGTCAGTAATGTCAATATCTAACTTGTTTTTCATTTATCAATTATGTTTGAAGGTTGTTGATCAAAAATAATTAACATGTTAGTGGCCTTAGAGAGAATTTTTTAACCTTGGTATGGCTAAAGTTGCCTTGAGTGAGAATATCAATTTTTGGGGGAACTTTCAATAAAACCGTATTCAAAAATGTTTTAATTCTCAGATACGTGAAAAGTTCCTTGTTAGGGAGATTTAATTTAGATTTAATGTTGGCAAAAGGTAGAATTTGGTTGTCTTGGAGGATATCCAATAAATATAAAAGTATAAAATCAGTCTTACTCACACTTTTCAGAGCTAGGATCAGCTCTGATATTGCTCGCGTAAAGTGGAATGATCCCCACTTCAAGGATATATGGAGTGAATTTTGATAGTTGAATATCTGGCGTGGGTTCAGCGTTCAATTTGACGTAATACGACCCAGAGGAAAAAATTAAAATATATAGTGCTCACTGTATGTAATCCAAAATTAAAAGAAAGTAAAGTATACTACTCACGTAAAGTAGAGCAGACTCAAAACTGCTCAGTGAAGGCGCTCGGGTGGTATAATCCCCACCTATGGATTCTTTGCACTTCCTGCAGGGTGAGCCGTATACGTAAAATCAAATAAAAGAAAATGTATGTAAAATCATACCTCTTTCCTACTATCTACTTGAAGAAGCCTGTTAAGGCGAAACGCGTTTAGATATTAATAGATTTTGTTCTTAATTTTATAATAAAGATATTTTATTGGCATAAAATACTTTATTGCCATTTGCTTTCTCCTTTACCCGATTTTACATACATTTTCTTTTATTTGATTTTACGTATACGGCTCACCCTGCAGGAAGTGCAAAGAATCCATAGGTGGGGATTATACCACCCGAGCGCCTTCACTGAGCAGTTTTGAGTCTGCTCTACTTTACGTGAGTAGTATACTTTACTTTCTTTTAATTTTGGATTACATACAGTTTTTATTTTTCTCTCCACATATGCTGAATTTTCAACATTTGAAGATACGATCCCATCTACACCCTAAAGAATATTCCTTTACAAGTGGGACCTACCCTCACGGACTGTGATAAGCCCATTTTATTGGACTATTGTTTTATTACTTATTTTATTCTGTATTTTAGCTGACTAATTTAGTCCTTTATTTTATCATAATTTTAAGTTTTAGGCGCATCCTTATATCTTTGTTTGTTTTTGCTATCTGTTACCATTAGGGGATTATTGGGGACTCCCCTTTGAGGAGTGCTGCCTTTCCTAATAATTTTATTGTGGCAATTTAGCGCTGATTTTTTTCTCTTTTTCCATTGGAATTTGGACCAGTTTTTTAAAGAGATGTCTTTTATATTATCCTCCAAAGTGGCCAGGTGACATGATTTATCACAAAAAAACAAGCAATGAAAGGCGCTGTAATTAAAACTAGTGTTTTATTTAAAATGTGAACAAATAGAAAGATAAAAATGTAAAGCAGCACCTTTATAGTGCCCACGCTCTAAACACACCATGTTTTTTTAGGTGACATGATTTGATTATTTTATTAGAGATTTTTAATTTCTTTTTCAATATTTCCCATGCTCTAATAGTTTGTGATAAGACTAATGATTTACTATTTAACTCATCTGTCACATTTATATTGCTGTTAAGCCATAAGTATACTTCTAGTCTGTCCTTTCCAACAGCTTCAGATTCAATTGTATACCATATATCAATTTTGAACGGTTCGACCTGGAGTTTATATATGTGCCCAATAATGTTGGCATAATAACAATTGTTTAAACCCGCTTGATGGTATTTCTTGGAAATGACTTTAGAACTTATTCTTGTTTTTTTTTTATTTCAGATAAAAGTTTGGAAGCTGGATTGTATCATGGTTAGCAAGCTGTCTGACATTTGTAGAAGGATCATCCTAAATTGATATAACCACTTGGGAATTATATATGCATTGATAATGGTGATTCTGCTAGACCAGGAGGGCTTTCTTTTAGTTTGATATTAGTATATTTCAAGAGGTTCAAAACATTTGTTTCCATAATGTTATCTACTTGAGTTGAAATTATGACCCCCAAATAATAAAAGACCTCCTTAGACCATACAAAATCATACTTCACTCTTAAATTACGGAGGATGAAATTATCAACCATAGTGGTTACAGCAATTGATTTAGTTACATTGAGTTTATAGTTGGATTCTAACTTTTTATCTCGGATAGAACTTGGGGTATAGAAATTGCTGGGTAAGTAAGTGTTAATAATATGTCGTCAGCATAAAGTGATATTTTTGCTTCTGACTTGTTAGTAGGGAAACCCTTAATATAATGGTTTGATCTGATATTAATTGCTAATGGTTCGAGAGTTAAAATATAAAGGAGTGGGGATAAAGGACATCCCTGCCGTGTACCATTTTTTAAATTAAACCAGCTTGATAAGATATTAACGCCAACAGTTCTCGCTGTCGGTTCAGAGTAAAGGGCCATAATGGCATCGTGAATCCAACCCACAAATACAAAAGAAGTCAGTACAGCGTCTAGGAAACCCCAACTGACCCTGCCAAAGGCCTTTTCGGCATCTAAAGACAGGGTCAGTAATGGGATCTCCCGTCACCGTGCGCTGTCCAGAATGTCCATGATTCTTCTAGTACAGGTCTCTAATGACCTTCCAGGAATAAAACCAACCTGATCTGAATGGATAACGCTCTCCACAAATGGTTTTAATCTATGTGCTAAAATAGTTACATATATTTTCATATCTGTGTTTATCAATGAAATTGGTCTATAGTTTTTAACATCTGTTGCATCTTTATTTGGTTTTAGAATTGGAAGGATGTTAGCTTGTAGCAACTCCTTTGGCGTTTTAGCTCTTTTGGCCATTTCATCGAAAAGAGCCATTAAAGGTGGAGTTATCTCTTTTTTCATAATTTTATTAAAAAAAATTACTAAATTATTAAATTCATCTAGTTCAAGTTTATCAATCTCTCTTTCCACCTCAATCGCGGTACACTCACAATTAAGTTAATCTAAATCTGACTTAGTGATTTTTGGGGTATCTGTGTCTTCTAAATAATTATTTATTTCTTGATAGTCTGAAGGAGTGTTAAGATTATATAATTTACTATAGAAATCATTGAATAATAATCCAATATTTTCCGGGGAAGAGTAAGTAATTTGACCAATTTATTGATTCTATTGGTTGAATACTATTTTTTTTAATCTCTTAGTTAATTTTTCATTTGCTCAATTACCTTGATAATAAGTACTTAGTCTCAGTTTGTTAATTGTTTTTTGATCTTTTCTTCTGTTTTTATATTTATTTGCTTTTGGAGTTCTAGGAGCATTGACCTAAGTTGGTTTGATGGTTGGTCTTTATTAAGTTTAGACACTGTGGTGAAACCAACCTCGCCACTGGGCATTGGAGAAGCCTGTTTGCCCGCTTCCTGCCTGCTGATTATGGCCCCTGGGAGATTTGACCCTTTAAATACAGTATTTGGGCATATTGTATTTTATTATGCTGCTGCTGGCCCTTTAAGAACCATCTGGGGACATACTGTGGAGTTACTGGGTGGCCACCATTTCATGTATCAGAGGCACATGGTGAGAACAATGGATGAAGCACATGGTGAGAACAATGGATGGCAGCCATTTTAACTCACAGACACTGTTTGGACTTTTCTACACGGTGCCATTTTGCCAGTATTTGGTGCACAAAGACATCATTCAGTAGTTTTAAACTATACAACAGGGGACACATTATACAGTAATTATTTTTCATAAAGCCTGTATATGTTCTGCGGAATCTGCATTAAACTGCATCTTCCAAACTACTGAATGGATCTGGGTGAATTTTGGATATGTGGTTCACCCAGATCCCCCGGTTTCCGAGGATATATGGGGTTATTGCATGTTTTGGAGTCCCTGTGATGTGTTTTATGATACTGTATTTCTCTGCCTGTGATAATTAGATTAACCATTGTGTTCAGTAATCATATCACAGGCAGAGGGGAGGATTTTGTGTGGGAGTGTCTGTGTGTATTGTACGGATTGATTGGTTGTACTTCAAAACCCTGTGGGGAGTACTATGTTTGTGGATTGGGAATAAAAGAGGCTGTATGTGCCAGTACAGTCAGTTCTGCTTGACCTCAAAACGAAGTGTCGTCTCGTTATTGGGGGAATTGGATTGTATTCTGATTGCCAGGAGTGTAAGCTGATTGTAGGCTTTTCCTGTTCAGCTGCTTACAGCATTCATATGCTTGAGAGCATTCATATGCTTCTCCCGTTCGGTGGTTGTGGTGTCTGCTGCAGTGCTTGGAGTCCTCAGGAAGCGCTAGGAGCATCCTTCAACGGAGGTACCCAGTCGGGGTGCCAGGCGATCCGTTACATTGGTGGCAAGCGGTGGGATGGCGTCTTAGTGCGAGGTAAAGCAGCTCAGTGACACCGGGAGTAGAGGTATCCAGCGACTGGGAGCAGACAGGTATGGAAGGCTCTGGCTCTGAAGATGATTGGCTGGCCGAGGTGAGGCAGCAAGTGGCCCAGTAAGGGGATGATGTACCCATGGAGATACGCCGTGTGATCTGGAACCAGGTCATGGCCAAGCGAAACACAAGGCTGGCCCGAGAATTCCGGCTGGGGAAAGAGAGAGAGTATGCTCAGCGGGAGGAGTGTTACAGCAGCCGAGTAGAGGCTGCATCCGAGGAGGCTAGCCATCTCCCCCTGAGGCGGCCGTAGGAACCCGAAGTAGGGGCCCTCATATACTGGTCCTGTGAGGAACCACAACAGGCAGGTGGAGATGAGACTGAGGTCTCTCCACTGGGCCCACCGGGATGCTGGGCAGCCGGCCCAGATCCCCAGCAGCAGCTGGAGTTGCCAGGTGCGGAAGCAGGTGGTCCTTACTCGCAAATGTTGAGGGACCTCACAGACTGGTCCTGGGAAGACCCACAGATGGCAGGTGGAGATGGGACGGCGGTCTCTCTACCGGCCCTACAGGGATGCTGGGCGGTCGGCCCAGATCCCCAGCGGCAGTATGTATCACAGGGAGCTGAAGGTGCTGTCCTTCCTCCCCAGCGGCAGTATGTATCACAGGGAGCCAAAGGTGCCGTCCTTCTTCCCCAGCGGCAGTGTATTTCACAAGGGTAGACCTTATTCTCCCAGATGGGGCAGATGAGACAGTCGGTCTCGCTTCTCAGCAGCAGGACAATATATTGAAAGGGGAGACAGTCGGCCCCCCTCTCCACCAGCAGAGAGAGTGTCAGGGAGAGGGGCCTGTTACCCCCTTTCCCCAGTGGCTGAAAGTGTGTAAGGGAGAGGAGCTTGTTACCCCCTCTCCCCAGCGGCAGCGTAACCCACCAAGGGGAGCCACTAAGCCCCCCACCAGCGCAGATGGGACCGTGGTCTCTGCGCCCAAGCTACAGGGAGTACGGACAGTCGGTCCTGCTCCCCAGTGGCAGAGTATTCTACCAGGAGGGGAGAGTCTCATTCCCCCTCCCCAGTGGCAGCATAGCCCACCAAGGGGAGACACTAACCCATCCATCAGCGCAGATGGGACCATGGTCCCTGTGCCCAAGCTTCAGGGAGTACGGACAGTCGGTCCTGCTCCCCAGCGGCAGAGTATTCTACCAGGAGGGGAGAGTCTCGTTCCCCCTCCCCAGCAGCAACCTAGCCCACCAAGGGGAGATGATAAGCCCCACACCGGTGCAGATGGGACCATGGTCTCTGTGCCCAAACCAGATGGGACCATGGTCCTGTCCCCCTGCAGCAGGGCTGTTTATCCAAAGGGGAGACAGCCTGTCTTCCCCTCCAGCAGCAGCCCCAGGTCCGGAGTGAGGAGCCTACTACGCCGTTCCCTCACTTGGGCTCCAACCAGGCTACTCCCGTGGTAGCGCTGGCACCAGGGCAGAGTACCGCTGGTCTCTGCCCACCCAGCAACCCACCGATCCAGAGTGCTAGTACCCCCCAGAGCCGAGGTGGAGCTCCTGGACCTGGACAAGCGACCCACTACTCCTGGTGTAGTAACCAATTTTTGTGGGGTGGGTGGGTTATACTGCGGATTCTGTTTTGTGGGTGGGTTGCTGGACTAACCAAGGCACTGACCGACAGGAGGCCAGATACCTTGTTAGTCTTTTTGGGAAAGGGGAGAAATGTGGCGAAACCAACCTCGCCACTGGGCATTGGAGAAGCCTGTTTGCCCGCCTCCTGCCTGCTGACTATAGCCCCTGGGAGATTTGGCCCTTTAAATACAGTATTTGGGCATATTGTATTTTATTATGCTGCTGCTGGCCCTTTAAGAACCATCTGGGGACATACTGTGGAGTTACTGGGTGGCCACCATTTCATGTATCAGAGGCACATGGTGAGAACAATGGATGATACTGTATTTCTCTGCCTGTGATAATTAGATTAACCATTGTGTTCAGTAATCATATCACAGGCAGAGGGAAGGATTTTGTGTGGGAGTGTCTGTGTGTATTGTACAGATTGATTGGTTGTACTTCAAAACCCTGTGGGCAGTATTATGTTTGTGGATTGGGAATAAAAGAGGCTGTATGTGCCAGTACAGTCAGTTCTGCTTGACCTCAAAATGAAGTGTCGTCTCGTTATTGGGGGAATTGGATTGTATTCTGATTGCCAGGAGTGTAAGCTGATTGTATGCTTTTCCTGTTCAGCTGCTTACAGCATTCATATGCTTGAGAGCATTCGTATGCTTCTCCCGTTCGGTGGTTGTGGTGTCTGCTGCAGTGCTTGGAGTCCTCAGGAAGCGCTAGGAGCATCCTTCAACGGAGGTACCCAGTCGGGGTGCCAGGCGATCCGTTACAGACACATTGAAATATTGTATGTTTAAATCGGTCAAGTCCATGTTTATTGCAGTTTTGGTTTGTTTTTCTATTTTAATAAGGTAACCTCTAACAACTGCTTTATATGTAGCCCATAGGGTAGAGTCAGAAATATCAGGGTTAGAGTTTTCCAGCAAGAAAAATCTAGATAACGTTATTATGGAATCTTGGTTTAATTTAGTTTTGAAGAGCGAATCGTCCGTTCTCCAAGAGTTTGTACATTTGGGTAAAAGTTTACCTATTTCTAGTATTATGAAACTGTAGTCGGACCAAGTGCTATCTTTAATTTGAATTGTGCTGATTTCTTTGAGTGTGTTAGCAGTAACTAGACATAAGTCTATTCGAGAATATGAATTGTGGACTTTAGATAACTGCGTAAAATCATGAGAGTCTGGATGTATTGCTCTCCAGGCATCATATAAGCCGTGTGTGGAACATATATTGGACAAAGTCCTAGATTGTTTGTATATCTGGCGATCAAATCTCAGCTGGATATGTGTTTTTTTTTTTAATCCATTTTGGGATCAAGAACACAGTTGAAATCGCCTGCTATTAGTAGAGTACCTGTAGCTATATTTTCCAATCTGCTCATGATTTTTGAAAACAGTGCAGTCGGATTATTATTTGGCAAATATAAATTAACCAATGCATATATTGTGCTTTCGATTTTACAAACGATTATAATAAATCTTCCACAGGGGTCGCTGTCAATTAATATTACTTCATGTTTTATATTTGAATCAAAAATAATCGCTACTCCATATTTTTTGTTATTTTGGAGAGAAGCCTGGTATATACATTTATATTTTTCTCCTCCCCATTTGTGTGATTCAGATCTCAACCAATGGGTTTCTTGAACAAAAGCTATTTGTATCCGATTTGATACTAAAGCATCATAAAACATCTGCTTTTTCCTTCTTATATTTAAGCCTTGTACATTAATAGACATGAGTCTTAACATCTAGATTTTAGGGTTTGATATATATTGATCGGGTGATAAATGCATAATTCAAATGCTAGGGTAAATATTTGCGGACTGACCATGTCCAGTTCACCATATAAACATAAACACAAACAACAGAAAAAGAAACAAAAAATGAAACAACATCGTTTCATCAACATTTAACAATAAGTTCCCCAAGGACTATTACCCGTGTGATTCCCTGATCCTCCAGCAGATATAGACTATTAGGGGTACCTGTGAAAACTTCACAGAAAGAGGGGATAAAATAGGGCAGCCAAGGACTTTGGTGAAACTATATATGTAAGGTAGTTAAGTCCCTTATAAATACCCTTTATAATTAGGTAACATTACTTAATTCAGGTGAATAAAAATATCTATACTTTCCCCTTTTTATGTCTATTCCATTGTCTAAACAAAGTGACTAGCAGTCAGTAAAAATCTAGTAAATGGAAAAAATGTAAACACGTGTTACAACAAAAGTGAATACATTAAAAATTTAGCATCGCATTGTGCCCTTGTAGCTTTTATCAATTCTACTATATTCGTCATTGTGTCAGTGAAATAAAAATTAATGAGAAGTGTCTCTTCTTTCTTAATGATCAAAGTATCTAATTAGCGGAAAAAAAAAAAGAGTGGTAATATATACAGAAATTAATAATTGGATTGTATTTATAGATCCCAACTAATTGACTAACATTACTTAAATCAAGTGAATAAAATATCTATTCTTATCCGTTTTTGTGTCTATTCCCTTGTCACATGTGATATTGCACCTTTTGCAACAATTAGGTTTAGCTTAGAAAATGCATACATCAAAAATTTATCATCGTATTGTGCTCTCGTAACTTTATCAATTCTACTGTATTTGTCATTGTGTCAGTGAAATAAAAATAACTACTTCAGAAAAATAACTACTTCAGAAATTATTCATTGGATTATATTTATATATCCCAACTAATTGGGTAACATTATTTAATTCAAGTGAATAAAATATCTATTCTTATCCGTTTTTGTGTCTATTCCCTTGTCACATGTGATATTACACCTATTGCAACCATTAGGTTTAGCTTAGAAAATGCATACATCAAAAATTTATCGTCAAATTGTGCTCTCGTAGCTTTATCAATTCTACTGTATTCGTCATTGTGTCAGTGAAGTAAAAAAAAAATAGGAAAAAAAGAGAAAGAAAAATATATTGACAACAGAAACCGTATAGTTATACCTCTCCCCCTCCAAACCCCACCTCCAACCTTTATGAGACTAAACCAGTGACTTATTCTGTAACCACGCCTTAAGCTTATCAGGGTGGTCAAAAGTCTCTATATTTCCATCTATTTGTATCATCATTTTTGTTGGGAAGCTCCATCTGAATCTAATATTGTGTCTCTTAAGAATATTAATTTCCGGCATAAACATTCTTCTTTTCTTTCTGGTGTTGATGTTTGAGCACAGCCCGTCCTTAATGACTTTGTCTCTAATAGCTTTTAGAACTTTCTCCTTAAATTCATATGAATGAAAACAGGTGATTATGTCTCTGGGAATATCAGGTGCTATATTTGATGGTTTGTTTAATCTGTGACATCTGTCAATTTTTTCATTGTAGCCATCTAATTTTAATCCCAGAGTTTTGAAGTAATCATACAGCATATTTTGTAAATCTTCTTGCTTATGAGTGTCCTTAAAGTTATGGAACCTAAGATTTTTCCTGCGGGATCTGTCTTCAGGGTCTACTATTTTATTTTCAAGATTGCAAGTTTTTGATGTCAGTGTATTAACTACTTCATTTAACCCCTTAAGGACCAAACTTCTGGAATAAAAGGGAATCATGACATGTCACACATGTCATGTGTCCTTAAGGGGTTAATAAAGTTATCTGGAAATCAGTGTTCTTCAGTCGGTCTTCCATATCCTGAAATTTATCTGTTAGTTTGACAATTTCACTTTTTACTTCATGATGCATTTCTGTGGAATTTATTGAAATTTCCTTCATTTCTTCTAAAATAGATTGTAAACTTGCATTCAATGTTTTAATAGTGACTTCTTCATTATCCTTGTCTTTGCTAGTTTCCATAGAAGATAGATCTTGATTTGATAATGATAGTCGAGATGTGTTGCTTTTAGGATCTTTAGATTGAGGGGAAAAATATACAGCGAGATTTTGTTCTTGTTTGGTCTCTCTTTTATCACGTTTAGAAGAAGGCTTAGATTCTGAGGCTATTTTTTTAGTAGCCATTATTATTAGGTATGAATAATTTAGGGTTTATAGATTTTAATCTTTGGCTCTTATTTTCCCCCTTTTTTTTTCCTTTCCTTTTTTTCTCTATCTTTTCCCCCCTCCTTTCCGAGCCTTTCTCTGTGCCTATATCTCCTCTATTACCTCGCCCCCGTCTTTGTTTTTTTTTCCCTTCAGTGCTTTTTTCCTATGCTGGTAGCGGTTATTCTGCTTATTACTTTTTTGTGATACTTTTTATTGAGCTTTTACATAACAGCAGCTACTTGCTTTTATTGAACTTTTTGTTACGCTATCCGATTTGCAAAACATACAAATACAGGGAATATTTTTCACTGCTACTTACTTGTGAATACACACACAGACACAGACTGTTGAATACATTCACACAGGCAGCTGAGTACACATAGACAGACTGCTGAGTACACACACACATTGACTGCTGAATGCACACACACACACACACACACACACCGACTGCTGAATACATACACACACACACTGCTGAATACATACACACACACACTGCTGAATACATACACACATACAAACTGCTGAATACACACAAACAAACTGCTGAATACATACACACACATTGCTGAATACACACACATTCTGCTGAGCACACACACAAACAGACTGTTGAATACATTTACACTGACTGCTGAGTACATACACACTGACTGCTGAATACATTCCCACTGACTGCACACACAGACTTCTGAATACACACACAGACTGCTGAATAGACACACACACACACACACACACACACACTGCTGAACACAGACACATGTACCTGCTCTCAGGACTCCTGCTGCCAATCTTCCATATGCTTCTTCTGTAGTTCCTGTTCCTCCTACTCCTCCCATGCGGATTCTGTTAGTGGAGAGGGAAGGGACATGCAGCGATATCCCATATCAGCCCTCTCCACACAGCTCTAGTACCAAGAGTTGATCAGATTGTTGATTGTGGCCTGTGGAATGTTGGTCCACTCCTCTTCAATGGTTGTGCAAAGTTGCTGGATATTGGCAGGACCTTGAACACGCTGTCATAAATGCCGATCCAGAGCATCCCAAACATGCTAAATGGGTGACATGTCCAGTAAGTATGCTGGCTATGAAAGGACTGGAATGTTTTCAGCTTCCAGGAATTGGTTACAGATCCTTGCAACATGGGGCCGTGCATTACCATGCTGCAACATGAGGTGATGGTCGTGGATGAATGGCATAACAATGGGCCTCAGGATCTCCTCACAGTATCTCTGTGCATTCAAAATGTGCATTCAAAATGCCATCAATAAAATGCACCTGTGTTCATTGTCCATAACATACACCTGCCCATACCATAACCCCACCACCACCATGGGCCACTCGATCCACAACATTGACATCAGCAAACCGCTCACCCACATGACGCCATACACGCTGTCTGCTATCTGCCCTGTACAGTGAAAACTGGGATTCATCTGTGAAGAGAACACCTCTCCAAAGTGCCAGACACCATCGAATGTGAGCATTTGCCCACTCAAGTCGGTTACGATGATGAATTGCAGTCAGGTCGAGACCCTGATGAGGATGACGACAATGCAGATGAGCTTACCTGAGATGGTTTCTGACAGTTTGTGCAGAAATTCTTTGGTTATGCAAACCGATTGTTGCAGCAGCTGTCCGGGTTGCTGGTCTCAGACAATATTGGAGGTGAAGATGCTGGATGTGGAGGTCCTGAGTTGGTGTGGTTACACGTGGTCTGCAGTTGTGAGGCCTGTTGGATGTATTGCCAAATTCTCTGAAACGCCTTTGGAAACGGCTTATGGTAGAGAAATGAACATTCAATTCACAGGCAACAGCTCTGGTGGACATTCCTGCAGTCAGCATGCTAATTGCATTCTCCCTCAAAACTTGTGACACCTGTGGCATTGTGCTGTGTGATAAAACTGCACATTTTAGAGTGGCCTTTTATTGTGGCCAGCCTAAGGCACACCTGTGCAATAATCATGCTGTCTAATCAGCATCTTAATATGCCACACCTGTGAGGCGGATGGATTATAGTGGCAAAGGAGAAATGCTCACTAACACAGATTTAGACAGATTTGTGAACCATATTTGAAAGAAATAGGCCCTTTGTGTACGTAGAAAAAGTCTTAGATCTTTGAGTTCAGCTCATGAAAAATGAGGGCAAAAACAACAGTGTTGCATTAATAATTTTGTTCAGCATATATTACATATATGCAAGGGAATTGTCAGGGAGCTGTTCCTATGATGAGGGTCAACTAAACTGTGGCAGTTACAAGGGAAAAAGTCTTAAATGCAACCCTGCTCAACTCTTTGCACCTCATTCTCTTTTCTTGTTTTTCTATCCCCCTATTACAAGTCCCCATTCTTGTGTTCCTTATTACCTATTACAGGTCTCTATTCCTTTATTATTGAAGGTTCCGATTCCACCATTAATGTTCACTTTTGCCCTGTTACTTCTTTCATCCCTTCACTCATTTCAGGTTCCCTTTGCCTTGTTATACAGGTCCCAGAGTGTATCACATCGGGGGGGGGGGGCCACTGTGCGTAAGACTGCTGTGTGTATGTTGGTCTGTCTGTCAATATGTATCTATGTGTGTTTGTGTTAGTATCTGTGTGTATGCTTATTTGTGAATGTGTCTGGGAATGCGTATGTGTTTGTGTGTGTCTGCCAGGGGATGGCTCGCAACTTGTGGCCTTGGGGGCAAAAACAATTTAGTGGCCCATAGTGCAATTCTAGCAATCCATTAACATCAGCGACAGAAATAAGTACACAAATGAAATAGATGTACAACACATACAATATAATTGAATAGAAAGAATTAAAGTGCTAAACACTTGGGCATTTAGATGTGAAAAATGGTATATCATGCCAATGGGCTATAAGTGCCTCCAAAAAGTCTCTCAGTGTCATTTGTGCCCCCAAACATCCTGCCAGTGTCATCTCTTTGCCACCAGCCACTCTGTGTCATCTTCCTGCCCCCAGCTTCTCTGTGACATGTTTCTGCCCCCTGTCTCTCCTTGCCAACTCTCTGCCCCCAGCAGCTCTGTGCCATCTCTCTACTCCCAGCATATCTGTGTCATCTCTCTACTCTCAGCATATCTGTGCTATCTTTTTGCCACAAACAACTTGCTCAGGCACCCTGATTTCATCCACAGCACTTGCTCTTCACCCAGATGGCATCCCTTGCACTTTCTCTGCACCAAGATGCCTGGCATCCCCTACACTTACCCCAGGACCCACATGGCATCCCCTGCACTTACCACAGGACCCACGTGGCATCTTCAGCACCTTCCTGGTGTCTATTGTGTGGCAGCATGCTCTCTTGCACTGTGTATGTGCACAGACCTTCTCTCTTTCTGCCTCTCATACTTTCCGTTTGGTAAAAGACAGAGGTTGCAGACTACAGAGAGCACGAGAGACAGACAGACAGGATGCAGGCTGTCCACATACACAGTGTACAGGCACCGCGCTGACTCCCTGTATCTGGCAGAGATGGCTGGCTATAGCCAGCCGCAAAATTTACCGGCAATTCTGCCAGTATATTCTAAATGCCGGCACTGTCTGGATTATCGGCTGTGCTGGTAAAATACCAGCCAGGTGGCAATCCAGCCAGTATGGTTAGAATCATGGGAGTCCTGAGGGACAACTGATATTCACCGATGAAACGGTTAGACCGGGCAGGGAGAGAGTGTACGTCTAAATGGGCAGCCAGCGGGTTTGTTAGGTGCCCCAAGACTTCTGAAAGCAACTCTGACTGTGTACACAAAGTTCCATGCCTTATCTTATAAAACGATCAGAAGAATTCTCAACTTGATAATTAAACAATAATATTTTTAATACAATTAAAACATTTATGAATGAAAATATTACAGAAATTAAAAATGTATACTCTAGTCTCACCAAGAGAATTAACAAAAAAAATATATATATATATTTATCATTTATTTTTTTCCCCTAAATTAGGGTGCACCTCCAAAGACAAATGACTGCTTTAGCAATAGACACAGTAAATGGTGTAATATGAGTATATGTTGGACATGTAACAAGCGGTGTAATTATAGCAGTTTATTTATATGCTCATCAGTGTGCCAGACTTCTTTATTCAGATCAAAGATTTGATGAAATGCTCCTATTATGATTCCGAAATGCAGGAAGAATAGGACTGTTATCTGATCCTCCCCTGTGTCTGACCCTTGCTGCTGTAGCCCTTAATATCTCAATATTCAACGTTCGTATAAAAGCTGGGTAACAGAGAGAAAGTGATGGTTTCTTGAATCAAAAAAACAGAAACAGGCAATGGGAAACAAACAAACTATTTTTACTGCCGAACAGCTTGATACCTACCAAGTAAGTGTATAGCATTTAGCAACTGAAATAAGGTTAGCAAGAAGAATGTATGCTATATCCAGGTCTGTAGGCCTTTGTCTACTTTGGGGAATGTTTCATTTATTTTATTATAATCCATTTAATGTTTAATGAAGTTTCATTGTATGTACATAAAACATGTTATAAAAGAAGCTCTTTCTAGGAATAAACTTGTTTTTTGTTTTCTTTTTTTGTTTTTGTTGTTTTTTTTAATTGTTAATACAGGATTGAGTTGATGTAATATTAATTTTGGTCTGAAGTATTTTTGGGGGCAATTGCAAACTACATTCTGTAAATTCTTTATATCCCACAATAATTATAAACCTGCTGTGCGTAGTGTCAGTCAAATTTATTTATAAACTATTTTACCAGTTAAGATACATTGAGATTTCTCTCATTTTCAAGTATGTCCTGGGTCCACAAAAAATTGCATTGATACATTATGGTACAATAAAATACAAAACAATATTAATACACAATATATAAAAAATTTAACATAGAACAGGTAGGACATGTATAATCAACCATGACACATGCTTTCTGTTTTGAGGTATGTAGAGAGGGATCTCTTAAAGGACTTTAGGGTTGGGGAAGATTTTAAAGTGTGCGGGAGGTCGTTCCACAATTGCGGCGCTCTGTAGAAGAAGAAGGAGCGGGCTGCTTTCTTTTTGTATTGAGGTAGACTAAATAAAGTGCTGGTACTGGATCAGAGGTTATAGGAGGTGGGAACAGCCGAGGAGAGCATTTTGCTCAGGTACGGCGGGAGTTTCCCAGAAAAGCTCTTAAACACGAGGCTGGAAAGATGGAGGGTGCGTCTGGATTCCAGCGACAGCCAGTTTAGTTCTTTTAGCATGTCTCAATGGTGGGTCCTGTAATGACATTGTAGCAAAAATCGGCAGAACGAGTTATACAATGTATTGCATTTATTAATGTGGGATTGCGGTGCAGATGCATGTACTACATCGCTGTAATCAATGACTGGCATCAGCATACAATCTATCAATCTATCTAAATATTTAACATCTCTTTTTCTTTAATAGTATCTATCTATCTATCTAGCAATCAGTATCTATCTAAATATCTAACATAATTGTTTATCAGTATGTATCTATGTATGTATGTATCTATCTATCTCTATCTAAATATTTAAAAAATCTCGATTTCTCTAACAGTATCTATCTATCCCTGCTGATTTTGAACGTTTGCTCACTGACAAAGAAATTATCAGTCTATAATTTTAATGGTAGGTGTTTTTTAACAGTGAGAGACAACATAACAAACAAACAAAAACAAATCCAGAAAAACACATGTCAAAGTTATAAATTTATTTGCATGTTAATGAGTGAAATAAGTATTTGATCCCCTATCAATCAGCAAGATTTCTGGCTCCCAGGTGTCTTTTATACAGGTAACGAGCGGAGGTTAGGAGCACTCTCTTAAAGGGAGTTCTCCTAATCTCAGCTCGTTACCTGTATAAAAGACAACTGTCCACAGAAGCTATCAATCAGATTCCAAACTCTTAAAGACAAATGAGGATGGTTAAATATATGGAGAGAAACCAACCCCACAAGAGATACCTCAAGGTAAAATTCAATATAGGGTAATAAACTTTATTGATTCTAGACTTTACAGATTTACAGATTTCAAACTCTCCACCATGGCCAAGTCCAAAGAGCTGTCAAGGCTGTCAGGGACAAGATTGTAGACCTACACAAGGCTGAAATCGGCTACAAGGTGACAACAGTTGATTATTTGTAAATGGAAGAAACACAAAATAACGGTCAGTCTCCCTAGGTCTGGTGCTCCATGCAAGATCTCACCTCATGGAGTTTCAATGATCTAGAGAACGGTGAGGAATCAGCCCAAAACTACACGGTATCTCAAGGCAATGACCCAAAACACACAGCCAAGGCAACAAAGGAGTGGCTTGAAAAGAAGCACATTAAGGTCCTAGAGTGGCTTTGCCAGTCTCCAGACCTTTATCCCATAGAAATTCTGTACAGGGAGCTGAAGGTTCAAATTGCCAAACGTCAGCCTCGAAACCTTAATGACTTGGAGAGGATCTGCAAAGAGGAGTGGGACAAAATCCCTCCTCAGATGTGTGCAAACCTGGTGGTCAAGTATAAGAAACATCTGACCTCTGTGATTGCCAACAAGGGTTTTGCCACCAAGTACTAAGTCGAAGGGGTCAAATACTTACTTCACTCATTGACATGCAAATCAATTTATAACCTTTTTGATATTTTTTTTTGTTATTCTGTCTCACTGTTAAAATTCACCTACCATTGACATTATAGACTGATCATTTCTTTGTCAGTGGGCAAATGTACAAAATCAGCAGGGGATCAAATACTTTTTTCCCCTCACTGTATCTGTCTGTCTATCAATCAATCAGTATCTCTCTACCTATCTAATATATCAGTATCTATCTAAATATCTAAAAACATTGTTTTTCTAACAGTATCTATCTATCTAAACAGTATCTATCACTTTCAATCTAATTATCTAATAGCATCTCTCTTTCTAGCTATATCTATCTAGCTAAATATCTAACATCTCTTTTTCTCTAACAGTATCTATCTATCTGTCTGTCTGTCTATCAATCAGTATCTCTCTACCTATCTAATATATCAATATCTATCTAAATATCTAACAACATCATTGTCTTTCTATCAGTATTTATCTATCTATCTAGTTAGCTAGCTAAGCTAGAATATGGGAAATGAATAGCAAAAGAATGCAAAACCAACCCCCAATTTTTTTTCAAGTACATAAATTCTAAAAAAAACAAAAAATTAAAGTGTAGGTACACTGGAAACAGAGATGGGTCTGTTAGCCAATGAAGACCAGGAAAAGGCAGACATTTTAAATAACTATTTTTCTTCAGTATATATTAATGAGGATCCTATGGCAAGAGATTGCTGCAAAAAACTTGCAGATAACTTGTGATTGGATGACTCGAGACAAGGTGCTACAGCAGTTAAAGAAAATTAATGTAAATAAAGCTCCGGGGCCTGACGGTATTCACCCACAAGTACTTAAGGAGCTAAGTGGGGAAAGTTTCAGGTATTGTACTGGAGGATTGGAGGAAGGCAGATGTTCCTATATTTAAAAAGGGTTCAAAATCCTTACCTGGACATTAGAGACCTGTGACTGGGAAAATATTTAAAGGGCTAGTAAGGGATAATATTCAGGAATTCATTGGGAAGAACTTTGTTATTAGCAATAATCAACATGGTTTTATGAAACATAGGTCATGTCAGATTAACCTAATTGTATTCTATGAATAAATAAGTAGAATTATGGATCAGTTGTTGCAGTGGATGTGATCTACTTGGATTTTGCAAAGTCATTTGATACGGTTCCTCACAATAGGTTAGTCTTCAAACTAAAAGAAATTGGTCTAGATGAATATTCTTGTTCTTGGGTAGAACATTGGCTTAAGAATAGAGTACAATGAGTTGCCATTAATGGTAAATTTTCAGGCAGGACAAAAGTGGTAAGTGGTGTCCCTTAGGGTTCTGTTTTGGGACCGCTTCTATTTAATATATTTATAAATGATCTTGAAATAGGCATTGAAAGCCATGTTTCAGTGTTTGCATATGACACAAAACTTTGTAAAGTAATAACTTTTTTAACAGTAAGAACAATAAGGATATGGAATTCTCTGCCTGAAGAGGTGGTTTTATCAGAGTCCATACAGATGCTTAACCCCTTAAGGACACATGACATGTGTGACATGTCATAATTCCTTTTTATTCCAGAAGTTTGGTCCTTAAGGGGTTAAACTGCAATTGGATAAATACTTGCAAAAACATAAAATACAGGGATATAATTTCTAATTAGGGGGGTAATAGCTGCTTGATCCAAGGAGACATCTGACTGCTATTTTGGGGTAAAGAGGGAATTTTTTCCTAGTTTGTTGCAAAATTGGAAGCGCTTCAGACTGGGTTTTTTGCCTTCTTAAGGATCAACAGCAAAACATATGTGAGGATGGCTGAACTTGATGGATGCAAGTCTCTTTTCAGCTATGTAACTATATCTATATATCTCTATTTCTCTAACAGTATGCATGTATGTATGTTTCTATGTTTCTGTCTGTCTGTCTGTCTATCTATCTCTACCGAAGGTGGCAAAATATATGAATATGTTTTACATGAACGGTTCTGTTTTATCTCTCAGATGCATCACAGAACATCATCGGGGATCTTTTATAGGTCCTAATATCTTGGAAACAATCATAAAATTATTTTTTTCAAATAGAATGTATTTGATTTTTCTGCAGCCTGGGTGCAGTCTTTTGTGTTTTTTTTTCTCCTTTTTCTGCCAACAAAGCTTTGCACCAAAGCAACCTGTTGAATGTAAAAATGATTTATGCCTTGAATGTGATATTTAAAAAACAAACAAACACATTTTATTTTCATATGTTAACAGGATTGTACCTTCTTTACAAGAAAAGAAATACTCAGGTAAGTAAAAATAGCATTACTTTACAGGAACATAACTATGCTCTAAATCGTTCTTCGTGCAAGCAATTGTATTGAATATTTGAAATAATGTAGCAGGCCTCCCAAATTCCCTATTTCAGAGTCCTGTACCTCCGTCCCCTCGTGGCCTTGATTTTATATTATTGGCAAACCCCAGTCAAGCATTATTGACTGGTTTTGCCCAATATTTTTTAACAAATGTTGACTAAATTTTTAATGCCAGCTGAAATTCTTGCAGCTGAACTGATAAACAGGTTGTCTGCTCGAGATAAAATCTTCGAGCCAGGCAGCCAGGTTTGCAATTTATGTCACTGGCCTGCCCTATTTATCTCGTCCATTAGTATTATGCATCACAGGAACATGATGTCGGGGGGTGTTATGTAGAAGCACCGGTTTTACTCACTGATCATTCACTCAAAAAAAAAATCTGCTCCGGGTTGCTTAATGTCAATTCTGTACTTTACATCTGTTGTTGTTTTTTTAAATTATTTCCATTTTCTGTCATTTTAATTTACATTCTGTGCTATATAAATTAGTTAACTCTTGAACACTTGAAGTGACGTATACATTGCGCATTTGATTCCCATTGAGAACCCTGTCCATCCTTCTGTACACAAGGTTTGTGCATTAGTGTTTGGGACTGTATTATTTATTTCAGGAGGGACGAGTGAAGTGTGTGTATTTTTTATTACTTCTATAATGATACTCAAGTTGAACATTATTATATGACTGTGACACTAGTTAGTTTGCCATTTAATATTTTTAATTGGTAATAATAATATGTACAAAAGTGTGGGTATCAGTGGTGTATTTAGAATTTGTGCTGCCCTTGGCAGGACAGGGCTCGGGCACCCCCCCTAATTAAAATTTTCCCCACCCCTTCCTGTCAAGGTCGCACTTTGACTGACAGACGCACACTCACTGATAGATGCATACACTTGACAGACAAACACTCTCATATACACTGACAAACAATGACATACACACACACACACTCACTGATTTGACACACTGATAGATAGACACACACTATTACTGGGACACACACTGAGAGACTCACACTCACGGACGACACATGCACTCACTGACCGACACACGCACGGACAGACGCATGCACAGACAGACGCACGCACGAACAGACGCACGCACTCACTGACCGACACACACACACTCACTGACCGACACGCACACACATTCACTGACCGACACTCACACACATTCACTTAGACACACACACTTACACACACACACGCACACATTCACTCACAGACACACACAGACCTTCACTTAGACACACACACGGAAACACGGTCACGGGGAGGCAGGGGGATGAGTAGGCGTCGAGGGAACTTTAATCTCCCTGCTCCACTCCCTTGCGCGCCACTTAGTGATGCCGGGAGCTGAGCAGGAGGAGCTCAGGTGAGCATGCTCCCTCGCTGCCCACCCCTTGAGGGGGTTCAAAAGTGGCCAGGCAGCCAGTTCTTGAGCCCCCCAGGACACGAGGCAAACAAGGGATCTGCCAGGCCATTTGGGGGCATTTTGCCGCCCCCTGCAAAGTGACGCCCAAGGCAGATGCCTTGTTTGCCTCGTGTAAGATCAGAATTCCTTCATGCTTGCTCCCCCATGATGCAATAGGCATACTTTACAAATGCCAGGAGGCAAGTGTGAATTGTCAAAAATTTAAAGTTTGAATTTCAAATGTGTGGGCTGAAATAGCTGAATTGAAAAAAAAAAATCCCTAGAATTTCTAGAACTATTTAAATGTACTTTACTACTTTTAGACCTAAAACCACCGAGTTTCTACTTATCAACTAGTAGCTTCATTATAGTTATATGACATAACTTGCCTTTGATTGCCATTAAAGCTAACTTGGGATGAAGAGGTACCTCTATTATTTAAAATATGCAAGTGACCTGTTTATGAGTTGGATACCAATTGATTAAAATTGACTTGATGAGTTACCTGCCTGTCACTGAATTTGTTTATCACAACAGGTACTCAGAAATGTTCTTCTACCCTCATAACCCACATAAATAATGCAATGTCAGAAAATATTTCACCTCTGTTATAATAACAATTTTGACCATACAAGGGATTTTAGTTTGGGTACATATATGTCTAAAAAGGGTTATTTACAGATAATTTTCAACATATATTTTTAAACTAGAAGGAAATTCCATTTTGGTGTCCCCTCAGGGGGTACAATTATTATATTTTTCTGTCTAGCGTAACTACAAGCGTAGCTGACTTTGAAATTTTTTCCAGTTCGGCTATTTTAAACTTAAATTTGATATTCAGGTTGAATTCTTACTTTCGTGAGTCACCCTGTTAGGGTTTCCTAGAGCAAAAAATTACATAACTAATAGCACCAGACGGCAATGCATCTTGTCCCACTTGTTATAAGACCTGTTCCTTGAGCACTTGGTCATAGCAATCCATTTGCACTCAGACATTGCTGGCTGTTTTAGTAAGTGGGACATGCAATAAATTAAGAGATGTTAAAAGGTGACATATTAGTGAGTATGACCAAACCCCTTGTTTATCTGCGTAACCAGAAAGAACTCCTTAAGTATGGCTGCATCTCTTAACATAATATTGTTAACCTTAACATTGCGTCTTACCCAGGGGTCAAGTCCTGGGGAAAAAAGTGTGGGAACTCACCCAAGATTCCTGCCCCACCCCAAAAAAAAATCATTTACACTCCTATGCATATAGTGCAGTGCAGGGTGTGTATAATGATGTAGTGTGTTTGTAGTGAATGCAGAGTGTGTATAATGAATGTAGTGTGTTTGTAGTGAGTGCAGAGTATGAATAATGAATGAGGTGTGTTTGTAGTGAATGCAGAGTGTGTATAATGAATGTAGTGTGTTTGTAGTGAGTGCAGTGTGAATAATAAATGTACTGTGTTTGTAGTGAATGCAGAGTGTGTATAATGAATGTAGTGTGTGCATAATGAATGCAGAGTGTGTATAGTGAATGTAGTGACTGCAAAGTGTGTATAGTGAATGTAGTGAGTGCAGAGTGTGTATAGTGAATGTAGTGTGTTTGTAGTGAGTGCAGAGTGTGTATAATGAATGCAGTGTGTGTAGTGAGTGCAGAGTGTGTATAATGAATGTAGTGTGTTTGTAGTAATTGCAGATTGTGTATAATGAATGCAGTGTGTATAATGAATGTAGTGTGTTTGTAGTGAGTGCAGTGTGTATAATAAATGTAGTGTGTTTGTAGTGAGTGCAGAGTGTGTATAGTGAATGTAGTGAGTGCAGTGTGTATAGTGAATGTAGTGTGTTTGTAGTGAGTGCAGATTGTGTATAATGAATGCAGTGTGTGTAGTGAATGTAGTGTGTTTGTAGTGAGTACAGATTGTGTATAGTGAATGTAGTGAGTGCAGAGTGTGTATAGTGAATGCAGTGTGTGTAGTGAGTGCAGAGTGCAGGGCTGAGTGAGTGCAGAGTGTCATGGGCCTGACGGTCCTGGGGGCCCGGACTGCTCATTTGTGCACATATAGATAGTGATTATAGCTATCTATATGTTCACCTGCGGGGGCAGACTCGGGGGCGGGTCCAGGGGGCCCACACTTTGAACTGTGTCAGGGGCCCCAAAATTTCTGATGGCAGCCTTGGCAGAGTGTGTACAATTAATGCAGTGTGTGCATAATGAATGCAGAGTGTGTATAGTGAATGTAGTGAGTGCAAAGTGTGTATAGTGAATGTAGTGTGTTTGTAGTGAGTGCAGAGTGTGTATAATGAATGCAGTGTGTGTAGTGAGTGCAGAGTGTGTATAATGAATGTAGTGTGTTTGTAGTAAGTGCAGATTGTGTGTAATGAATGCAGTGTGTGTGTGCTGGAAGATGCGTGTGTGCTGGAAGATGTGTGTGTGTGTGTGTGCTGGAAAATGTGTGTGTGCTGGATGATGTGTGTGTGCTGGATGATGTGTGCGTGTGCTGGATGATGTGTGCGTGTGCTGGATGATAGGAGGGGAAGCATTTTTTTTTTAAATTTATGTGTTTATATATATATTTTTTTATTCCCCCTTCCCTGCTTCTTACCTTGCCAGGGAGGGGGGAGATCGCCTGGTGGTCCGGTGGTATGGTGGAGAGAGCCAGCCGGTGCACACGGGGGTCCAACACACTCTGTGTTCCCTCTCCCGGCCCTTTGTATATCTCATTCTTCATACCACAACCTTTGTGTTTCTCTTAGTTCCTCATCAGCCCCTTTGTGTGTCTCTTTTCTCCTCACAGCCCTTTTGTGTCTCTTTCTTCCCCCCAGCCCCTCTGTGTGTCTCTTTCTTTCCCCCAGCCACTTTCTGTGTCTCTTTCTCCCACCACGAGCCCCTTTGCCTGGCTTTTTCCTCCCAAACACAACAGACATAGATATACAGGTACAAATACATACATGCATAAAGGCACAACCATACAGGCACATAGTCATAAAAGGTACACAAACAAACACAGTCATACAAGCAACCAGTCATGCACAGACAGTCATACAGAGACACACAGACGGTCATACAGAGACACGCAGACAGTCATACAGAGACATGAAGACACAGGCATACAGAGACATGAAGACACAGTCATACAGTGACATAAAGATAAAGTCATACAGAACAAGGCATACAGACACAGTTAGACAGAGAAATATGGACACAGTCATACAGAGATTTACACACAGTCATACAGAGACAAACAGACGAAAGTCATACAGAGACATACATAAACAGACATATACTGCTAGTGATGAGAGGAGGAGAGGGATGGCTGCTAGTGATAGGGGGAGATAAGGGATGGCTGCTAGGGATGGGAGGGAGAGAGGGGGATGGCTGCATGTGATGGGAGGGAGAGAGGATGATAGCTGCTAGTAACAGAGAGAGGAGGATTGCTGTTTGTGATAGGGGTGAGAGTAATGGTGGGTAGTGATGGGGAGAATGTGTGGCTGCTAGTGATGGGGGAGAAGGGGATGGCTGCTAGTGATAGGGGTGAGTGAAGGATGGCTGCTAGTGATGGGGAGATTGGATGGCTGCTAGTGATGGGGGAGAAGGGGATGGCTGCTAGTGATAGGGGTGAGTGAAGGATGGCTGCTAGTGATGGGGAGATTGGATGGCTGCTAGTGATGGGGGAGAAGGGGATGGCTGCTAGTGATAGGGGTGAGTGAAGGATGGCTGCTAGTGATGGGGAGATTGGATGGCTGCTAGTGATGGGGGGAGTGGAAGCATCAGAAGAATAGAAGTGAGGTGGCACTGTTGGACCAATAAAACACAGAGCTCCACATGAACTATAAGATTTAGCTCTGTGGAGCTCTGTGCTAGATACATAATTATATCATGAAAAAAATAAATAAAACATGGCTGCTTACCATTGGTGGTGTAAGTAGCTGAAAAGAGATGTTCTTAGCTCTCCCTGCTCGGTAATCCTCTAGCAGGGTCTGACAGGAAGTGATGTAAAATGCCCCGCCCACTGCAGTCTTCACTCCTCAGTAAACTACCGCGGGGGAGAGTAGTGTGAGAGGCACATCTCCTGCATCGTGACAGCCATTATACCACCAACAGCAGACAGTGCATTGTGGGCGGCAGTATGCTGGGGACTGGGAGAAATGAGGCAGCACAGCGACATTGCTCCCCCTGTGAACACCTGTCCTGCAGGATCACTAGCGGGAACGGCGTTCCTGCTTTGGAAAAAGTGCAGGAACGCCGTTCCCATGCGTTCCTGCAGGACTCGAGCCCTGGTCTTACCAACATTTTTTTATATCTATCTCTTTCAAATACAATTGTTGATTCTATCAACTATCAAAAGAGATATCAACATATGTTGATTCATTGCAATGTATGCCTTGAGGCAATATTTTTGGATAACCCTTTCAAATGATTTAATATTTATGGATAAACTTTTAAAATATTTTTTTTCTAAATATTTAAAGAAAAAATAGATCATAAGAAAATGATATATATATATATATCAGTTTAAAAATTCATTGAAAAACAAAAATATTAAATTGCTGCCTCCATTTTAGTTCTTCTCTCCTTTAATGCTATTTCCTGTGTGATCCAAAAAATCCAAATCGTACTTGCACTCATTCAAAACAAAAGGTGCAGGTATCTGGGTCACCTCTAAAGAACCTAAATCACAAAATACAAATCAACCAAATGATACCGCACTCAAGAAATAAAGTGTATATGAATGTACATTTATTGCCACAACTTAATAAAATTGGAAAAAGTACTTGTAACGGAACTCCCCGTACTCCGACTGAGTACCTTCCGTTGATGGACGCTTCCTAGCCTGCGCCGAGGATCACAAGCACCGCACTGGACACCACAACCACCGCAGACTCCACAACCACCTTAGCTTAACTGGAGTCTCAACGTCTTCTGTCCACCCTGGATCAAACCGTTTGGGGAAGACCTCTCCTCCAGGAGAGCGTATCAGGAACAAGCTCTTAAAAGAGCTAAGTGATTAAAGCTCAAGGGAGTATGCAAAGCATAGCAATCCCCAGTGTGATTATAGCAGTTCCCTCCAATAACGAGACGAGGCTACGTTTTGAAGGGTAAAGAAGAACTGAAGCTTTTAATCAAACACTCTGCTTTTGTGCACATTTTACACACATAGTACTGCCCACAGGGTTTTGCAGAACAACCAATCAATACGTACAATACACTCAGATACTCCCACACAAAATCCTACCCTCTGCCTGTGATATAATTACTGAACACAATGGTCTAACTTAATTATCACAGGCAGGAAAATACACAGTTTTATACAATATTCATAACTCTAAAAATATACATCACATTCACATAAAACGTACATTTTCAGAATCAGCATACTCCAAATACAAACATACGTCAAAATACGTCATACAAATTGGTCCAGTGGGTCAAAAGTTAGTTGAAAGTCCCTTTGTGACCATCTGCAAGCATGGCTTGGGTGTGGTAAGCCAATTACCTCTATCATACAGAAAATAACAACAGTAAAAACACATAAAAATACATAATTCCTATTATACTTAACAGAACCCCACATTCAACCTATCCCCAGATAGCTTGGATATCCGAACAAAAACAGTCAAATCGCCATGGAGTTAAAACATAGCAAGAGCTGATGAGAGACCGAGGAGGGGCAAAACAGCAAGTTCCAACTGGTCTGGCAGTGTGCCTGGGAAAACGCCCTGCTGGAACAATAGACAGGAAACGGGGGAGGGGAAGAGACACATCTTCCCATGGATTCAAATGGGCAGAAACAGTCTTTTAGAAGCCAATAAGCCCCAAATAGTCTTTTTAAATGGCAATACACCCCAGGGCCATAGTCATGAGGGAGGAGGCTGGCAATCAGGCTCATCCAACAGCCAGGGGCAAAGGGCAGTTGGTCATATAAAAATCCAGTGACAAAAGGCATTTTGTCACAGTACTCATCTATCCCGTGTAAAGACACCAAAGGTATGATGATAGTATTATTCAATGGTTTGCCCACCACTATAAAAGCGTAGAGACAGAGTTTTAAACACTTAATGTCAGATCATCAAAAAATGTTGTCTACCTATACACAGCTGAAGTACAAGAATGGTACAGTGCTTGATATACCTATACAATCAGTCTAGAGTGCAACACAAAACAAAATATATACAACATATATACAAAATATACAATACTGCCTGCCAATTATCTTGTGATAAGAATAGGATACTCTGAGACAAAAAAGGGGGTATATAGATATAGATAAAACCATTGTAGAATCATCTTGAATCATATGAATATCTTTATCCTGAGTATAAAGATGTAAATCCCCTGAAAAAAATATCATGGTTTGATCTCACCACAAGATAGTCTGGGAGGCCTCCTTATGAGTTGTAGATGTAATGTAGATTCCTTAAAGTGCAGGAAAAAGGACACAAAGTTTCCAATATATTTGCTCAGTGTAAGTATCCTTGGGAAATTTTCTTTGGACCAGCAGTGTAGTGGCCAGGGTATGGGCATCCTTGGGTCCCTCTGGGTTAGTTGGGTAGAGGCAAGGCTGCGCGCTTGGGAGTTAATCCCTTCAAATGGCCCTGGTGTAAAAACAGAATAATCTGTTATAAAAGCTGAAGTTCCCGCCATTCATCTGATGCGGAACGTCATGACGTCATCATGATGACGTAAGCATGTGTAAGGTGGCTGGTAGTTTACAAATCAGGTATAAATCTATAGCGTCCAACAGCTCCACTAGTCAGTAGTGTACAAAATAAGTAATTACAACATATTTTAATCTAAGTAAAAGGAATAGTACTATTTGTTCAATGACTGCAAAATGCATTTGTTACTTCAAACACCCAGTTTACATATTTCAGACCACATATATAAATGAATGCAAAAGTATACAGAAACTCCATGAATACACTGTTAAGAGAATACCAGAAATTATAATACACAGTACTGACTGACTGGCTGGGAAAAATAGAAAAAAAAATAAAAAAAGACGAAATAATAAAGTAAAGAGATGGGAAAAGTAAAAAATCTTTTGTACTCGTAACATATATTTAACTCTAAGAATGTATATACAAGATTTCTAATGGACCAAAATTAAATACATTAATATATACTAATTATCAAAAAGGTATATTTATTGCTTACCCACGCAGTATTTCATATACGTGTAAATTCTGGTGTGGTATGACGGTTGAAGATGTTCAAGTAGCGGACCAGAAGTTGGTCATATCCGTGGCGTGCCAAAGAACTGAACAAGTGGAGCGGACCAATATTGGTCATTTGGTTGTGAGCTGCAGAAGGGATATTATAAACAAATAGTCAAAATATAATACCGAGGTTATTAAAAGTCTATGGTCACAGGTATAAACAATGTTATTCTGTCGTCCTGTCTAAGAGAACCCCTTCCACATGAAATTCATAGGAAATGTTTTAAATCGTAGTCTTCATTAAGACGCATAGGGTATTGGGTCTCAAGAGTACTAATCCATTTGGATTTTCTTTGCATGAGGAGCCTGTGACCACCCCTTCTGAATGGAGGGTCCCCATCTATTACCTGGTATCTAAGTTGGTTAATATTATGACCGCATTGTTTAAAATGCTGTGGTACTGGTGCCAAACAGTTCCCTGTCTGCAGGGCCACGCTAATGCTCCTCTTGTGTCCAGCTATCCATACCTTCACCGCTCTGGTGGTCTCACCCACATAGAGAAGTCCATATGTGCATTTCAGAATATATATTAAATGGTCGGAATTACACGTGTAATAATCATCAATACGGTATTTTCTTACCAGTATATGGGTGCATAAAATATTCCCCCTTGATAACACTGTTACAGCTTGAACAGCCTAGGCATGGGAAAGTACCCTTTTTGGGTTCTGAGAATAATCTAACTCTTCTTTTTTAAGCTCCCTATGTCAGATTTTACTAAGATATCTCTTCGATTCCTCGTTCTCTTGTAGGAAAAGAGAGGAATATTATTAAATTCCATGGGTAAATCCATATCATCTTGGAAAATATTCATATGTTACATTGGTAAAAATTTCCTATGCGTACATAATTAGACCTATTAGACAATTGTGCCAAAATGTATTTGATGTAATATGATCTATCCATAATGACTAGCATTCCCCCCTTATCCGCTGCTTTTATGACAATTGTCTTATCTGTTTCTAAATTATTTATTATGGCCCATTCATCCTTTGTAAAGTTAGTTTTTTTTAATATTATCTCTTTAAATAGCCCTTTCTATGTCTCAATTTTTTTATGTCCCTTTTAACCAAATTGGTAAAAATTTCTACCGACTGGTTGTTGACCATAGGTGTGAATGTGCTCTTTGGCTTCAAACCTGTGGATAGGGGTATGGTCATTGTTGGCCATTCAGTTGGTGTATTGTCAGGAGACTGCCGTTGTATAGGACTGCTCTGTTCTCCATTGTCTCTAGAAGCTGTAAAGAAAAAGGTTTTTAATTTAAGTATACAGAAGAAACGATATGAAGATACATCAAATCCTTTTCTTCCTTACTTAGGTTTTTTGCCAGTAGGATAGTTTTTATTTACACTCAACTTAAGATGGGAACGCTAGCCTTTTTTCTGAACCCCATGGTGCTTTCTATGTTGTTGCACACTAAAGCTCTGTGTGTTCTTACGGGCAAATGGAATCTGGTCTGATTGGTGAATTCACAGGACTGAATTTGGATCCGAATGCAGATTTCACCGGACTGAATTTGGCGCCTCATTATGATGTAACCAAACAGTCAAATGAGATTTTCTATCACCCATGAATCGTAAGGAATTCTGATATGACATGGGCCAATTGAAATTAAGTACTGTCTATATATATTTACCTCTCCCACTCCATTTTACCCTGTTGTGGTTCTAGTAGCCTAAGAGCGCGTTCCTTGGGTATCATTTTCTGTTATTTAATATTGATTTGTTAAACATTTCTCCTGATCTCTGTACTCTTTTGACCTTGGCTAGTTTAATCGTATATATGTATCTCTGCTGTCCTTGACCCTGGCTATTCTCTCTGATACTGTCCACCAATAGTCCGGCCACTCTAAGGACCAGTACATGGAAAGTCTATTTGTTGTTACTTAGGTCTGTATGTTTAGGCTCCTACCTGTTCCACAGCTTACAATCCACCCAAGTTGACACCAGCCAACACTTTGCAAGGTCTCTTATGGAATTATATCCAGTACTGGATGTCATCCCCTGTCTTACTGATATTGAATTATGTTATAATTATTTGCAAAGTGCCAACAAATTCAGCAGAGCTGTACCATGGAATAGAGACAGTGATGTACAGTCATACCAGTATTAGAAGAATGGAAGACCAATGGTGTATATCATTCTTTCATTATAATAATGTGCTTTGTAAAGGCATTTTTGTTGTGGTTTGTAAACCAAGGATTATATGAAATTGTATACTCTGTCAATGCAACACATGGTGGATTTGGCTGAAAGATGACCCCATGTTACGAGAGGTCAGTCTTTGGTCATGAACCTTTTATTGTAATGCAAGACAATATGCTAACATGTAAATATGCAGTCACAGCAATGCCAGACTGATGTAATGAGTGCTTAGACATGGTGCGGTATACATCAACAAAACATCAACACGCATGGCGTTTCAAAACAATATAATTCCTTTTCTCATCTAGTTATTAAGTTGCATCTATTTTGTGTTTTTTTTTTTTTAATTCTTTATTATTTGCTCAGTCCGCATGCATGCAACAAATACTTTAAGCAACTGATGACAAAACATAAGTAAATTGCAGGTCCGAGATAATATACATCACAGTCAAAGACATACGGAATGAGCATTTTATATTTTAGGAACAAGACAGAAATAGACTATTATTTAAAGGACCAATATAGGCACCCAGACCACTTCAGCTCAATAAAGTGGTCTGGGTGCCAGGTCCATGCAGCTGTAAACATAGCAGTTTCGGAGACACTGCTATGTTTACAATAGGGTTAATCCAGCCTCTAGTGGCTCTCTCATTGACTGTGAAAATCACAGTGAGAAGACGCTGACGTCCATAGGAAAGCATTGAGAAATGCTTTCCTATGGACTGATTGAATGCGCGCGCGGCACTTGTCACGCATGTGCGTTTGGCAGATGACGTCGGAAGAGGGAGCCTGGCGCTGGAGAAAGGTAAGCGTTTAACCCCTTTGTCCCCCTTCAGCCCGGCGGGGGGGGTGGGGGGGAACCTGAGAGTGTGGGGCCTAAAGACCCTATAGAGCCAGGAAAACGAGTTTGTTTTCCTCGCACTATAGTGGTCCTTTAACTAAGTCTCCAGGGCTGGAGTGAGGAACATCCGATACAATCAAGAGGGGTCTAATGCCCTTAGGAAGAGGCACCCCCTTCGATACAGTTGTACAGAACTAACGCACAGACATGTTTTGGCATAAGGGGTTAGGGGGTAATTACAAGCTCTGGTATAGGACAGGGCAGGGCCGAATTAACATAGGGGCTGATTGAGCAGCAGCTCCAGGCCCAGACCCAGGGAACAGGCCCAGTGATTTAAAAAAAAAAAAAAAAATATATATATATATATATATATATATAGTTAATACAATGCTAAACAAAAATCTGCACACCAGTCAAGCCATAAGACTTGCTTTTCCCACAGAAATCCCAAATCAGCAGTGATGTTACAACCGCAAAGGATTCTGGGTGGGCATATGCAAATTAGTTTAACAAGGAATCACATTTTTGCCTCATTCCATTTTAAACATGGATTCCTTTTAATTTGTGTTTGCAGTATACAACTGCTTGGAACACAACTTAGGATAAGATGCAAAACCAGTGAACCACTCATGGACAGCTGTTTCGTTGTTAATGCAACTCTTCAGCATGAGGTTGGTTACTGGTTTGCTTATTGAGGCTTGGTAGTGCTTGGGAAGCAAAATCTAAATAGGTTATGGTGGGGAAAAATTGTGATTGAAAACCCCTTCCACCTGAAGTATGTGGATAGTTAATACAATGCTAAACAAAAATCTGCACACCAGTCAAGCCATAAGACTTGCTTTTCCCACAGAAATCCCAAATCAGCAGTGATGTTACAACCGCAAAGGATTCTGGGTGGGCATATGCAAATTAGTTTAACAAGGAATCACATTTTTGCCTCATTCCATTTTAAACATGGATTCCTTTTAATTTGTGTTTGCAGTATACAACTGCTTGGAACACAACTTAGGATAAGATGCAAAACCAGTGAACCACTCATGGACAGCTGTTTTGTTGTTAATGCAACTCTTCAGCATGAGGTTGGTTACTGGTTTGCTTGTTGAGGCTTGGTAGTGCTTGGGAAGCAAAATCTAAATAGGTTATGGTGGGGAAAAATTGTGATGAAAAGCAAGTCTTATGGCTTGACTGGTGTGCAGATTTTTGTTTAGCATTGTATTAACTATCCACATACTTCAGGTGGAAGGGGTTTTCAGTCACAATTTTTCCCCACCATAACCTATTTATATATATATATATATATATATATATATTTATTTTTTTTACACACTACTCTTAGGTTTGCCACCTGGCTGGTATTTATTTGAGGTTGCCTGGCCGGTGCCGATATTGCAGTAATACCGGCAATATAAATGCCGGTATTTTTCTCAGTAGGCATGTGCATGGGGAAAATTTTCAGGGGTGGGGGCAAGGAGGAGGACATTAGGTTCCCCCCCTTATTAGTATTTTGGGCCCCCACCCACCGCTCAGGGGTGGGGGCCAGGGGGGAGGACATTAGGTCCCACCCTTATTCAATGTAGGGCCCCCATCTGCCGCTCAGGGGTGGGGGCCAGGGGGGAGGACATTAGGCCCCCCCCACTTATTTTACTGTAGGGCCCCCACCCACCGCTTAGGGATGGGAGCCAGGGAGGAGGACATTAGGTTCCCCCCCCCTTATTAGTATTTAGGGCCCCCACCCACTGCTCAGGGTTGGGGCCAGGGTGTAGGACATTAGGTCCCACCCTTATTTCAATGTAGGGCCCCCACCTGCCGCTCAGGGGTGGGGGCCGGGGGGAGGACATTAGTTCCCCCCCTTATTAGTATTTAGGGCCCCCACCCACCGCTCAGGGGTGGGGATGAGTGGGGAGGACATTAGGTCCCCCCCTTATTTTACTGTAGGGCCCCCACCCGCCATTCAGGGGTGGGGGCCGGGGGGGGCAAAAGCTTTTAGGCTAGAAGCCTCCACTTGCGCAGCATGGGTGGGGGCTCAGGAGGGGGGGACTTTTTTTTAAAAGTGAGCAGCTAAAGGCTGCTCACTGCTTAATAGACATGCCCCTACTCGCAGTATAGCGCGTTGGGGCATAATTTACTAATACTAAGTAACATTTACTTAGTATTAGTAAATTTGTCTGAAAGACCAATTTAGGTCTTTCAGCCTTTTAGTAGATATCTCCCTAATACCGTAGGAATTAGGGAGTTATCAACTTATTCATTCCTGTCATTATACTGACTGGCTAAGTAACTTACATTTTATATGAATGTGTGTTACTTGATTGTTGCAAGTGTTGCAAATGAATCCTGGCTATGTTTGTATACTTTTTATTAAAAATTGTATTCAGTGTACCATTCTTCATTCTTTCACTGGGTAAGTTTATTAGTTCTTAGGCAATACTGTACTTCTGCACTTCGGAACTTCGGCAACTTCGGAACTTCTCCACTTCAGCACTTCGGAACTTCGGAAATTCGGTAATTTGGGAATTTCGGGACTTCAACCATTCGGCAATTCGGCAATTCATCTTTTCGGACACTTGGAAGTACCCGAATGTCCAAATTGCCTGAAATTCGTCCGAATTCACATTCGGACCGAAACGAATTGTCTATTTCTCAGTATAAACAGAGATTACTCTGCAATACCATCACCGACCCGTAGGGGTTGCTGTGTGTGTGTGGAGAGAGGCAGGGATAGGAAGTTACAGCATATACCTGCATCTCTCTATTCACTGATCTGTGGGGGAGCAGCTACACAGCACAGAGAGTGCAGACAGCAGCACAGGAAAGTGAGGGATGGGGTAGAGGCTGCAGGGAGGCATTGGGATTCTGGGACACTAGGGGACACTGTGAGACATGGGGACACAGAGAGATCCCTGGGGATGCTGAGACATTTGGGGACACTTGGAGACACAGTGACACAGACACACATGGGACACTTGGGGACACTGAGACATGGGGACACAGACACTAGGGGGTGCTGGGAGACATGGGGACACAGACACTTGGGGACACATACACACATGGGGACACTGAGACATGGGGAAACAGACACACTTGGGGACGCTACAGTCTCGGCACCATGTCTGTCGAGGCCCCTTCGCCAGTGTCCAGGAAGAAGTAGGAGAATGAGAAGGAAGATCAGTCCTCTCCCAGCGCCATATTGGCCCATGCGGCCTGTTGGGCTCAGTGGAGAAGATCTCCAATAGCTCTGCTAGTGGGACCCTTGTCAGCTTTTGCGTTTTTGGATTTGTGGCCCATGGTACCCTATTAGTGTAAGTAAGGGTGTTCTGGCCCAGATTTTGCAGAAAAATTGCTCGTTTTAGGTATCAGGAGCAGGAGCTATAAGAAGTGAGACTGCTCTGGTCTTCTGGATACTGACAACTAATAAAGATGGCTTTCGAAAGTCACTGTAGATCCCATTCGGGTGGGACAGGTTGATGGATAAATTATCTATATTGGTGGCTTTATCCCAGGCAGATATCTTTTCTCTTTACATGACCAATCTTCCTACCCCTTTTTAAACTTTTTCACCTAATTATTGTTATAGTTTAAAAGCCTTGTGAACTTCTGCACTACGGTTCTCTTCTCTAAAGAACGTAATGTTGGTTTTCTTGACTATTTTTCTCCACTTTCTTTTATTGAGAGACTGTGTCTATGAGTCTCATTATTCAATTTATTTTGGGCCTCATTTTGTTAATGCTTCTGAACATGTCTAAATGCAAAAAATAAATTCACAAAAAAATTTATATGCCTTTAACTCATGACGGACATAAATAAATCTATTTCCATGCATTCCTTGCATTGGGCAAATAGCTTCATTCATGTAAAATTTGTCATTTTCATACATTGTCAAATTTCAAAGGTTTCATATTATGCACTGCTTGTGAAATTTGTGTATTGCCAAACATATGTACCTGTGTCTTTTATAGGGTTAAGAACTGTACTATTTGTGGGAGTTGTTTCCGGTTTGCATACTTGCATTTCAGTGTATAAAGCTGATATTTCCGCAAAGCTAATGTTATTATAGTTAACACACAAGTTCTAAGTTTGCTATTTTTGCACTCATATCTGTGAAATCTGTTATTTTTGGTCCCATGCAATTCTTTCCTTACTTCAGTCTATCAAGTTGTTATTTCCTTGTATTACATTACCTTCTCTCACTTATTTAGCTTTTGTTAACCTTCTCTAAGAATAACTAAAAAGAAGCATGACTGCTGACCAGTCCCCAACCCCCGTTGCCCCCAACAAAAACACATGAGATCAGCATTATGGGTAAGGGCAACGGCAACAGCTTATTAAGTTTACAACTGTTTAACGGACCAGCATTCCATCCAACTGTGAGCTGTTGGGTAATTTTCCCAACAGACAGATCCCACTTAATTGTCCGGAGTTCGTAACAGCCTGCCTACCACCATCAGCCCTCGGCAGGATGCGACTCCCCAAGCCGACTCATTGTTCACTTCACTTTCCATTTCGCTGGCCAGGAGCACTGCCACCATGATGTCAACCGAGATTGGCCCCATCGGTCAGCATTGCGCCCCCCGCCGCCAGTGCCACCTCCACCTCCACCTCCTCCAGACCAATCCCCATCAGATGGACTTCATCTCTCCTCTTTAAGTCCACATTGTTGTCCTCCAGGTCCACGTGACAAACCACTATGTCACCCAGCTGTCGCACAAACCTAGAAACCATCATGTTTAACTTTTGCCCCCCAATGCTCAAGACCCTGAGCATGCGGCAAAGCCCGCCAACAAGGGCGTGGAACAATTTCGACCAGATGAGCATGAGATCCTGAAACAGAGCCACACAGTGGGCCAGATCCTGCTTGGTCAAATGAATGTGATCTACAGTCTCATCCGGCCCAAATCGTTCCCCCCCACATGCACCACCAAAATTACCGACCCCGACACAAACCTCCTCAGCTCGACACATTCGTCATAAAACTGCCCCCATGATAGCCCCATAATACCACTGAACCCTGGCCACTTCATCCAGAAAGCCCAAGTTCCTGCCGTAGGACCTCACCTCCGCTCTGCGAGCTGCCCAGTAAACATATGAGTGGCCCAGGTCCACACATAACGAGGGGGACCTACAAGAGAGAAAAGTTACAACAAATGCTAGCCGAAGATACAGCCGAAAACGACCTGAGTCCCATCTGCCCAAACGTTTAATAGAAGCCGCTGAATAACCTAAGATGCCTGCCTGCGTGGTGGCCCCAATTCAAAAGGATTGAGCAGAATACCCAGCGGCGTCCACTCTGCAAGCTCGCAATGCCAACTTGAGCAATGAGGAGAACTGGTATCGCGTCAACGGAGACCCGTCCCGATGCACCAACAGGGACACTGCCGGCCCCGGCCTCACTTCCAAATAGGTCCAGACCAACTGAACCAGACAAAAGGGGCTCCCAGTGGCCCCAATTTGAACCCACACACCCGGACACCGATGGTCGGTCTTGGATCAACGCACCTGAAGATCCGACGATGATTCGGACCGCCGAACATCTAACAGCAACATGGGAGATACTGACCGCAAGTTGGGCACCACCAATTCAGTCACTCGGAACACTCCAAAAAAACAAAGAGCAAATGCAACCAACAACAACACCTCAAACTCCAAAGCACACACCTGCAGAAGTATCGATAAGAGGATAAGAGCTGCCACAGCAAGTCCACCAAAATTGGTCTCCGACGATCCGTACCTTTCCTATGCCTCCAACCTTTTAACACCCTCTAGACACTAAGCTCTTCCGTGAGATCCCTCCAGCCTAAAAAGCCCCCCCCAAAAAAAGACAAGGCTGACATCGCTAGTTCCGCAGATGCACACGACTTACCCTGAGACTGTAATGGAGACAGGAACAGCACCATAATTTCGAACCTCCCTGACTCGGTAGCGCTGCTCCGCTCCCCGTCGACAAAGGACAGCCACTGCGACCACACCAACCGATATGCCCTCCACGACGCTGAAGACAAAGACTCGGCCACGAGATCCCTCAGGCCTCCAAAGTGAGGTCCCATAAAGTTGCAGGACAAATCCGTCCCACTTGGTCTGCTTCTGGTGCTGCCTCTTGAAAACGGTTCCTTGTGAAAAACCACGACGTGCCCCTGCAGGTCGTCGCCCCACAGCTCTAACAACACCATGATCAGAAAAGGCTCTAAAAAGGTAAGGTTGTGAATCAGAATCAGATCCTTCCAACCCGACGGCCAAGCCTCCGCGCACCAGTGACCCTGAAAAAATGGCTAGATATCAGCTTACGGGCAGTGCTCTCTCTACCTCTTGTATTTGTCTGTGTATATTGTACGTTTCTCCACTAATTGTACAGCGCTGCGGAATCTGTTGGCGCTTTATAAATATCAGTAATAAATAAATAAAATAAATAATAAATATACCCCCTCTGGATATTGCCTATATTTTCCGCCAGTGGCGGAACTACTGCGGTTGCAGGGGTCGCTGCTGCTACTGGACCCGTCACTCCAGATGGCCCGGCCACCCTTTGGACCCCTGTGGCCGCGGTGCCTGCCACCATGTGTTGTGACCCCGGCCCGCATGGTAGAACTGCTGGGGCCACATTGAAGGGGTCCATCGGGTGAAGACATCAGACACTTGGGAGGAAGTGACTGCCCTGGTCACTTCCTCCCAGCAATCACTGGGAGCTGCATGGGAGGAAGAGGAGGGAGTCAGGGTGGGAACTCTGACTCCCACCAGCCTGAGCCACCACTGGATCCCAAGGAAGTCACTCTCCTGCATCTAAAAGGTAGGAGACAGGAGGGTGACTAAAACATTTTGTATGTGTGTCTGTATGAATGTGTGTGTCTGTATGTATGTGTGTGTGTGTAGGTCTGTCTGTATATGTGTGTGTGTAAACTGCCCCTTGAGAATATTTTGCAACCACGGACTATATTGATAACTAGACCTATTAATATAACAATTGACGTCGACTATTTTAAAAAACTTTTTGGTTTTAATAGATTTTCTATATATATATACTTCCAGGTCTAAAAAAGTTTAATTTTTTTTTAACGATTATATTCACTCTTTAGTTTGATGTCAATATGATTGTGATTCAAATACTCAAAAAAACTATTCAGAGATCTTTATCTCCCTGCCAAATGAAAAAAATATCATCAATGATTCTGCGATAGAGAAGCAGATTCTGCGCCCAGCCAGCACCTTGGGCCAAAAATGATTGGCATATGATTTAACCCCAAAGTTACCTCCAACAGTGATGATCACTCCCCTCCTGTGGCATCCAGCTTCTAAAATTTCACATTCAGGAAAGCCAGATGTCTGCTGAGCAGGGGCGTCGCTAATTGGTCAGGTGATGCTCTCAGCCGATCAGTGGCTCACAATTCATAAAACTGTCTTGGAAAGAAACGTACCTTTTCTAAGCCAGTTTGGTGAATCTCAGCCAATCAGTGGCTCCCCTGCCCAACAGCACTCTGCGCTTCCTGAAAGTGAAAGTTCAGAAGCTGGATGCCATCTGGGGGGTAGGGGGTGAAGAAACTTTGGTTTTAAAACCATTTGAGATCGGTTTAAACCTTTGATGTTAGAGTGCCTCGAGGGGCCTCCTGGCACTGTAACAACTTTCACATACTTACAGATTGTAGCGTACATACCGCGGTCGCAGCTGCGACCAGGGCTGTCACTCCAGGGGGCCCGGCCGCCCTGAGGACCCCTGCGACCAGGACCGCCGTTCAGGGGGCCCATTGGGTAGCCCATGCTGATAGGTTCACCTGATGGAGATGGATTTCTAGGGGGCCCGGTCAGCGCTTTTAAAGCGCCCAGCGTGACCCGGCACCCTGTGATGACATCAGACAGAGCTGGGAGGAAGTGACTGCCCCGGTGGGAACTCTGACTCCCATCAGGCTGAGCCCCCACTGGACCCCAGGGAAAGTCACAAAAGGTAGGAAACAGGAAACATTTTGTATATGTATGTGTCTGTATGTGTCTGTGTCTCTGTATGTATGTGGCTGCATGTGTGTGTCTCCGTATGTATGTGTACGTGTGTATGTGTCTATGTGTGTGTGTCTCTGTATGTATGTGTGTGTATGTATGTATGTGTCTGCGTGTATGTCTGTCGGGGGTGAGTGTATGTGTTTGTCTGTATGTCTGTGTGTCTCTGTGTGTATGTGTGTATGTATGTGTCTGTGTGTATGTCTGTCGGGGTGTGTGTGTGTGTCTGTCTGTATGTATGTGTGTCTGTCTGTCTGTATGTGTCTGTGTGTATGTTTATGTGTGTGTCTGTATGTATGTGTGTATGTATGTGTCTGTCGGAGGTGTATGTGTGTGTGTGTGTCTGTCTATATGTATCTGTATGTGTGTGTGTGTGTGTGTGTATATCTCTGTATGTGTGTATGTTTCTTTGTGTCTGTATGTATGTCTGTATGTATGTGTCGGGGAGGGGGGAGAGAGGGGAAAGGGAGGTCGATGGGGGCCCATGGATCAGTTTCGCACCGGGGCCCCATGGATTGTGTGTACGCCACTGCTTACAGAGTTGTTTCAGTAATTATGTAAAATATCTTTGTAATTACATAAGGTCAAACATAGAATTCAGTTGTTCTTACTTAATCTAACAACAATCTATTAGCCTGAATGTTTTTTTGTTTTTTTTCGCTGAATCTTTCATGTGGGGGTCTATAATGAAAATACCCCAGTACTCTGTATTTGTGTGAAATCTTTGTATTTATGTGAGATCTAACGTAAACCTCCTTTATCTTACCTGATCTAACAAAGATCTGTAAGTATAAAAAAAATGTTTCCCCTGAATCTTTCATTAAATATCTCTGTAATTATGTGAGCTCTAATGAAACAGCTAGCTGACCATAACTGACCTTACAAATATCTACCAAAATAGCTAGCTGTTTGTCCAAATTTTTGTTAATGGGGTACTGATGATGGGTTAGCTCTCCCAGCAAATAATTATTAATATTGATTCTTCAACATTAGATCTAACACAAACATCAATTGATCTAACATGATCTAAGAATGACCTAATGATTTGCACATAGTATAATTTAACATTTAGTTTTTTAGGGCGCTTGCCTGTGGTCAGAATACATAATAAAAAAGTGTTATCAGCTGAATGAATTTAGAGGGGCACTAGGCACAACTGCTACAGTGCATTGTAGTGGTTATAGTGCTTGGAGAGTGGGCTGCCATCAGAAATTTTGGGGTCCCTGACACAGCTCAAGGTCTGGGCCCCCAGGGGCCTGCCCCCGAGTCCGCCCACAGGGACGCCCTGAGTCCGCCCACAGGGCTGCCTATGAGTCCGCCCACAGTGCTGCCCCCAGAGTCCACCCACAGGGCCGCCTCCGAGCCCGCCCACGGGGATGCAGTGTGTGTACTGATTGTGGTGTGTGTATAGTGGATGTAGAATGTGTGTAATAGATGCAGATTGTACATTTGTGTAATGTATGTGTGTTTGTGTAGTGGATGTAGTGTGTGTATAGTGAATGCAAAGTGTGTGTGTGTGTGTGTGTGTATGTTTGTGTGTATTAGATGCAGTATATATAGAGCATGCAGAGTGTGTGTGTTTGTGTAGTGGATGTAGTGTTTGTGTGTATTAGATGCGGTGTGTATAGTGAATGCAGAATGTGTGTGTTTGTGTAGTGGATGTAGTGTTTGTGTGTATTAGATGAAGTGTGTATAGTGAATGCAGAGTGTGTGTTTGTGTAGTTGATGTATTGTGTGTATAGTGAATGCAGAGTGTGCATAGTGAAGGCTGTGTGTATTAGATGCAGTGTGTATAGTGAATGTGGAGTGTGTGTTTGTGTAGTGCATGCAGTGTGTGTATAGTAGATGTAGTGTGTGTCTGTGCAGGCATGTAAACTGTGTAAAATGGGGGAGGGCTTTTTTATTTTATTAATATTTTTTTTTTAAATATTTTATTTATTAACATTTTATTTTATTCCCCCCTCCCTGCTTCTTACCTGCCAAGGAGGAGGGATATCGCATTCTCTGGTGGTCCGGTGGCTTGCTGCTCTGAGCCAGCCGCTTGACTTTGCGGGGGCAGGTGTAAACACTGCCTTTTCAGAGAAACATGCTGCCTAAGGACACCTCAAGTAGCAGTCACTCAGACGGCCACTAGTGGTGCTTCCTGGGTCAGTGCTGCACAACAACAGTGCAATGGAGTCGCTAATCTTTCCACAGAGAAAGTTTGATGATCTTAGCCAAGGGGGCGGAGCATGGACGGGGCCACCTGTGAGCTGTCCTGCAATGCTGCTACAGCAAATAATGTGAGCAGCTGTATGGGACCTGATCAATATCATGCTTCCCAACAGTCATGCTTTTGGTGGGGCAGTCCAAATTTAGGTGTCCTGTCCCACTGTCCCGCTTTAGTTCCCTGGTGTATTCAGATGGGGCAGCACAGCAGGGGCGCATCATTAGACACGCGCAAGCTATGTAGCAGGCTCTAGGACTCTGTAAAGAATACTGCATGGTCCTGTTAGTAAGGGGCTGGCCACATGGTTTGTCACGCCCCACATGGAAAATGGGCAGGTCCGTCCATTGCAGGCTTTACTGGTGATGCGAGTCAAAACACACCCGCTGCTCCTCTCAAGACCGCTCACAGCCCCTGACCCTGCCAATGTTGACAGGTATGGAATATGATGTGTTTGTTCTGACTGATAGAGGCTCATTTCATCGTGACATATATATTGCTCCAGATCCAGATGTTAAGTTTCACTGGACTACACAGTCGCTATATTTTTAGCAGACTAGTTAAACTTTTTGAAATCATTTTCACAAATATGTTGGCCTCAAAGGAATAATTAGCTATATTTCAACAGAAAAATGATCCTGACTAAATATGGGGGCGGGTTTGTAGCCCTCCCACCCCGCCTAAACACATTAGAGAAAGTCATTTAACATAAGATACTTTAAATAAAAAATGTAAAAAAATAGATGTGCATTTAATTCTCTCTCCAATTGAAGACTTTTCCACAGATATCGAGACCTGGCACCGCAGCTCGTTCCTGATGATTACACAAGTAAACCAGATGTGCGGATTCCTTATGAACTTATCGGCAGTATGCCAGAACTCAAGGTGAAACACGAAAGAAGCATTAACTGCAAAGGTTGCCAGATGTCACTCTAATGCCATGCTTCATCAATTATTCATTATGTGCTAATTGGCGGGACTCAGGGAGATAATTGAAAGCTAACATAATACAGAGTAAAGTCAAAGTCCTTCTTTAAGTCACTCTACCATCTCAGTTACTTAGTTTTCACTAATCTGCTCCCTGACTCACCTGTTGCACTAACAGTGAACCCAAAATAATAAGGGGTTTGCCTACTAAACTGTGTTTTCTGGTGAATTCCATTGCAGAACTCAAGCCACAATAGTGAAATTAGAAACAATCTCATGACTGGTTGTCATGCTCTAGAAACTGGACTAAATGTGATCTTCCATTGTTATACCAGGGTTATTTACTAAGGTGGGAATTGTCAGAGAATTTTAAACTTAAGGTGAAATAATCAAACTAGAGAAGTTCTCCAAATCAACTATCTGCTGTTATTGATCATCTATTGTGACCCTATTTTTAAACCCATGGAAACTGAGTGCTTCCATCTTGGCTCACTGTCAGTTATCATTATAATTTTTTTGCCATAAACATAGTTACTGTAAGAGTTGAAACAGAAACAATTGTTTCTGTTTTTTTATTCTGTCGTATTGTATGCCCTGGATTGTGCCTAGATTGAAGTGCATCGTCACTTATTAAGTCTTTTAATATACATTTGAAAGAAAATTATTTCTGAATTTAGAAAAGGCAAATATGTGTTATAGGTGGTTTTCAATATTTCATTAAATTATGAATTTTTAGAGAGTTGAAAATTTCCCTTTAAGTGAAAAAAAGAATTGATTTTTTTGTAGGACAACCCTTTCCGCCAGCGTATAGCTGAGGTTTTTTCAGAAGACGGTGAGGGAAACATGACGTTGGATGACTTCTTAGATATGTTTTCAGTGCTCAGTGAAATGGCGCCCAGAGACCTAAAGGCATATTATGCTTTTAAAATATATGGTAAGCGAATGCCTTGACATTGTTTGTATTTGGATAGAACATTAACTCGTAGGGCATGTAGTGTTGCAGAAAACAAAGGAGCTAGAAGGAATATAGGACTATCAGGGTTATGTACTAATGTGCGAATTGCCAAGGTCAATTCAAAGTGAACTTAAAATTTAAAGCCAAAATAGCCCAACTGCAAACAAAATTGACCTGAATGAGCTATTGTGGCCTAAGGGCATGTCATGTCTTCATGAATGGCAAACATGCTTCCTCAATGTTAGTATAATTAGTTTGACGTCTCTTCAGAGCATCCCAGGTGCAGAGCCTTGCTGACGTCCTCTTGCATGGGGAAAATGCACTGTGTTATGACATGATTGAGCTGAATTTACTGGTGAATTGTCTCCGGTGGCCCCATAAGTGGGAAACCAGAGGACAAAATTGTGAAAGGGCTTATAAATGGTGTTTTGCATGTATATGAAGTTTGGAGACTGCTTTATGGGATTGCGTGTGTGTAGAGGGGACTGTTTGTGGTGTAAGGGGGGGATGTGAAGGGGTATGTTTATTGTGTATTACTTGTTGTTAGGGGCTGTAGATTGTATTTGTATCTCTGGCTGTTAATTATGTGTGTCCAGGCTCTGCAGAGTGTGTGGGTCTAGGGGATGTAGGACTTACCCATGGGATGTAGTGGAGGTGTCTATCTAGGGGTTGTATATAGAGTGTGTATATTAGGACTGTATATCTAGAGTGCAGTGTGCAGTGTGTCTACAGAGTGCTCTGTGTATATAGGGGCTATAGAGTGTGCGTGTATTGAGGGTTGTAGAGTGCGTGTATTGACTACAGTGTGTGTTAGCATAGGGAAAGTCGTGTTGTTTTTGTGTGATTGTGTGTGTGTGTGTGTGCATGCGTGTATAGCAACTGTAGTGTATGGGGAAATAGGACAGGGGCTTTAAAGTGGGATAGGAGCTTCAGGGTTTAAAACAGCAAGGAATTAAATAATAAATTGCTTAAAAAAGAAGACAGAGAGACACATTTATTCCCCCCTCTTTTTCATTACATGTGGCCAAAGAAGGGGAACATGTAGATTTCTTAACTTTTAGAACATTCGCACTGCTTTTCTCCCAGTGATGCTCTTACATGGTTCCCAGTTTGTACACCTAAAAATAATTTGAGGTCTTCTAGTCACTGTGTCTGACATGTTTCCCACCATACTAGCCTTGAGCTTATCCCATACATTATTTACTTGTTTCCTAATGTAGTGACGTTATTTTTCATCCAGATTTCAATAATGATGACTACATATGTAAATCAGACTTGGAAAAGACACTTAATAAGCTTACCAGGAACGAACTAACTCCAGAAGAAGTGTGTCTAGTGTGTGACAAGGTGATTGATGAGGCTGATGTTGACAATGATGGAAAATTATCTTTGGAAGATTTCCAGCATATGATTGTCAGAGCTCCGGATTTTCTCAGGTAGGTGTTTTTTTCCAGGTAGAGAAAAAGATATATGATGGCTGTGCCGAAAGTCCAGTAAAGTGTTATAACGTGTTTTTTTCCAAGCTGATGTCTATTAAAAGAGAGAGTAAAGAATTGTAAGTGAAAGTGTAATTTACAGAATATTTTGCGGTGCCAATTGGCGATGGCCACTCACATGGATTTTCTTTTCTTCTTCTGAAAACTTTTTTTCTGGGGTATTCCTGAAGCTTTCATTGAGTAAAAACTTTACTTTAGAAAGTGTATATTTTGTATCTCTGAAAAAGATAAACATTCTGCCCTGCATAGGTATTTTGGAATTTTTTTGTTGAAAATACCTCACAACACAGAAGAGGAGATGTTGTAAAATTACTCTGGAAACATGATGACTTAGCACGCAAAGTGTTTTGGGTCTTCCTTCTTCCTTGTCTTAATTTGTTTTTGTTGAACAAGTTTGCTTGCTTAGCAGATTCCATTTTTTGAACACACTGTTCCTGTACACTTTCCCCTAATGTGTCAAGCAGACCAAAGATTACATTGTCTAATGTCTATAAACACTTGAAAAATTGCTTGCGTCAAACGTAATAATTTTGATACATTTTGTATAATACTACACACAATTTTTTCCCAAAGTTAAAAACGTACCTCATCTACATCTCAGCTTGTGTTATATGAGTATACAGCAGTGGGGTATATATCCTGACCATTTCACCAACAAATACATTCTAAATACATACACATTAATATGTAGTTGGCACCCACATTTGCAGCTATAACAGCTTCCACTCTTCTGGGAAGGCTTTCCACAAGATTTTGGAGTGATTCTGTGGGGTTGCTTGCCCATTCATCCAATAGAGGATTTGTAAAGTTAGGCAATGATGTTGGACGAGAAGCCTGGCTCGCCATCTCTGTTTCAGCAGAATACTCTGGGGCCCCAGCAGAACAAAATGTGTTTGATGTAGTTGAGGCCAAGACTGGGTGCGGGCTAGTCAAGTTCTTCCACACCAGACATCCAACCATGTCTTTATGGACCTTGCTTTGTGCACTGGGAACAGTGATGCTGTTCCCACAAAGTTGGAAGAATAGCATTCTTCAAGCTGTCTTGGTATGCTGAAGCATTAAGATTTCCCTTCACTGGAATCAAGGGGTATAGCCCTACCCCTGAAAATCGGCCTCATACCATTATCCCTCCTCCACCAAACTTTACGGTTGGCTGTCAAGCAAGTAACATTCTCTTGGCATCCTCCAAACCCAGACTCACCCATCAGATTGCCAAGCAGAGAAGCATGATTTGTCACTACTTAAAACATGTTTCCACTGTTTCAGAGTGCTTTCCACCACTCGATCCAATGCTTGGCAATGTACTTGGTTATGTGAGGCTTACAGGTGAATGGTTAGAGTTAGGACCCACCTATGGGGGTCTGCCTTGACATTGGCAGGTGGGCTCATCCTCTCATGGCCATTGGAGGTAACTAAAAAACCTCCATTTGTTTAAAAATACATAGGGATTAAGGAGAGAGCGCAGGTAACTTGTTTTTCTTTGGTTATACCATAACAATATGCCAACGTGTCTTATTGAAAGCTTGCTTTGCTGTTGTGGGTTTGCAAGCCTATGTATTCTCTATTGCACAAAAGAAATAAAGATTCACCAAGAAAAACCCCAAACATACCTAGCCAAAATCCGAGATGCAGACGACCAAGTTTATTATCTACCTGCACCATTACTACTCCCTCACCACACCTGCATCAGGCACCCATCTCCCCTACATTCATTACTATTTAAGTACTTTTTTCAGTATAAAAAAGCAGTGCTCCCCAACCCTGCTCAGTGAAGAGCAAGGATAGAGAGCTACAGACCCATCTCCCTTCTCAACTGTGATATAAAGCTCTATGCTAAATTCCTCACAGCCCAGCTTAAATCCTGAAACCCCACCAGAGAGGTGAGGGACAACACAATCAGAGCTCTCTCTCATGCATCAAGCCAATACACAATGAGTGGCCTTCTTTTTGTTTGCCACATTGAGAGAGACTGGGCTAGGCCCAAACACGTATGCCTGGATATGAACTCTCTATACCACACCTTTGGCTCGGGTCTGCATAACCCTACTGGACCCCTTTGCTATCCACAATGGAACAAGGCAGGGCTGCCCCTCTCACCACTTCTCTTCGTCCTTGCCCTTGATCCCTTCCTGCAAGCCATAAAGGGATAATCCTGACATCACCTTCCGTTTGTCATCATGAACCCTGAAACCACCCTGCCATCTAAGCCTCTCCCCCCTTTTTTTCCCTCTCTCTTTCACTTGGCCAAAGGGCATGGCCTAAAAAGTCTTGCAAACAACCCCAATCCAATCGAATCAGATGTTTCAGAAAAGAATTGATCAACGGCACAACACTCGATTTAACAGTGTTTGTAACATATATTGTATGATTTTTATTTAAACCTAGTTTGTTGCAAACCTACTGTATGCCATTGAAAACTCGCAATAAAGAAGTTATTGAAAAATAAATAATAATAAAAATGATTATTAATGGACTTTTGATATAAGAGTTTTCACCTTTTTTTTTTTACCAGCACTTTCCATATTCGAATTTAACTTCAATCAATAATCTTGAAATGGGTTTTGAAAAGAGTGGATCTTGTTTCCATGAAATGCACATCTTCAGTCATCTTGTTTCCATGAAATGCACAACTCCAATTGCATTCATATCTCCAAATATATTTTCTAAAGTATTGTTCTTGCAATGATAATGTCTACTTGTACAGCACTCCCCCATCCACTAAAAGCAAATCTGTCCTGTTGTTTTCTTTTAACAAAATAAAATTCTTTATAAAAAAAAAGTGACTACATTTTAAAACTTTTATATATATTCTATTGTTCTATTCAAATCTGAGTCCATGTAGACAAAAATTAGTTGATAACATATGACAGGCATCTTGGTGATCAGTTGTTTTTTGTACATGTTGGGATAAAAATCTATTGTAGGTTTTGATCTAACACTAGACTGAAGCCATAAAACCTCTAGATAACCATCACCAGAGCTGGACATAGGATGTCGTAAAAGGTATTGGCGCATATGCTCTGACTTTGGGTTACTCGAAGGACAACATAATTTAAGAAAATATGGAGTGGGCAATAAACTGCCAGGCCAAACGCCTCTGATCCACCCAGGGGTTTGTCCACTTAATAAACAACTAGTTTTAAGGTACCGTATATACTCGAGTATAAGTCGACCCATATATAAGCCGATACACCTAATTTTAGCACAAAAAACTGGGAAAACTTATTGACTTGAGTATAAGCCTAGGGTGGGAAATGCAGCAGCTACTGGTAAATTTCTAAATAAAATTAGATCCCAATAAAATTACATTAATTGAATATTTATTTACAGTGTGTGTATATAATGAATGCAGTGTGTTTGTGTGTTTGTGTACTGTCTGTGTATATAATGAATGCAGTGTGTGTGTGTAGTGTGTGTATATAATGCAGAGTGTGTGTATGAGTGTGTGTGTATATAATGCAGAGTGTGTGTTTGTGTGACTGCAGAGTGTGTGTGTGTATAAACTGGGTGGGGGGGAGGACATTTTTATTATTTTAATATATATTTTTTTAATATTATTTTATTATTATTTTAATATTATTTTATTATTTTTATTACTTATTTGTTTCATTTTATTGTTATGTCCCCCCTCCCTGCTTGTTACCTGGTCAGAGAGGGGGGCTATCTAATTCCCTGGTGGTCCACTGGCATGGGCTGTGCATGCCACTGGAGGGGGGCCGGGAGCAAGCTTTTACTTACTTTTGTAGCAGATCCATTCAGCTCCGCCGTTCAGCTCACAATGTAAGTCTCGCGGTTTGTATGCCGCGTGGAGCGTTGCCACGGTAACCCGTGGCAAAACGCTCTGACGCCCGTGGGTCTTGCGAGACTTACACTGTGAGCTCAACGGGGGAGCTGAATGGAGCTGACCGAAGCTACTACAAAGGTAAGTAACAGCTTGCTCCGGCCCCCAACAGGACCGCCGGGCTTATAATTAGCCCAGCGGTCCTGGTCTGTATTATGGCAATGTAAGTTGCCATAATACAGACAGTGACTCGAGTATAATCCGAGGAGGGCTTTTTCAGCACAAAAAATGTGCCGAAAAACTCTGCTTATACTCGAGTAAATACGGTATATATTGAGTATGTTGGTCTATCCTGTCGGTGATTTCTTTTTTTTCAACAACTGCTTGGAGACCTGTAACATCTAAATCTCCCACAAGAATTATATATAAGGGGTAACTATATGTAAGGATTTCTTGTGTTTTCTCCTATTTTATTTTATGGACTGTTTTGCAGTTCGTTATCTGTGTTTCTGTATGTCATTTATTTCTATATTTTTGTACACAGGACTGTGAATCTTTTTGTCAGATTAAATGTTTACTTAATCAGCTTGTGTCTTTGTTCTCTATGAGCTCACTCTTCTGAGGAAAGCTCAGGTGAACACGTTGCCAAAAGGGTTAATTATATATGTCTGATTAGTAAAAGTAAGGTTGTGATACTATAATTCTACTGTATGTGGGGGTAACCTAAGACGCCCGGATATAAAGTCTTGGTGGTGGCAGTAAAGTGTGTAGAAGGGATTGCAGGGGTTAATTTAGTGGTTGCTGGGACTAGCAACAGGTAACCAGGGGTCTGGTGTCATTAACCTTTTCACTTCCACACTCTCCCCACACCTGTGTTCAGAGTTTTAATATTTATGCATATTGCTGTATTAATGTGGATATATATGCAGGGGATTTGTGTGGAGTGTCAATATATAACTGCAGGGATATATTTGACTTGTGTGAAGTTGGGTATTATTTGCAACTCTATCCTCTCCCTATATTACCATGTCACAGTCCCACTCTCTGCACGTCACGTTGCCTTGCTCACCTGCTACCCAATATTCTTCAGTTTGTCTTAGTGATCCTTGATATTGGGTGCATCGCTGCAAGGCTGTCTAGGGAGGCATATTAGTACAGTGCACCGAAAAGATTATGGCAGCAGAACACTAAGCAAGAGTCTAATGCAGGGCCGGATTGACATAGGGATTGATGGAGCTGCAGCCTATGCCTATGGTATAGGCCATTGATTTTTATTTATTTTTTACTACTCTTCACATGTGCTTGCTTAAGTATGGAAATTTAAGAGGGATGTAGGGGAACAAAACTGGTGTGGACTGGCTGACAATGAAATTAAAAGCAATTATAAACTGGCACTCTTCTGAACCAAGGTGTAGGTATCTCGGTCACCCACTTCAAACAACCTCCAGAAAATAATACAAATTTAGAAATGTTACCACGCTCTTTTTTTTTTACATTTCATTTTTATGCACATATATTGCCATAATGTTGGAAAGTGCAAAAGCTATTTATTTATTTTTTGGAAATGTCAGACGAAGTACTGAATACAATATATTGAAAGTGCAAATGCTTCTTTCCCCTCAACACACACCTAGTGAGTGTAAACAACATCAATAAAACAAAGTATATATCAACCAAAATCCAGGCAGATATCCTCTCATAGAGTTTCAATGCATATTATTAACAACATAACAGCCATATTACTTAATCATAGCCTCACTGTGTATCCTCCAGAAAAGTATATTGAGAAGAAAAAAATATATAAAAAAAGGAAAAAATTATACAAAAGTGAGAAAAATAAAAATTTTTATATAAAATGATGTGCACAAGCATAGAAAAAAAGTCCCCAGCTAAATCATCAGTTCTCCATGGGCAATGTAAAGTTAAGATCTAACCAAGTTCTTCCGAAGTTTCTCTATTCTGTCATCCAGGAGAGCAGGACCCCTTTGCAGGATATTTAAATTGGACTTATCCTTATGACAGAATAGAGAAACTTTGGAAGAACTTGGTGCTTCAGTTTCTCTAACACTGTGTAGTTCACTTTCTTCTACACCCAATACATTCACTTTTTCTCTGTCCCAGACTGTATAACAGGCAGTAGTGTATTTTGAATTTGTGATGCCCTAGGCATGACAAAACTCAGGCACCCTCCAATCTAAATTTCCCCCACCTCTTCCTGTTTAACCCCTTAAGGACACATGACATGTGTGACATGTCATGATTCCCTTTTTTCAAGAAGTTTGGTCCTTAGGGGGTTAAGAACAACACACACTTTGACTCGCAGGCACACACTGACATCCCCACTCAGTGACCGGCACACACTATGAGATACACATACACTGACAAGCACACACTCACTGATTTGACACACAATCACTCAAACACACGCACTCACTGACAAACACATACTGACAGACACACACCCATCATTAATAGACACATACTCGCTAACATACACTGGCAGACACACCCACTTACTTACAGACATACACTGGCAGGCACACACCCTTGATACTGACAGACTCACACTCACAAATGTTTTTTTTAAGGTTTTTTTTTTACTTCAATTTAAATCTATCCAACCTCCCTACCTTTGGGAGAGCTGGAGTGGATTCTTTCCCAGGGGTCCAGTGGGGCTGCTGGACTGTCTCCTGTGCTGGCTGGTGACTGCTGGGATCCTGTGCTGAAGGGTGTATGTGTGGCCGATCAATGCAGGCAGCGAGGGAGCTGTAATCTTCCTGTTCAGCTCCCTTGCACGCCGCTTAGTGATGGTGGGAGCCAGAGTGATGTCATATTCTGGCTCCGGCATCACCACTATTAGCAGCTGCCCACCTCTGGAGGATCCTGAGGTAGCCAGCCAGCCCCTTGAAAAATGCTAAGAAAATGCAAAAAAAATGCCAGGGTGCTTGGCGGTTCAGCGTTCCCCCCCCCCCTTAAAGTGCCATCCAAGACAAATGCCTTCTAGTAAGAAGATAAGTAGAGGAGTGGACCAGCGAGTGCTAGGGGACAGTCCTTAGAAAGCATAGAGCAAGCGCATCAATAGCAATAATTTATGCCAAGCTCAGGGTGCTGTCTGCACAGCATGCCCTTGGTTGGTCATCCTGCATGATTGGCATGCAACCTGATGTGCATTCCCACCAGGCTGACCATCTAATTCTCCCCTGTTTGGGCATGTTTGCCCCTTTGGGCGGTTCTGCTTACGGGATTCACAACAGTGTCCCACCCTTTTACCCCATCCATGGAAACCCTGCTTCACTGGACACTGCTGTTAGGGATTATGGATTTACTTGAAAGATGAAAGTGAGAGATTAGCACAGGTTATGTGTTTTCTAAAAGACATATATCCTGTAAGTTTTCCTTCAACACCATCTCCACCCGATACATAACTCTTGGGATAATTCTATAGTTGTTTTAGTGTTTTCTGTCAATAAGATCTGTAATTAGGCCCATCATAATTATCAGCACCAGACCCAATGGGTTCTTAATCTGGCACTGGTCTAATGTCTCTACAAGCAGGTGCACATCATAAAAACAGCTGAGATGGCAGGCCACAGAATGTAAACTGGGACGGTCCTACCAACTATAGGACACTTGGGAGATATGTCCCTAAATGCATTTAATGAATTGATATCCTATTGTGTGGTCTTCTCTCCTTGCTATAAAATTCATTAAGGGTTTTAGTAATAGTGAACTGTGGTTTATTAACACCGATTACTAAAGTGAGAATTCAAAGTGAATTTCAAATTTAAAACCACAGTAGCTGAATGGAAAGCATGGCTGAATTAGAAAATTCTTCCAGTTTAACTATTTTGACTTTGAAATTCATGAAGTTTTGCCCCAGTTTGAAAATTGGTGCTCTGTGAATAACACCCCAAATCTCACAGGTATTAAGTAAAATATGTAGAACCATAGTTCAAGATCATATTCCGGCACATGACTCAGGTCTATGACTCATTGTTACACCTTATGTCTTTGTAACTTGTCACATGAAATGACTTTGTGGATTTGATAACTTTCAGTTTTGTTTGTGAAATGGGAAAGTAAGATTAATGTGTTTATAGACAAATATTATTCCGATCGATTGTAGGCACACATTCCACACTATCTTAATGTCTAAGTATGCTGACCATCTGAAATAAATTTAAATTCAAACGTAATAATTGAACATTACCTTGGTCACCAAGCAGTTAACCTAATTGCAGAGTGTGTTTTAAGAATAAACCCAATCAACAATCAACAAAATCATGCACTGCTACTTGCATTGCTTACAGGAACACTCCATATTTATTATTTTTTTTTAACCTAAATTAGATTTAGGGACTGTAAATCCACTAAACTTAGACATGAAAAAAATTAGCAAATGGAATCATAGTCTTTCAGAGAAAGTAAAATAAGGGCAAAGATTACAAATAATGAGGAGGAATAAATAGCATTCCCTGCATCTCTGCTGTATAACCCCTACACTAGTAACTGAACACAAAGATTTAATTCGCTGTTAGAGCATATTGCTATGCAAACTATGGGGAAATGCCCCTGTCCATTCATCTCTGTGGGCTTCAAATAAACCTAAATTTTAAGAATGCTTAAATAATAAAAAAAAAAAAAAAATAACTATCTAGTTTTTGTTGGTTTGCATTACAGAAAATTATCAATGCAATGGTTATTTCAAGATTAACAATGTTACAAAGAAAGACCTAAAGGGTCTGATAACATCAAACATACAGTATTACAAAAACAAAAAGTTAAAGGACCACTATAGGCACCCAGACCACTTCAGCTTAATGAAGTGGTCTAGGTGCCTGGTCCATCTAGGGTAAACCCTTTTATCTATAAACATAGCAGTTTAAGAGAAATTACTATGTTTATAAATGGGTTAATCCAGCCTCTAGTGGCTGTCTCATTGACAGCAGCTAGAGGTGCTTGCATGCTTCTCACTGTGATTTTCACAGTGAGAAGACACCGGCGTCCATAGGAAAGTATTGAGAATGCTTTCCTATGGACTGGCTGAATGCACGCGCGTCTCCTGCGCATTCAGCCGAAGAGGAGGAGAAGAGGGAGGAGAGGAGGAGGAGGAGAGCTCCCCGCCCGGCGATGGAGACCCTGAGGGTGGAGGCACCCTCAGGGCACTATAGTGCCAGGAAAAAGAGTATGTTTTCCTTGCGCTATAGTGGTCCTTTAAATAAAAGTGTAACAATTGGACTGGCTTTATATGCAATCCCTGTTAATGGGTGCTAGGAATCAGTACTTAAATCTGCTGGAAGCTGTGGACTACAATGCCGGGAACCCAAATGGACCTCCTATGTATCTTACACAGTCTACTTCATTCAAATGGACACTACAGAACAAATACAGCTAAAAGGACCACTATAGTGCCAGGAAAACATACTCGTGTATAGTCCCCCTCCCGCCGGGCTCTGGGGAGAGGAAGGGGTTAAAATCTAACCTTTCTCCAGCACCGGGCGGGGAGCTCTCCTCCTCCTCTCCTCCTCCATAGCGACGTCGTCGGCAGGAGCCACGCGCGCATTCAGCCAGTTCATAGGAAAGCTTTTACAATGCTTTCCTATGGCCGCTGGCGTCTTCTCACTGTGATTTTCACAGTGAGAAGCACGCAAGCGCCTCTAGCGGCTGTCAAGAGACAGCCACTAGAGGCTGGATTAACCCTATTATAAACATAGCAGTTTCACTGAAACTGCTATGTTTATAAAAAAAAAAAAAAAGGCTTAATCCTAGATGGACCTGGCACCCAGACCACTTCATTAAGCTGAAGTGGTCTGGGTGCCTATAGTGGTCCTTTAAAGTAATGGTTATAGTGTCTATAGCCTGGCCCTGCAGGCTTTTCAATTTCAGACACAAGGCAGTGTTTACATTGCTGTCTAGTAACACCTCTAGTGACATAGAAACATAAAATGTGATGGCAGATAGGAACCAGTCAGCTGATCTAGTCTGTCCAATTTCCTAAATACTTTCATTAGTCCTTGGCCTTATCTTATATCTAGGATAGCCTTATGCCTATACCACGCATGCGTAAACTCCTTCACTGTGTTAACCTCTACTACATTAGCTGTAAGGCTATTCGATGCATCCAAAATCTTCTCAGTAAAGTAATACTTCATGATACTTTTAAATCTTCCCTCAGTCACTCAGATAGCCACTAGAGGTGCTTCCTGAGTCAGTGCTACACATTGCAATGCATGGAGGGGCTAAACGTTCCCATAGAGATGCATTGATTCAATGCATCTCTATGATGCAATGCTGATTGGCGCAGAGCAGCCTTTTGACGTGCATTTGCAATATCCACCATATCCTATCCTCTGGGAAAACAGTGGAGTGGCGGTGATCATCAAGATTGATAGTCTCAGACTTGGAGGCGAGAGAGAAAAGGGGAGTAAAAATCTAAGTTTTAGTGAAAACGGAGGGCGGCGAGGCGTTACATAAACAGCCACTTCAGGACTATAGTGTCAGGAATAAAGTTTGTATTCCTGACACTACAGTGTTCCTTTAAAGGGATATTAGAGGCACCCAGACCACTTCAGCTCATTGGAGTGATCTAGGTGCAATGTCCCTGTCCCCCTTAGACCTGCGATGTAAAATATTGCAGTTTTAAAAAAAAATAAAAAGCTACGAGAGGCGTTTCTGGGTGATTACTCTGGGTTGCCTAACTTATGCTGGATGTCCTCACGCTCTGCATTAGAACATTCAGTGTCAGTGAATTCCCCATTGAGGCAATGCTTTCCAATGAGGAGGGCCTAATGTTCTCGCATTAGTTGGGGGAGGCGGAGCACTGACTCAGCACCGAGGGACATCAGCGCTGAAATCGGGTAAGCAAATAAGTAAATAAAGGCTTTTAAAACACTTTATGAATTGAAAGGGAGGGGGGGGGGGAACAGAGGGCACTATAATGTTAGGAATACAACTTTGTATTCCTAACACTATAGAATCCCTTTAAGAGGAGATTAAGTTTGACAGTTAATTTTGCTTAATAAAAATTCATTTAATATGAGATTTCCAAGGTTATTTACTAAAGCAGCTATTCAATGTGAATTTCAAATTTAACGTTAAAGTAGCTGGACTGGAACCATAGCGGTCTTACAGTATGTCTCCAGTTTGGCTATTCATTTACCTTGAATTTAGAATTTATTATTATTTCTCACTTTAGTGAATAACCCTGATGAAGTGGCAAGTTCATGGCTTGATGATAGGACTACAAACGTGTATCTTCCTCCTAAAAAGACTTTACACTTTGACACCATTTTGACTCATTGTTCAACTAGACTTTTGATTATTCAAAGTGTAATCCTCCCTTAAAGAGACACTATAGTCACCAAACCAACTTTGGCTTAAATAAGAGGTTTTTGTGTAAAGGTCAATCCTCTGAAGTTTCACTGATCAATTCACTGCCATTTAGGAGTTAAATTACTTTCCTTTTGTTTATGCATCCCTAGTCACACCTCCCCTGTCTGTGACTAACACAGACTGCCTGAAAACAAAATATTATACCTATAAGAAGCCTTTAACTCCTACATGCCAGGGAATTGAGCGGTGAGATGGCAGGATCATGATCTGTACACCAAAACTGCTTCATTAAGCTAAAGTTGTTTTGATTACTAAAGGGTCCCTTTAACATGAAAGACAAAAGTGTTCCAGGGCTTAATATTCATCCACAGCAAATTAATATTGGAACTTAATTTAAAAAAATAAACAAGAAACAAAACATAAGAAAGACGACAACAGAAGTGTACATGTTAATTTTAATACAGTGTAGTGATTTTTAACAATTCATTCACAAAATGGTGTATTAATTTTAACATAGACCTCCTAGAACACCATGTTCTGCAGGAGATGGCTGGTGACTGTAGCAAAAGAGGACTTGACAACAGCACAAAGGACATTATAAACAATTTTTTCTACATGGCTGCGTAAACTCCTACCATTATTATTATTGGTATTTATATAGTGGCAACTTATTCCGCAGTGCTTTACGGTTTTATGAAAGGGGAAAATGTAACAATAAATGAGACAATTACAAAATGATATAGGAACAATAGGTAGATAAGGTTTCTGCTCAAACGAGCTTATTGTCATGACATATTAGCTGAATAATGTCTGAATAGCAAAACTGAAGAATAAATACAAAAACAGGCAGTATAAATATAGATGAAAGCATGGCAAAAAGAGCCTGATAAAAGAAAAAAAATCTGGGCCAATGAGCGCAACTGAAAAACACAATTAAAGAGAGACACTACTGCAGAAAGAATGTGCACATTGCTATTGCAATGAAAGGTGGAATCATGCAGTTCATGGAAAAAGCAGAGAGATCACATGTTAAAATACATAGACCTACTTACACATTTGTAGATACGCTAACAGGCATATGTTTAAGATTTACATGCATTCAGGTAGCATGTAGATAGTTCAGATCATCAGGGGAGTTGCTAGGGTAAAAAAAAACAAAAAAAACCTGGGGCATGAGCCACCCAGGGCCGGATTAACATAGGGGCTGATGGAGCTGCAGCTCCAGGCCCAGGCCCAGGCCCATGGAATAGGCCCATTGATTTAAAAAAAAAAAAAAACACCTTTTTTTTTCACACACTACTCTTAGGGATTCCACCTGGCTTTTATTTTATTGGCACAGCCAGTACTTGAGGCTGCCTAGCTGGTGCCAATATTGCAGTGATATTGGCAATACAAATGCTGGTATTTTTCTAAACAAGAGATTACTATGCAATACCAGCACTGGCCAGTAGGGGTCGCTGTGCGTTGAGACAGGCAGGGATAGGAAGTTCCAGCATATGCCTCCCTGCCTATCTATACTCACTGATCTGTAGGGGTGCAGCTACAGAGAGTCCAGACAGCAACTCCCACCCTGCAGAGACAGCCTACGGCTCAGGGAAGTAAGGGATGGGGGAAAGGCTGCAAGGAGACATACACTGAGACACTAAGGGACATTGGGAGACATTATGACAGACACATGGGGACACAGTCATGTCTCCCAGCCAGTGTCCCTGGTGTCTCAGTGCCCCTAGTCTCCCACTGTCTCACTGTCCCCATGTCTCCTAGTGCCTCCATGTCTCCCAGTGCCTCAAGTGTCTCAATGTCCCCATGTCTCCAAGCTAGTGTCCCTAGTGTATGTGGCCCTGGTGTCTCAGTGTCCCCATGTCTCCCAGTGCCCCATGTCTCAATGTTCCCATGTCCCCCAGCCAGTGTCTCTAGTGTCTGTGTCCCAGCCAGTGTCCCCTAGTTTCCCAGTGTCACTTGTGTCTGTGTCCCTAGGTCTCCCCGTGTCCCCAGGTCTCCCCATCTTCCTAGTGATACATACATGGGGACATAGACACATGGGAATACTGGAGGGCACAGGGAGACATGGGACATTGAGACACTGTGATACATAGGGACACTGTGATATATAAGGTCACTGGGAGACCTGGGGACACGACACTAGGGGACACTGGGAGACATGGGGCACTGATACACTGATACATAGGAACGCTGAGACCTGGAGTAATCGACACATGGGGGCACTGGGAGACACGGGGGCACTGGGAGGAATCCATCTATACAGCATAATCAAACTAAGTAGTTTTTTGGTGATTCTACAGCATTTTCTTTTATGTCACTCCTTGTGATTTACATCATGTGATGTCACCCATACATATTTAATTATGCAAATTAGTAAGGCCAGTATGTTTTTCCAAGAAAGGTGGCAACCCTAACTACTTTTCACATACTCTTACTTAAGTATGGAAACTTAAGAGGGATGTATGGGAACAAAACTTGTGTGGACTGGCTGACAATGAATATAGTTAAAGGGACACTATGGTCACAAGTACAACTACAGCTTATTGAATTTGTTCTGGTTAGTAGAATCATTACCTTCAGGCTTTTTGCTGTAAACACTGTCTTTTGAGAGAAAATGCAGTCTTTACATAACATCCTAGAGATAACTTCACTGGCCACTCCTTAGATGGCTGCTAGAGATCCTTCCTGGGTCATGGCTGCCTAAAATGCATCCAAACATTCAGTGTCTCCTCCCTCTGCATGCAGACACTGAACTTTCCTCATAGAGATTCATTTATTCAATTCATCTCTATGAGCAGATGCTGATTGGCCAGGGCTGTGTTTGAATCATACTGGCTTTGCCCCGATCTGCCGTTTTGTCAGTCTCAGCCAATCCTATGGGGAAGCACTGTGATTGGATCAGGCCACCACTTCTAATGATGTCAGCAGACTGCTTGTTTTTCTGAGTCTAACAGCATGCAGAGTTACAGCTTCAGGCTTGAATACAGTAAGATTTTTACTATATTTATGGAGGCATGAGGGGCCCAGGGGGGTTAGATGGTGGTGTTAACACTATAGGGTCAGGAATTCATGTTTGTGTTCCTGACTCTATAGTGATCCTTTAAGGTAATGCTGACTTTGGTCTCTCTAACACTGTGGCATGTTCCCTTTCTTCTACACTCACTACATACAGCTTTTCTCTGTCCCAGGATATATACCAGGAGCATCTGCCTGCTAGTAAAAAGGTAAGGAGACAAGTGGACCGGCGAGTGCTAGAGGACAGTCCTTAGAAAGCGTTGAGCGAGCGCATCATTAGATGCATTTATGCCAAGCTCAGGGTGCTGTCTGCATAGTATGCCCTTAGTTGGCCAGCTGAATGATTGGCAGGCAGTCTGACATGCATTCATGCCAGGCTGGCCTTCTAATTCTTTGGGCAGACATGTCCTCTTTTAGGGCATGTTCGCCCTTTTAGCAGGTTACGTGATTTGTGTCAGTGGCACACCCTTTTACCGTGCCCATTGACTTCCTGCTTGACTGGACACTGCTGTTAGGGGTTATGGGTTTACTTGAAAGATGAAAACATAAATTAGAGGGAGATTAGCATAGGGTATGTGTTTCCTTATAGCTGCTGTTTTCTTTCTCTCCAGCACCATCTCCATCAGATACATGACGCTTGGGAGTGTTTTTGGTCGATATGATTCTTTAATTAGGCCCCTCATAATTGTCAGCACGAGGCCCACTGGGCTGTTAATCTGGCCCTGGAGCCACCCCAAAATAATTGGTGAACTCTTTCTAAAGCTCCACGCCAGGCCCCTCTGCAAACACTACCCCTGGCCCTTCCCAATTCCATCACTTAACATGCCTCATGGCGCACTCACATTTACTTGCAGGCACACAGATACACATACTGGCAGAAACAGACACAAACAGGCATGCACATCAACAGAGAGGAACACAACAGGTACCAACAGATAGACAAATCTTAAAGCAATGTGTAAATAGATTTGTTTTTTTGTGTTTGTGGTTTAGTATGTATGTCTAGGGTTGCAGAGAGAGTGTGTATGTCTTTGATCTCCCAACCATCCCATAAAGGCACCCCTCTTTAGGGCCGACGTGTGTATGTTGAGGTAGCACCACCGGCCCTGCAGATAGGTGAAAGAAAGATCCAGGCCCCATATTTGGGGCACTAACCTTCCCTGTGTCAACGCCCTTGCTACTCATTGATATGAGGAAATTCTTAAACTGTCAGAGGAAATCAATTATTTGACCTGGGAATTGATCCTATAGCAATTGCTAAAGATAATCAACTGTGATAACCAACAATAGTTATTAACTAATTCTCTGATTTCCTCCCTCTGGTAGCTTGTGAATTGTAAAACCTGTTAGGCAGCACTTTTCATATACCTTCCAACACTGTGGAAAATTGCTACAGTTAATGTAGTTGGATGGCACATGTGAAATGTGTAATGTAATACGCTAAGGCCGTGCTATATGTCAGTTAAACATTGTGCAGTCTATGAAAATGGCATTCTTCTGTTTATTTTCTGCAATGAAATGCTGTACGCTCTGCTTACAAATGCGACATTACAATAGCTGACAAGAGTTCCTTTAATGATCCCAGCCCAAGGATGTGAATTGAAATGTTTGATCTTCACTTATCCTTGATATCACAGTGAATAATGATGTATGTCTGCATGCAATACATAAGGAATAATTGACGACAGGGCATTGAATTATTAGAAAAATAATGCACACCCGAGGAGGTAATGCGGTCACGACCCGAATCGGAGTGACCGCATTACCACCTCGGGTGTGCATTATTTTTCTAATAATTCAACGGCCTGAAGTTATACTACAGTTACCACACCACCAGTTCAGATGATGTATTTCAAGATGTTAATCAAGTTTTTGTCATTAAAACACTCTTGTATGTAGGACTAATTTCTTACGCAACTGTCAACACCTGTCTGGAACTACTTTAGCCGTGCGTCTCCCTGAAAATAATGCACACCTTAGAACGTTCGTCAACCAATCAGATTGAAGCATTTAACAGCCCTGTAGTATAAATATAAACTTATCTCATGGGTTCTACAATCTTTCCATAATTTAGCAGCATTGATAGTTTACTAAAATCCTGGAGCGAATGGGGGAGGTGGTTTATACTCCTCAGGAATGATTTTCTCTGCGTTATTTTGAGGTTTTAGTTGTCCCATAGGCATTATATGTCCAAAATTTAATTGTTTAATGCGTGTTGCTATTGACTGGTTTGCGCTCTGGGTGGCAATGGCTTCACTCCCGTTGTATTGAGGTGTACTGATTGCTGCTGATGTTGTAAAACCTGTTACTGCACTGGGGTTCGGAGGGAACCTTGATTGACCATTGTTTGATGTGCTAGCATGGACTTGTTCATTTGTCAAAATCGGGACCTGCAAGAAATATACCAAAAGAAGTTAGCAAATAATAGACATATAATGTCAGTAAAAAATGCAGTATGGGCCAAGAGGGGGCATGTTAATGATGTCCAACATGAAAAGGTGGTCCTCAAAAAGTGGAGTGTCAGCCTCACTAACTAGCTAAACTCTGGAAATCCCATGCAGAGAGTGATGTTGAAGCACTCACATATTGGCTAAGTGCCCTGAGTTTGATTTGTGCAGCACATCTAATGATGTGCATATTGGGTACATCTCTTGTTTCCCTAGAAATGGATCAACAGGTAGTAGAACTGAAATAACGGAGACTGGAGACTTTCTTGCAAAATATGATACTGTTAGGAGGTATAGTGCAAGTGAGACCTTAAGAAAACAAATAAATGGGTCTTGTAACACTCTTTATAGTTTATGTGGCTGTATAGAAGAGTCTCAAATATTAGAAAACTAATATGATCTGCTGACAAACCATAAAATACAGACATGTACATACATACCTCAAGAGGTAAAACATATAAATGGTCAAATGAGGAGACAAAACCGTGTGGATATAATGACAACAAAATAGTCTCTCTTCCTGAGCTAGCGAAATGTATAGCTTAAAAAGATTTTGGAAATGGAGCCTCAAATCAAACATTCAAAATATGTATAGTTTGTACTGATATATAATAGACATGAGAGATTACAAAAAAATATAGAGGGCAAATAGTGCAGTATTTTTTTGATTGAAAAATACTACACTATTTGCCTCTTTTATATTGTCTCTATTGTAGCTTTCATATGTCGGCACTGACTGTTATAGGCGTGCACAGCCTATTGCATTAGGGTGCACACCCTAATGCACAAACACACATGCTGCATATATATACATACACACACACACACACACACGTATAGTGGCACTCACCCTTTCAATGAATCAGTAAAAGACTGCCTTGGTGCAATCCCACGCTGGATATGTAAAGAAAAAAGGAAAGAGATGCACTCTCAGGTCTTTGTAGAAAAAAAACAAAACTCGATATTATTTAATAACAGGTAACATACATCTGATTGACGTTTCGACCTCTTCAGGTCTTCTTCAAGATCTTGAGGAAGACCTGAAGAGGTCGAAACATCGATCAGATGTATGTTACCTGTTGAGAGAGAGAGAGAGAGAGAGAGACACACACACACACACACACACACACACACACACAGGAGTGTGGGCGAAGCTGGGTAGAGCAGAGACAGCGCCGAGGGATCCAGGTAAGTGCCAGAAGTAGTTATTAACCCTTTCTGCACCACAGGGGGGAGCCTTGACAGAGGGGGAAGCTATAGTGCCAGTAAAACAAGTTTGTTTTCCTGGCACTATAGTTTCCCTTTAATGCAGTGGTGTGTTTTTAAGGTAAAACAGTGTGGGTGAATTCAGAGGGAGCTAATCTAAGATCCACAGCAACTACAAACTGTTGTGCTTAGAGTATGCCTTTAGAGTATGCCTTTTAATGGACATAACTGTATGAGTTCTCTTTTTTGTCACTTCAAATCTTCCAATTGCAATAATTCCCCTACCTACTCTTATCACTGATTACCAGACCCACTTCTCTCTCCCTCTAGTAACCCCACTTTCCCTCCCTCTAGTAACTCCATTTCTCTCTTTAGCCTACAGATCAGGGAAGTGAGGCATGGGGGGGAAAGGGGGACAGCCTACAGATCAGGGAAGTACAGATCAGGGAAGTGAGGCATGGGGGGCAGCCTACAGATCAGAAGTGAGGCATGGGGGGGACAGCCTACAGATCAGGGAAGTGAGGCATGGGGGGCAGCCTACAGATCAGGAAGTGAGGCATGGGGGGCAGCCAGATGGGGAAGTGAGGCATGGGGGGGCAGCCTACAGATCAGGGAAGTGAGGCATGGGGAGGGGGACAGCCTACAGATCAGGGAAGTGAGGCATGAGGGGCAGCCTATAGATCAGGGAATTGAGGCATGAGGGGCAGCCTATAGATCAGGGAAGTGAGGGGAGCGGGGAGAGACAGCCTCTAGATTAGGTGAGGGATGGGGGGGAAGACAGCCTATAGATCAGGTAAGTGAGGGATTTGGGGGGTGGGGAGGAGAGAAAGCCTATAGATCTAGGTAAGCAATGTCTTCTGCATTACCCTGATCTATTAATTTAGTTACCCAATCCAAAAAAAAAAAAAAAATCAATAAGATTAGTTTGGCATGACCTCCCTGAAGTAAACCCATGTTGCCTCTGATCTTGAAATCCATGTGTTTTTAGATGTTTAACAATCCTATCCTTTAACATGGTTTCCATTACTTTCCCCACTACTGAAGTAAGGCTTACTGGCCTATAGTTGCCCAACTCCTCCCTACTACTTTTCTTGTTAATGGGCACAACATTCGCTAACTTCCAATCTTCTGAGACTACTCCTGTTAACAATGATTGGTTAAGTAAATCTGTTAATGGTTTTGCTAGTACACCACTAAGCTCTTTTAATAACTTTGCGTGTATTCCATCAGGTCCCATTGACTTATTTGTCTTTACTTTTGACAGTTGAAATAGAACCTCTTTCCTCTGTAAACTCACATGCATGGGTGTCCGCATGGGGGGGGAGGGGGGGCAAGAGGGGGCATTTGCCCCCCCCTGGATTTTTCAGCTGGTTCTGCTATTTTTCAGGGAATTGAAAGTACGGTGCAGTACCGCGCCGGCCAGTAGGCTGTGTATGTAGAGAGGGGATAGGAAGCTGCATCTAATCCCTCCTTCTTTCTGAATCCGCAGGGGAGCAGCACATGCAGCCAGCATACAAATCAGGTAAGTGAGGCATTGGGGGGGGCAGCCTATAGATCAGGAAGTGAGGCATGGGGGGCAGCCTATAGATCAGGGAAGTGAGACATGGGGGCAGCCTATAGATCAGGGAAGTGAGACATGGGGAGCAGCCTATAGATCAGGGAAGTGAGACATGGGGGAGCAGCCTATAGCACAGGTAAGTGAGGCATGGGGAGCAGCCTATAGATCAGGGAAGTGAGGCATGGGGAGCAGCCTATAGCACAGGTAAGTGAGGCATGGGGCGGCAGCCCATAGATCAGGGAAGTGAGACATGGGGGAGCAGCCTATAGCACAGGTAAGTGAGGCATGGGGAGCAGCCTATAGATCAGGGAAGTGAGGCATGGGGAGCAGCCTATAGATCAGGGAAGTGAGGCATGGGGAGCAGCCTATAGATCAGGGAAGTGAGGCATGGGGAGCAGCCTATAGATCAGGTAAGTGAGGGATGGGAGGGGCATCCTACAGAAGACTGTCAAATGAAGGAGAAGAAAAGGAGATTGAAGCAGAAAGGACAAGTGAAGTGAACCCTCTACTTTATTCTAGACACCACATCAGAAGGCTTTGGTACCTGTGCCTGGCAGGGAAACTTTGGACCTTCTCATCTCCTCAGGTAAAAATAAATAAATAAAAATAAATAATCAGTGTTAATGTGTTCACTTTTATTTATTGAGTGTCAGGAAGCACAGAGTGCCACTGGGTATGGGTGTTGCTGATTGGCTTGAGCAGTCAGCTGGCACTCTAAGCCAATCAGTAGCTCCCCATTCATAAAAAAAGTAAAACATTTGTATGAACCGGGAACTAGCGATTGGCTTAGAGCGTCAACTGACCACTCTAGCCAATCTGCAGCACCGATGTCTAACGTCAATCTGCACTTCCCGACACTCCATTTCTGAAGCTGGATACCACTGAGCGACCTGGAAATCTGGAGCTGGAGGAAGCCTTTGGGGTTAAACCATTTGAGAGAAGTTTAAGCCCTTAAAAGAAAGAGAGCGCCCATTGTCCTCCTGGCATCATAGCATTTTCATTTAGATGAAGTTGTTATGGTGACCAGAATGTTCCTTTAATTTGCTTAAAGGAACACTAGAGTGACAGGAATACAAACGTATTCCTGACACCATAGTTGTAAAAACGCTATTCACCCTGGCTTTATGTGATAATGACTATGCCCTTTCCCTTTCTTGACACTGTCAAAAAGGGACCAAGCATGGATGTCATTACAATTATGCCCTCCCCTTGGAAAAATTCCTGCGGACGCCTATGCTGACTGTATATATTTTGGACATTTGATTTGAGGTGCAACTTTAACATCTTTTCAAGCTATAAATGTGCATACAAAAAACATGTGGGTTTATACACTTAACCAAGAACTGACCAGAATTAGCTATTATTCTATTTCACCATAGTTTAATCATAATGGCAATTCTCTATTTCTGGTTTAGTGAATAACTACATTGTTTAGACATTATACTCAATTATTAATGCCACAAAACTTCTTTCAACAATTTACAAGCATGTTACATAAATACACTTACAAAGCCATTTGGAACAAAAGGAATTTCCTGGGGTAAACACGGGTAGAGTCTCATTACAGCCTGAGGCGGAAGAGCTTGTATGTTAGGTGCTTGTGGAATGCAGTCCACAGATTTATTTCTCCTGGGTGGCAAAGGTGGACACATGTTTTCAGTATTAGTCCCTGGTGAATTTCTAGTCGCTATCCCATGAAGTCCAGATTTTTTTTTTACTGGTAACAGAGGTTTCACTTGCATACCATTAGTGCGATTTTGTAAGCTTGCAATTTCACTTTTCCTGTGCTCAAACAGTTCATGGTAATCAGTTGTTGAGTTTGTTTTCTGTAATTGTAGAAAAACAAATGTTTAATTAAAATTTTAGAACTCTGCCATGCAGTTTTGTATTCTCATCCAGTTCAGTCAGAGAAGGATTGTTCCAAGCCCCTGTCTAACCCCTGGGCCAAAAGAGGCTGCCAAAGATCACGTATGGTCCAGGCAGGAGGTTTACTCATGAAAATTTCCAAGACAAAATTGGAGGACAGTGCTTAGCTTTATAAAATACCTGACTGAGGGGTCCATTCGGGAAAAGGGATAAGGGCCCAGAAATGTAAGCCTGCCTTGTTGAAATGAAATGTTGTGGAATCAGTCAGAAATGAGCCAAAACACACTTAGAAATAGTTACAAATCACTGGACTTAAAGCAGTTCAGCATTGAGGAGTGTCTTAGAATTCCGAGACACTGATTAGCTATGTATAACGTTTGGGTGCAGTCTGTGCAACTATAATTGTCCAGCAGCCAGTATTTAAATCATAGCTGATACACTTTCACACATATGTTGTGCGTTATATAACTTTCTTAACAAATTACATACGTACTTTTAATATTTGTTCACGTAGGTTTCCATTTAATCAGTTTTATCTAAATGTTATTGTGAGATCTTAAATCAAACCCAATATTAAACGTCAACACTACGCAACTGTGCATAGAATTAGAAAGGATCCCAAAACTGTCTCACATAATTGCACAATATTTAGCAGTATGCCATACTTAAAAGGACACAATAAGCACCCAAACCCCTTCATCTCAATGAAGTGTCTGGGTGCCATGTCCTCGCGTTTTAACCCTGCAGCTCTAGTTTTTATTGCAGGATTTAAATGCAGACAGTCAGTAGGGGAGATTCTGATGAACTAGAAGCTCAGAGTTTTGTCGCCTATGGGAAAGCACTGGATTGGCGAGATCATCTATGATCTCAGTCAAGGCACTGGAGGGAGAAAAGTTGAGTAAACAACATTTTTTTCTTCATGCAGGTGAGGTCCCGGGACCTGAACAGCCACCAGGGCACTATACCTTTACAAATACACTTTTGTATTCCTAACGTTAAAGTGTTCTTTTAACTCTCTTACAGATTTTTCAAAGAAAACCTGTTTAATTATCTACAATAAGGCTTAGATGACTAAAGAAATTACTTGTGAGCAAATTGGGGTAGGGGGTATAAAGCAGAACTGTGCATGGAGTATGCATAGTTAATTAAGTACCATGTGTAAAGGGTGCATTGACAGAAACCCTAAATACATATTTACACATCTACTGTACAGTTATAGGTTAATGCTAAATTATTGTTATCAAACTTTGTTCCTGTTATACCATGAGACAGTTTAGTGGATACAGCTCCAGTTTCTTTATTATTATTATTGCCATTTATATAGCGCCAACAGATTCCGTAGCGCTTAACAATATTATCAGAGGGGGGATTTAACTATAAATAGGACACTTAAAAGACAACTTACAGGAACGATAGGTTGAAGAGGACCCTGCTCAAATGAACTTACATTCTATAGGAGGAGGGGTGTAAAACACAATAGGATAGGAATTCGCAATCAAATAAGATGGGTGTGAGGCAGAGCTGGAGGAGAGAGTAGAGTGCTGCCCTTTAGAAGAGAGCAAGAGACAGGTATGTAAGGTAGAGGTTATTCTGGGAGGCCATAAGCTTTCCTAAAGAGATGGGTTTTAAGACACTTCTTAAAAGATGCAAGACTAGGAGAGAGTCTGATGGCAGTAGGCAGGCTATTCCATAGGAAGGGAGCTGCCCGCGAGAAGCCCTGCAAGCGTGAGTTGGCTGCACGGGTGCGAACAACGGACAGGAGGTGGTCACGGGCAGAGTGGAGAGACCGAGAAGGGACATACCTATGGATCTGTGAGGAGATATAAGAGGGGCTACAATTGTTCAGTGCTTTATAGGTGTGAATTAGTAGCTTGAATTATCTCCTAAAGGATACAGGAAGCCAATATAAGGACTAGCAGAGGGGTGAGGTGTACAAGAACCGACTAGAGAGGAAACTCATTACGGACTGTAGCGGTGCAGTAAGGCTTTTGGGAAGGCCAATCAGGAGAGGGTTACAAGAATCCATGCAGGAAATTACAAGAGCATGGACAAGCTCCTTTGTAGCTTCTTGTGTAAGAAAGGGGCGGATGCGGGCTATGTTTTTAAGATGAAATCTACAGGATTTGGCAACATACTGGATGTGAGGCTCACAGGCGAGTCCAGAATAAAGTATTATGCCAAGACAGCGCGCTTGCAAGGATAGACTTATGTGAATACCACTAACTTGAAGGAAGAGTGAAAGAGGAGGATCAGTATTAGGAGGAGGAAAGACAAGGAGCTCAGTTTTTAAAGATTGAGTTTCAGAAAGCGGGAGGACATCCAGTCAGAGATGGAAGAGAGGCAAGCAGTGACACGTTGCAGGACAGCAGGGGAGAGGTCCGGGGAGGAGAGATATTTCTGGGTGTCATCAGTGTACAGGTGGTAGTGGAATCCAAAAGAGGTAATAAGTTTGCCAAGAGAGGCAGTATAATGATAAAACAGAAGGGGTCCAAGGACAGAGCCTTGGGGGACTCCAACCAAGTCAGGACGAGGAGAGGAGGTATCATTAGTAAAGGAGACACTAAATGAGCATTGTGAGAGATAAGAGGAAAACCATGAGAGGACAGAGTCACAGAGACTGAGTGATTGAAGAGTTTGGAGAAGGAGAACATGATTATCGGTGTCAAAGGCACTTGCACATTTGATTATTATAACTGTAATAGTATGTTACATACAAATATGAGACATACAGTACCTGTCCACATGGGTGGAACAAAATTTCATTGTATGGTAAAATAGGATAATGCATGTGACACGTTACTAAATCTTCCAGCGATTTGTGAATTGTTGTGTCTCCTGAAATATGGCATTTGTGTCCTTCTGTTACATCGATCATGAAATGCCTGTAGTGATCCTCGGTTCTAAATTAAAAAAATAAAGATGAAATATATAAATGATTGTGTCAGATATAAAGTCTTCAACGTAATTCATTCTAAAGCACGTAAGTGTTAGGTAACCATGATATTTGTACTTTGGAATACAGTCGATCATTGAGGTGTAAGAATTGCACATTGGGGGAGTTGCGTCTGGAAATTACCATGTTGAAGAAAGTAACTATATGAGTAGAAGGTATGTGAGCTTGGACATATTCTTTGAAGACTAGAAATCTATTTGGCATGTATATGATGACATTACATTGCATGCTGGGTCAATAATGGTGCTCTCCATTCTAGAGCCCATCATCATCTTAATATATGTAAAAGTTAAACGATTTAAAAAATTGTAATAAATAAATAGATGCTGCCCTATCCATATCAGGAATTAGCCTAGACCTCAAAACCAACGTCTAGTACTCCTCTGGGAGTGTCCAGCATATCTTACAAATCCCATTTCAGTCATGGTCAGTGGGATATTAAGCTTGGCACTCAGGAACAACTTAATTTACAAAGACACATAAATGTAACAAATATTCAAGTTAAAAGAATACTCAATATATCACTACTAAACCTAGAGTGTCTCAATGAACCTATAGCGATCAATGTAAACATCATAGATTCTTTTAACTTCGAACACCAGTTTCTAATACATTTGTTTTTTTTTATTACCTCAAGTTGAAAGTTCACGGGATGGGATGACATTATTGATAACCCCTTATGTTTTTGTAGACTGTGTTTTTAATATCCAGTTTTGTCTGTCCAAAATATATAACACACGTGTGTCACTCTTCATGCTTGTGAAAGGGGGAGTGACACTTATGCTATATATATTGTGGACTTGTTTCTTATTTTGTGACTTCCTATTTAATTTTTATAATTGTACTAATACTGCCGTCTCTTGTTTTATTTATATGAGGTTAATTAGCTCCTGGTCATTTTCATTATACTAATATTGTTTTGTTTATTACTTATAAGGATTAGTAACCCTTTTGTCCAGTTTCAGAGCTGTTCTTGTGACATTCATAAACGTTCTTTAAATTTCTTTTCTTTAATATGATTGTTCTATAAAGAATATCTGAGATAGTTTCCGGTCCATTTTTTCCCCATTAAATATACTATATAGTGCACGCAAGCTTCTGGTAGTCAATATTTTGGCAAATTTCTTGGTAGCAAACAGTTTATAATCAGCTTAATTAAGACAGAGTGCAGAGATTTCTAAAGACACTAACATTTATATAACCATACCTATAAGATAGGCTGTATCCAATACGACTTTCACCAACTCTGATGAGAAAACTTCCTGGAACATTATGTGACAGTAGGGTTTCCGCTTCCCTGTTTAAAATAAGTAAATACATACATAAAAATAATAGGCAAGAGAGTTCAGTAAATGTCTTTTGAGCTGTGATTTTGGAGTCATAGGTTTGATTGTTGGCAAGATCAACTTAGAACCAACCTTCTGAGACCAATAATAAATACAATTATGTGAACTAAAAGTGTTAAAAGTGCATATTTTGAGATCTTCCTAACCACTTTGTGCTGCAAGTAGAAGACTACAATATGCTTCTCATTAAGAAATATTAAATTCAATGCTTGTCTGAGAGAAGCATTGCAGGCATAGAATCGGATTTGCCAGGAGGTTATAAGTTCTAATGGTCTCTGGTCGAAGGAGTGGAACTGTAGTGAGGAGACCCTTTTACTGCTGGCTTACAGGTGGAAAATAATGGGCAAAGGTGGCCTATTAGGCTTCAACACTCCAACCTCTAAATGTTGTAGTTATATGGTAGAATGTAAATAAAGCTATTAAACTACTGAGTTGTAGAGCAAAATTAATGTAAATAAAAAATTGTAATGGAAAATTTTAAGATAATCAGATAAATAAATCCACTGCTCACCTTACAATCTAGTTCTGTACTCAGAACTAGAAAAGGGAACATAGAATACTGAAATAAAAATTTGAATCTGTAATAAAGGAAGTTGTGTTACATTGCCTTGTTTCTTTCATGATAGAGATATGAGAAGTCTTTGTACAGACCACCAAATACTATTTTTATACTTCTACCAGAAAACCTACAAAAGGTAAGTTTTGTATTTGCATGTAGAAACATGCATATTTAACCCCTTAAGGACACATGACATGTGTGACATGTCATGATTTCTTTTATTCCAGATGTTTGGTCCTTTAGGGGTAAAAAGGACATTTTATTCTCTAGAAAAGGACTTTAAATTCCACAAGCAAACAGAGGCGTACCCAGGGATTCCAGCACCCCATTATGAAAAAACAAAAACTATTTTTTTAGATCAAAGTTTTCCACCATGTAAAGGGAAGCTAAAGAAATAGATCTAGCATTATATTTTGTTTCCTCGTCCTCCCTGTACCATAAAAAAGTGAATAAAGGGAAATAAAAAGTTCCTGAGGTTTAACACCTTATGACAAGCATAACACAGGCCATTACACCTTATTGCAAGTACACCATAGGTAAAGCATGCCTTTTTACAAGCATAACATAGGGACATCACACCATATCAGTTCCGGACTGGGGATAAAATCCAACTCTGGAAATAAACGCAGGCCCATAGCATTGCGTCATTATACCAGCCCTATCTTATAACATTAAATTCTTGTTCACAAAAGGGTATCCATGCATTTGAAAGTACATTTGAAGAGTATTATTATTTATAGATGACTGATATATACCCCTTCCCAGGGCAATATATATCACCAGTATTTACACAAGGTGATACCGCACACATTGCCCTGATATATACCCCATGCACAGGGCAATATATAGGCCCCAGTATGTACACAAGGTTATTTGAATCGCCCTGTGCATTGGTATATATCAGAGCAGTGTGTGAGACATAACCCTTTGTATATAGTGGGGGCATAGATTGATTTACCCGAGCACACAGATTGCACTCTCAGGACTTGCTACAGCAACCAGGACTTACCCAAGCACTGAGATTGCACTCACATGACTTGTCCCAGTACCCACCCCAGCACCCAGGACTTTCCCCAACACCAAGATTGTTCTCATGGTATTTGCTCCAGCACCCAGGATTTACCCAGGCATTTATATTGCACGTACAGGACTTCAAACAGCCTCTTGCACGCACCAAGCAGGAGAGAAAAGATGCCGGATGATATTACCAGTGGCAACAAAGACAACATTACATTGGCTGCGAGAGTGCTCTCACACACTTGGTGACGCATCTGCATCCTGCCACAGCTAAATTCTTAAAGGCCACATCACACAGCTGCCCCAGGGCACTGACTCTGCACCATATTACAAGCTGGAGTCTTTACTGGTGTCATTTTTTTTTTATAACTAACAAATACCTTGGTTGTGACTGTTGAACTCAGGCTGTCTGAGTATAGAGAGAACTGCATGTGATGTACCGGGGTATCTTGGTGCAATGGGGACTGCATATTGGGCTCTCGGAGTGAAATGGTTACAGTTTGTGTGTGATATATTTGACTGTATGAGTGTATTGGGGACTGAATGTGATGTACTGGGGTGTCTGGGTGTAATGGGGACTGTGGATTGGCCTGTCTGAGTGTAATGGTTACAGTTGGTGTGTGATATATTTGGCTGTCTGAGTGTAATGGGGACTGCATGTTGTCTGTGTGGGATAGGAATAGTTTGTGTGGGATGATATTGGGCTGTGCACATGTGAAGGAAACCTTATGTTAGCACTGGGCTGGCTCTGTTTGATGAGAAAGTGTGTGATAATTTTGTGCTGTCAATGTGTGATGGGGACTGCTCATGTTTGTGATGGTTTTGGGCTGGCTGTGTACGGTGCTACTGTGTTTCTTAGTAATAAAATGAGTAGATAGAATAATGTAACTGGTGATCTGTGTTGCCTGTGACCGGTATGAAAGTTGGTGAATCCCAGAGCAAAACAAACTAAAATTAATGGTTTCATTTTCACACATGTAATCTGGGTACATACATATCATCTATCTAAAACCTTTAATTTCTCTCAGTAGTAATGCCACTGTCTAGAGCAAACATGTCAAACTCAAAGTCTAGCACAGGCCATAGAAACAAGGTTTAAGTTTATGTGGGCCGAAAAACCAAAAAAAAAACCAAACACTTACATTGTCATAGAAACATGTTTATTTTGCAAAGTACAGTATAAAAAAAAAAAAAAACAACGCACCCCCTCTGCTAAATCCCAGCACCCTCCCCTCTACTAAATCCCAGCATCCCTCCCCCCCCATCTAGCCAACAAGCAGACTCCACTCACATTGCCGCTGCCAGTATGCAACTCCGGAGTCCGGCCTCTGGTATACCCCAAATGGCGCCATCTGCACCCTGTGCCAAAGCGGATCCTGCCACTACTTCTTGAAACCCTATGAAGGTGGAGCACGTTGAAGCGACCTCGCAATGTGATGTGGCGTTGCGTGCCTCCGTGCACCTCCAGGTACTCCACTGTCCAGCCGTGGCTATTGCAACACTGACCGAAAAAACACATACTCAGATACACAAACACTGACAGACACACATTCTTGCACACACTCACATCATTCCCTGGGGTAAAGTTGGTATCTTCTATCTGAAGATATCCTTACTGCTTCCTCACGCAAAGTGAAGTCATATTCCGGCACCTGGCATCACTACAGATGGCGCTCGAGGGAGCAGGAAGACTGAGCTCCCTTGCTGCCGCCAGCATCCTGCTTCCTCTACGGCCGGGTAAATTATACCTGCAATGTGGAGACAGCGGGTGCCTACTCTGCTTTAACACCAAGCATGCACTCGCAGCTAGCCGGGCCACAAAGACGTTTATTGTGGGCCGCAGGCAGGCCGCGAGTTTGACATGCTTGGTCATCCATATCGCTCCCCAAATCGCATCTCTGTGTTCCTCTTCCATGTCTCTCCTCCCTTCCATCCATTCCCCCCCCCCATTTCATTCATATCTTTCCCCCATCAATATCTCCCCCATGTCCCACTCCAAGTCTCTCTCCTTCCCATGTCCTCCTCTCATCCATGTCCCCCTACCATCCATGTCTCTCTCTCCCCATGCGTCACTTCCCATGTGCCCCTGCCCTCCATGACACCCCCTATCCAAGTGTCCACCTCTGCTTCCTTCACAGAGCAAGCGGCCTAGGTAGCACCGGCTCTGCTCACACTTATGGCCACCCTCCCTGCCTACCTGTTAGAGCAGGGAAAGGAGGATGGCTTCTCGCTGACAGCGCGCTCTTACATGTGACACCTGGCACTCCTACATAGAACGGAGGGGAGGAGAGGAGCATATAGTTCCCTTATGGAGTCTGACAAGTGACCAACCCCACGTTATGCCCCTGAAGCAAATTAAATGAGGGAAGTTAGGATACACAGGAACACAGATACGCACAAGCACACTCAGGTTTACACAGGTGTACATAGAAGGTCATGTTCTGACACAGAAAGGCACACAAATAAACAGACGTGTACTGATACAGAAACACATTCACAGATAGAAACACAAAGAGACATAGAGGCACATGCACGGATACACTGTAAACATAAAAACAAAAACAACGACAATACTGTGTGTGTTTAAATATTTCCTTGCAAACCTCATTTGTGGCTTGGGTAGCAGACATGTTTCTGCATGGGACTGAAAGCAGCATAGTGATAGAGGCAAGGGGATATGATATCACATTTCCTGTGTCTCTAAACCGTGTTGCCCAAATCTCACTGGCACCACAGGGGCTCGTTTTATACTGCTCTGTGTTGCTCGGTCTGCTAGTTTGCTCCTAAAGCTTCAGAAGCTCCTGACACTTGTGGGCTCCTGGCTATCTGTGGGGCCAAAAAGATTCAGGACTATGAAGTTCCACATTTCGGAGCTAAAGTCCCACATTTCGGGGCTGAATTCCCCCCTCCCCTCTTGCAACATGCATAAATTATCTTCATAAAATACAAAAATGTCACTAAAAATAGAACAGTTAAATAGCCATGTATCTCAGTTCAGTGTTTCAACGTTTGTATGAACAGCTTGACACATTAATGTTAATCTTATTTATTGATTTAGTAATCAATAACACTTTACACTTTATTTTCCGTCATCAAGGTGTGAGATTTAAAAAGAAAGTGTGCATTATGGTGACAGCCAGGGTGAACGAGTTTAAAGAAAACATAATGTGCTTACGTAATGTGTCATTTATAACATGTGACTAAACCAAGGTGTGATGTGGAACACAACAATGTGGATTATGATATAAATAGCTGTTCGTCAATTCACCATTCCTAAGTGTGTGTGTAATGACAGCCTTTTGAAGCCTGGTTTGTTAAATCATGTGTGTATGTTCTGGCTACAGTAGCATTAGAAAAAGTTTTGGGGTTTTTTATGTGGGGGGGGGGAGAGTTCTGTGCATGTTTGTCTATACATCTCATTAAAATTTAAAGACCAAAAATCACCCCATGGAGATTAATATAATTTAAAATTTAATGGTATTGTATTCCTTAAAAGGACATCTACAGTCATCCAGACTACTTCATCACAATGAAGAGACAATGGGGGGGAGGGTGAAGAAGAGAGACCGGGAAGTGGGGGGAGGGACAAGAGACCGGAAGTGGGGAGGGACAAGAGACCGGGAAGTGGGGGAGGGAGGGACAAGAGAGACCGGGAAGTGGGGAGGGACAAGAGAGACCGGGTGGGGGAGAAGAGACAAGGAGACCGGGGGGGGGAGAGAGAGAGACACCGGATGGAAGGGGGGAAGAGAGAGAGACACCGGATGGAAGGGGGAGGAGAGAGACGGGGATGGAAGGGGGGGGAGAGAGAGAGACCGGGATGGAAGGGGATAGAGACAAGGGGTGCAGTCTGGCTCAGTGAGTGCAATATGAAATACACCCTGTTCCAAATTATTATGCAAATTATCTTTTTCTCATTTACCTAAATTATTGATGTAAATAACAATCATAATTCTCATGTTATCAACTATTAAGCGTACAATTCAAATTTTATTGAACAAACCTCTTAATGATAACTTTAAAAAAAAAAAAACCACAAACTTACAATGCACTGTTGCAAATTATTTCGCACAGTAAGTTTCAAAACACTTTATTGGTTGTAAAGAACTGAAAATTGTAATTTGTTGATCAAAAGAGCCCTGAGACACAATGTCATCCATGAGTTAAACTGAAAAACAAAATATTTAATCTTTGTGACACTTAAATAGAATTTGCATAATAATTTGGAACAGAGTGTATGAAGAGTGAAAAGGTACAGGGAAAGCAGGTTAAAATGTATGTGTACAAACAGGCATACCCCACTTTTAAGTACACAATGGTACCAGAGCATGTATGTAAAAGAAAAACGTACTTAAAGTAAAGCAATACCTTTTTTCACTTTCCAATGCATGTATTGCTTGCAATAGTAATTTACAGACATTACTGATATTGCAACTGCAGATTTCCAGTGATTTATTTAGTGACTTCCAGTGGGTTTTTATTCAGTTAAAAAAAAAAAAAAAAGTAAAAAGAAAAATCTCATTCCAGATTGTACCATTTATCTATAATGTTTTACTATCTGACAACCTTAAACTGGGAGGAAAAGTAAAATAAACCTGCTCACTGGGCCATTTTCTGTCGATACAGTGCCAATTTGTGTTAGCAGCTTATTTGTACTTTGTTTAGAAACACCTCTTCATCACTTTATGCAGCATTTATGGTTTAACTTTGAATAATCAGAATTGTGGGTAATGCAGCTAAGCTGCTACGTCATCGGTATAGAAAATGGCAGGGTAAACCCTTTCACTGGATGGTGCCGACTGCAGAATATGGACAATGTATGGGCAGACAAAAATATATATGTTCAGCTAGGAGTAGACATTATAAATTTGATATGATTAGCCTGTGTCATGGCAGATGGTGTGAAAAGTTCTTGCCCCAAAGACACTGAACTGAGCTGCTCTGGGCGAGAATAGAACCTTCCATTTACTGTTCACTCGTGGACAGAAGAGGCGCGGGAATGTCTGTACTCACAAGGCACCTTTAAGTACACGCGCGGGCAGGTAGCTCTTTTCTTCGCTAGTGTATGTAAAGTGAGCATGTAAAGCGAGGTATGTCTGTATACAATGACCAGTAAAGGGCTCAGCAAGGGGCAGCAAACTATATAACTTTGCCTAGGATGGCACAAACTCTTGCACTGACCCCAGGGCCGCCATCAGGGGGTGACAACCCTGATGGTTGTCACGGGCTCGGCGGTCCTGGGAGGCCCGGACTGCTTTGGCAGTCCCGGGCCCCACTTTCTTTCTCTGCACACATAGATAGTGAATATCGCAATCTATGTGTGCAGCAGCGGGCCCCCAGCTCCCTGTTACTGCAGAGGGGGCCCAGCACACAGCTTCTACTCTCTTCTAATAACTCTCGCGAGACCCGGTTACCATGGCAACGCTCTGCGTGTCTTGTGAGAGTTATTATAAGAGAGTAGAAGAGAAGAAGCGGTGTGCTGCCTGGGCCCCCTCTGCGGTACCAGGGAGCCGGGGGGCCCCCCATGCCACCAGGGATGGAATCTCCCCCCTCCCTGGACACAGGTAAGAAACAGGGGAGAGAAGGGAAATAACATTTAATTAATTTAATATACACTAACACAACACACACTCCGCATCCACTACACACACTCGGCATTCACTACACATTTACACACACTCTGCATTCACTGCACTAACACACACTACATTCATTACACTGACACACTCTGCATTCACTACACATGAGGCTCATGTATGGTCTAACAAGCTATTAACAGAGCAGAAGATAGTAAATGATAAATTAAACAGAATTAGCATAAAATAAGTATAAACATTAGAGGACTCTTTATAGGAAGTGTTTAGGGAGGCTGTGTGAGTCACATGTAGGGGGGGTTGTGACAAGTGCTGCATACACAAAGTAATTTAACTCCTAAATGGCAAATAAATGGCAGTGAGACTGCTGGGGCATGGTCTATACATCAAAACTGCATCATTAAGCTAAAGTTGTTTTGGGGTCTATAGTGTACCTTTAACCCCTTAAGGACACATGACATGTGTGACATGTCATGATTCCCTTTTATTCCAGAAGTTTGGTCCTTAAGGGGTTAAGTTATATCCCCTTTTACAAAACCAGTAAACTAGTAAATATAAAAAAAAGGACTTGCGAGATGATGCCTATGGACCTACCAGTTTTAAGATGCAGAGTTTGTGCATCTCTCATGGATTTTATGCTGACCCATAAGCAGTGGTGTATTTTGGATTTGTGCTGCCCTAGGCACGACTAAATTCGGGCACCCCCAACATCTAAATTTGCCCCTGCAATTTGTGTCAAGGCCACTTTTTTGACTGAGACACATGCCCTCATTGATACATGCACTGATATACACTCACTGACAGATACAGTCATTGGCACACACTGTTTAACCAACACACACTTTCACTGACAGAAAGAAATTGACACAACCACTCACTGACAGGCACACACTCAGATACACATAAAATTACATACACACACACATTGACACTCACAGACACACCCATTCTCACTGAAAGACACACACACTTTCATTCGCTCACAGACACACACTGACAGCTAAACTCACTCACAGTATGGTGGACAGCATCAGAACATGAGGCAAACAAGGCATTTGTCTGGGAGCTTGGGGTGGCATTTTTTGGCACCGCCCCCTCCCCCCCAAAAGTGCCACCCTAGGCAAATGCCTTGTGGTAAACACATCCCAGCCCATAAGACTTAATAATTCTAGGATTATGTGTGTTCCTTTTAACATACTCTCATAACAGCAAGTGAAACTGAATATTGACTTGCTAAATTGACTGAACTAGGATGCCTGATTAAGTGGTTCTTAATCACTGGGTGGGGACCAAAAACTGGTCCCCCATTACTTGGAACAGGTAGTTCAGGCTTTTAGTAGATGACACTTGTAGCGATCTTCCTGTGTATAACTTTTTCTTGGCTTCATTTGCTGAAATAGTTTAAGTGAGGCCCCAGGCAACATCTCATTAAAAACTGGTTTATTGTAGCATCTCTGATTTTCCTGGTGCGAATGTGACAATCTAATGAAAGTGCTTCTTTAGAATTTATGCAACTATTTCTAAGAAAAAAGCTAATAAAATGCATATTCTGTTGTGTCCCTGTTAACAAAAGGCAGATAACTACTGAACTAATCTTATTGTGTGTAGCAAAGAGATGGAGGCGCAAACCTTGAAAAACATCCAAAATAATTTATTATTAACACTAATTAGTTGTCACAAACACTTTAGTGTAAATGATATATTGACACATTTAAAAAATAAAACTAAACAAATTGTACCCGTATGTTTACTTTCTGTCATGTCACGCTGATTGCAATAAGACTACAAACAGAGGCATGGTCTAATTTTCTGGGTACTTTTTGAGGAAAATAGAAAATACTAGCTGAAACCAGGGTTTGCTAAAATATGCATTCGTAACCAGACTGAACAAACGTGCGGCACATTGGCAGCTGGATAATGTATGGTTGGCACCGTTTGTTTATTGCCTTCTGTAATCTGTGACAGCAGCTCGGAATATTAAAATTTATCTATTAGCAGGCATGCAACACATTTATTGTTAAGGTCAAATAGTCCTATTGTACAGATCAGACAGGCACATCATCTCTTTGTTTAAATATTAGTTATGACGTCAAGCTCATTGATTTCTAATAACTGAACAGCATGTTGTGGTGATTTGACTGTAAAATCTGATTTTTGGTTAAAATATAAAATCACTAAAAATTCATACAATTTCCTGTTTATGTTAGATTGTCTTTAAAACTTTGCAGTTTTGTGTTTGTTTTTGTTTTAATATGAAAATAAGCAAAGTATCAGCAAGTCACTGTAAAGTAAATAGAACTTGGTGTATTTGTCTGTGGCAATTAAAATTCTGTCATCTCATTTGTAAAAGTCTCTTACTTTCTTGTGATGATGCCGTGAAACCATTCAGGGATCCCATTTTGGAAAAACCAGTCAGATTGGGTTTCCATGAACCATTTTACAGATGGTTTGGTCTCTTCCATCTTCTTCTGTAATACTTAACAACTCATCACTAGCTGGAAATAAATGAATAAATAAATAAAATTGAATGTTCTCTAAATTAAACAGGTCTTCAAATAATTTGGTTCTAGACTAACAAGTGGCTAAGGATTAAAGCGGCACTGTCATGGATTCCTAAGCCTATACCGCGAGTAGGGGCATGTCCACTAAACAGTGAGCAGCCTGTGGCTGCTCACTGTAAAAAAACAAAAACAAAAAACTACTATCCGGCCCCCACCCCTGCGTGACAGGTGGGGGCCCTAAATAACAATAAGAGGGGGGACCTATTGTCCTTCTTCCCGGTCCCCACCCTTGAGCAGTGGGGGCCATAAATTACAATGGGGGAGGACCTACTGTCCTCTCCCCCCCCCCAGCCCCCTTGAGCAGTGGGTGGGGGCCATAAAGATAATTAGGGGGTGGAAACCTACTGTCCCCCCCCCTGCGCAGTGGGTGGGGGCCCTAAGACAAATCCCCCCCCCCATCAAAGGTGACCAGGGGTCCCCAACCTAGTCACCCACCCCTCCCACCCAAAAAAAACCAAAAAAGTAACCCCCTACCTACCCCCCCTCACCCTAAAAAAATAGTGAGGGGGGAATAAAATAACTAACCTGTAAAGAAAAAATAAACTTACCATTTGACATCTTTTTTCTAAAATCTTCATTTTTCAGCCCCCAAAAAAGCCAAATTAAAAAAATCATACCCAAACTTAAAATAAAATAAAAAACCCGGGTGGGGCCGGGGGGAGGACAGTAGGTCCTCCCCCATTGTAATTTATGGCCCCCACCCACCGCGCAGGCGTGGGGGCCAGGGGGAGGACAGTAGGTTTCCTCCCCCCGATTGTCCATTATGGCCCCCACCCACAGCTCAGGGGTGGGGGCCAATAGGTTTTTAACAGTGAGCAGCCACAGGCTACTCGCTGTTTACTAGACATGCCCCTACTCGCAGTATAGCGAGTAGGGACAGATCATTTACTAATACTAAGTAATCCTTACTTAGTATTAGTAAATGTGGCTGAAAGACCAATTTAGGTCTTTCACTTTTTTTTTTTTTTTAAGTAGATAGTTCCCTAATACCGTGGGCATCTTGCAGCCGCGGCACAAATTGAATCGGAGTTTCATTCATTCAAATTAAAGTCCGATACGAACAAAGTGCCGAATTGAGTTCTAAAAACAAACATACATTCTGTTCTCATTCAGTTAGAACGCAATTCAGCAGTTTTGTCTAAAATGACAGGAAGCATCGCGAGATCAGAGGAAAGGTAAGAATTATGGGAAAATTGCTCTGACCAGCAGAAATGAAGCACACTTTGCTCCTCCGCTGGTCAAGCGGAGAAAACCTCCATAAGGCAAAGAGTCCCTACTTTGTCTTATGATTTTAAAGAAAACTAAAGAAGACAGGAAGAAAAGAAGAACAGATCCTGAGAGAGGGGGAGAAGAGTAAGAGATTGAGGAAAGGTAAGTTCAGCATGACAGTGCCACTTTAAATATGAATAGACAGCTTATGTTTCATAAGAATTGAGGTTGCAATTATTTATCCATCAACACAAAACTAATCTGGAATCTCTGCAATAAAGAAAATATAAATTTTCACAAAAAAAAAAAAAAAAATGTTCATTAGGTACATGTCCTATGTATATTTAGTGAAACAGAAAAGAAAGAAAAAGAGCATTCTTAGAGGAGCTGTTATAAAAATGGTATGGGTAGATTGTCACTGTTATTATTAGTCTCATTTTCTATAGTTGACTATTTTTTTAAATATTAATAGTATATATGCATACTCCACAATTCAATTTAGGTAAGCCAAGATAGAGAGTTCCACTAGTTCACTGGCAAACAGAGAAATTACAGACAGTACCATACATACATTTATATGTATGCATTCAGATAAAAACATTATAGCCCCTTAATATCACAGCTTCAGAAGTAAAAAATAAAAAAGAAAAGAAAAGAAAAGAAAAGACAGCATCCTTAAGGGGATAATCTTGAATGGTCCATGAACTGAAAATGTTGCTAAAGCTATTTGTTTCACTGCAAATTTCCAACACACACTTTTTACAAATTAATCAAATAGCAGCAATCTTACTAAAGCAACTAACAGTTATATAAAGAGAAAAATATATATACATATATGTTAGGCAATAAACAGAAGACTGCAGTGGTGATGGTTGTGGAAATAGACAGTGACCATAACATCAAGAAGAAGGAATATAAGTAGTAGTAATAGAAGTTCCAGTTGTAGAAGGAGCAATCTGGGCCATAACTCCCAAGTTGGAGAGTGGCTTCAGATATCGGAGATCCTTGTCCCGAAGAGTACAGCTCTGGAAACAGTGGACAATGCAACCTTCAGACTCTCAGGCCTCTGGTAGAGGACACAAGAATGGGGAATACACAAAATACAATGCATCAGGTTAGAAAAAAATAAAATTATGTGTGTGTGTATACACACACACACACACACACACACACACACACACGAGTATGAAGCTTGAGAATATTAGGAAAATGGCAACCATTATGTCTTGTCACTCAAACACACACTCAAATTCATGCTGGATGTAAGGACAGGTATATGCTGTATAAACCACACTCAGCTGTCTCTCACCAGTCTTCACTGGGACTCCACACAAAAAAATATATATATAATAAATGTGACGAGAGCAATCTTTGGCTCCATGGCAATTGAACTGTATGTGTGTGCTCTGAGCGCCATTCAGTAATAATGTGCGCTTAGACCTAAGCTATCTGGGCATATGTTGCATGTCTGTATTTTATGTCATAAATGTAACATTGTGTATTTTACTGTCTTTTTGCTGCCATGTGTTCAATGGAGTTTGCCTCTGTCTTTGGAGATAATTTGATTACTTCCCAATTATCTCCAGGATAGAAGACTCTGTGGAACTGGTTTTGGGCAGAAAAGCCATGCTTCCTGTGGTCACAAAGGACTATGATCTATCTTTTGAACCACTGGACCAATTTGTATGATTTTGACGTATGTTTTGTATTTGGAGTATGCTGATTCTGAAAATGTAAGTTTTATGTGAATGTGATGCATACTTTTCAAGTTATAAATAATGTGAAAATTTTTTATTTCTCTGCTTGTGCCAAATTACCCATTGTGTAAGGTAATTGAATCACATGCAGAGGGGAGGAATTTGTGTGGGAGTGTCTGAGTGTATTGTATGTGTTTATTGGTTGTGTTCCAAAACCCTGTGGGTGGTACTAATGTGTAAGAATGTGTACATAAGCACAATAAACCCACAGCTCTGTCTGTTCACTGCTTGACCCTCAACACAGAGCTTTGTCTCGTTCTTGGGGGGGTGGGGATTTACTGTATGCTGTTCCAGTTTGACTGCTAGGAGTGTAAGCCTATTCGTATGGTTTTTCCTATTCGGCTGTTTACAGCATTCGTATGGTTGCCTGTTCGGCGGATTGGTGTTCTGCAGGAGCTGTGCCTGCATCTCTGGAAGGCGACGATCGCCTAAACGGTTTTAACCCCTTGTGTGCTGAAACGGTCCGTTACAATAAATATATATTTCTTGAAAGAATTTTAAATACAAAAAGAAAACAGTAAAGGAGAGCCACAAGGGGGGTGGGCCTGACAGCTCCGGTGCCTACAAGCATAAATTCAGCTTTATAGCTCTAACTTGCATTGAACAGAGCTCTGTATCTATGGAGAACCAAGTCGCCACTGTGTGGAAACACGGCGATACCCGATCTACGCTGCAGTGTCAAGAGACCACACTGTCCGGCCATGAGGCCTACCTTGTTGCGAGGCCTGGGTCCAGGGGAGGCAGACGATCTCCGGACCAGTGCTCTGAACTGAGCTTTTACTACTGCCCCGCAGCCCCCCCTCTGAACTGCAGGGAGTTATCCCGGTTCCCGCTGGAGTCACTTACCAAGACACCACGACAGAATCTTCTGATATTACTACAAGTAATATCAATGTTCGGTCAATGGAAGTCTGCAGCTTATACAAAATACATTCAGAAACCAGAATTTCAGCGGAGATCAACATTTAAGGCTTTGCCCTTGCAAGTGATTGTATTATAAAGTTATTCTCCAACATTTGCTTCTTTTGCCCTCTTGTTTCAGGTCAACTCACTCATTGTGGATAATAGCTGTGCCAAAACCAACCACAAATTGGACGTCTACTGAGCCAGAAGCTGTGGAATGGGTTTTTACAGCCTTAAAAGGCACTTTAAAATTATGTACATTGAACAAGGTCATTCACACAATCCTTCCAATCTCTCCCTTATCACTGACCACAAATGTATAGAATTTCATAAATATAAAAAAATTATTTAGTACTTACTCAATGGCTGAATAGGTTTGTTACGGTCACTCATATGCCAGCTTTCTAAACAGATTAAAGGACAACTATCACCTCAAAACTAGATCTTAGTATAAATATTATTTCATCAAGTTTTGAAAGGAAATAGTTTTGTAAAAACCCAATATTACTTTAAATGATATATCACAGGATCCTTTGGCCATAAAACCAACAGTTAAGACGCTATAGTCTTTTCTGCTTCTGTGCAGGGAGTGAAGCATCTTTTTTCAAAAAGTGCCTGATGCAAGGTGCACATATATGGCTGAAGGATCTTGTCATACTAAAAAGGTAGAGATGTGTTTTTCAATTTATTTTTATTTTTTACATATACTGCACTAAAAAAAAATAATAAAAAAAAATAAATTTCCTTTCAAAAACTTGAGGAAAGGATTAATATAAAAACAGTTTTGAGGTGACAGTTGGCCTTTATATATCAATAGTTCTAGGGAAGAGCAATAAGCAAGAACATTCCATTGGTTTCTTCGGTGTATGCCCCACTTTAGGAACTTTGTCTTAGAACTGTTCCTTATACATAACAACAATAACAACAACAACAACAACAACAAGCTCATTCCGCCCTATAGTAATAAAGTTTCTGGTGCAGAGATGACCGACTTCAAACCACATTTATTTCAAAAGGAACAGTGTGTACGTAGTGCATCATTCAAATGAGAACTGCTTTATACATTGGAATTCCTAGGTGAACAATACATTATTCTTTGACGTATGTGTGAAAAGTAGACTTTTCTTTGTTTGAGTTTCTAAATTTTCAGTCTACTTCATTGAAGTATGCCATTGTGAAATCTGCAGGATAACAATGAGTTTTGCTATGGAAACCTTGAATTGAGGTACATAAACTATTGATCCCAAGAAGTCATTAGTCACTACCTTTAAACATCCGCCTCTTGTACATCTTTCTTAGTCATTTCCTCACGTGATTCTATAGTCAGACATCAAGGAATGAGTCTACAGATTTTATAAGAAATACGCAGCACTACCTTTAATCACTGTGCTTTGGGAAATAATAAACATTTCATATATTCTGTTTTCATTTTATAGTGTGGTGATTGTGCGGGTGATTACATTTTAGAATGTAAGCTTGTTTGGGCAGGACACTCTTCGTTTACTGTTCCGGCATGTTTTCTTAGAATTATTTCTAAAACAAACGGAAGAATATACAGAAACTTCAGAATATGTTGGCACTTTAGAAATAATTGTAATTATTTGGTGGAGGCTTTAATGTCCTATTAGATTGAGCCAACTCAGCCAAGCGGTTTAAAAACGACCATTAGCTTGGTGTGTGAAAGCACAATAAATACATAGCCTGATCAACCTCTCTAGACGGTTTCCCTTTTTGGATATTAGCTATGAATTCTTCTTTTCCCATGTTTTCAAAAGCCAAAGTATAAAACTCACATGATCCTGGAATCTTAATGCTAAAGGGTGATCCTGGAATCTTCAGCGGTATAAATGTCGCATCATTGCCTTTCTGGCTAACCATGAAAGCACTAGCTGAACGGAAACAGAAGCACCTAAAAAGGGAAACCTTTCCCAAATGCTATGAAAACAATAGACAATCATGTCTGACTATAGCACCAAACCTTATCAATGATCGTAGAAGGATAAAAAGCTGATGACAAGCATGGATCATTCCTTATAAAAAAAAAAAATAAAAAAAATAAAAAAAATCTAAAATCTGCTAGATAGAACCTAACCATTTGGAATCAATTGAGAAGGAATCCCATACCAGAATCAGAATTTTGGTGAAATACGATTAATTACAAACATTTCATAACACATACAGTGCCCTCCACTAATATTGGCACACTTGGCAAATATGAGCAAAGAAAGCTGTGAACATTTGTCTTTATTTTTTTAATCTTTTAAGAAAAAAAAAAAATTCTATAAAAATACTTTGCTCTCATGGATATCAAACAATTGCAAACAGCACATGTTTATAAAAAAATATAACTTTATATATATCCGTAAAATATCACATCAAAATTCCCCTCCATACCATGCACTTTTTTGTGAGCAAAGGACACCAATTTCTCACGAAAAAAAAAAAAAAAAACACGTTGCAGCAGTGAGCAAAATCCCAATATCTTTGATGCAAGAGTCGAGACACGCTTATGTTATGAACTTTGCAAAATTTTATATATATATATATATATATATATATATATATATATATATATATATATATATATATATATATATATATATATATATATATATATATATAATTTTTTTTTAATGGACCACTTAAGAATTTGTTTATATGTAATAAGGACGCTGCATGTCTAGGTTAATGGAGGACACACAAGACAATGTGTCAGTCTATCAATTTACTGTTAAAATTAATTCATTACAGGAACACAAACATGTAAGAAATACAAGACTATATTCCTAACACTTTAGTGTTCTAGTTATGGATTTCTCCCCCCTTTTCCAATAATAGTTAATAAAATTAAGCTTTTTATTTACCTTTTCCCCCTCAGTGCTGCTTAACTAGGATCTCCTCACGACACTATGGAGAAGGAATGGCCTCCTCCACAATGATCCAACCCAACATTATTCATAGAGGAGCGTTGGGGACCTGATGGGCATGTGCAGCGAGTGTCGCACACGCATCCAAGCTTCTCCTAAGGAAAGCATTGAATTAATGCTTTATGTGGGCTTCCACATCATGTGACCAAGTTTTACTCAATCAGAAATGCCTCTAGTGGCTTTAAGGAAGACAGCTACTAGAGGTGGCTTTAACGCAGTAAATATTTAATTTTCTAAAAAAAAAAAAAAAAAAATTGTTTTACATTGTAGGGTTAAAAGGAAAGGACCACTGCACTCAGACCATTACATTGAAACAAAGTGGCCTGGATGAGTTTAAAGAGGAACTGTCAAGGTATTGCACACTCAAATAGCTTTGTAAAAATTAGCTTTGTTCTTTTTTTCCCCCATTTCTAAACATTTTATTGGGAATGAGGGTCAATATGCACAGTGCAGCAAATATGGCATTTTGAAACGGCTACAGAATCCAAAATGACGTAGTTAAGAGACCATAATAAACTGTACCATTCTCCAATTTCAGCATTGTAGCTTAGACTAAACGGAGCCGCAACCAGTTTTGCAGGTTGAAAATTACAATCATAAAATTAAATATAAGATGTTCCATGTAGTCGTTACATGAAGTATCACAAGTCACCCAAGATACTATCCACATGGGTTATCTAGATGGAAAACAATTTAACTGTAAAACAACAAGACAATATGGACGTTATCCTCAGTTGCTACATATAGTAGAATACATAAGACAATATGTGGGGAGAAAAGGTGCTTCTGCTGGGACTGATCCCGAATTTGCAAGGAAAGCCGACCTGCTGCAACCCCTCGGTGAATACTGTGCTATGTATTCTATATTTAGTTTGCCCTTGAAAAGAGAACTCTAATGTGGGAATATAAGAATATTTTAGTATTAATTTTATATATAAATTAACTCCTTGTGGATCAAAGTGTACATATATTACATTGTAAACATGTATTGGAGTTTAATTAAAAAAAGAGAAATAGAGGAGGCTAGGTCAGTTGGTTCTATAGCTATAGTATTGTTTTGTTACACAGCCACAATAACAGTTGTCATTTTTTTCTTGGGCACACTGACATAGAAGGGAATAAATGAATCCAGGGGTAAACATAGGACTGGCATGTATGAGCGATGTCAAAATGTAATGCAGGGACAGTCCCACAAACAATCATACATATCTGCTCTGATAAAAAGGGTTACCTTTAACAATTTTCAGAAAATGCTACTCTATTCTGACATGGTCTGATAGACCTGCAAAGTGGATCATGATTTATTGTTCATTGTCTGTCCGTATGCATGCTTACACAAAGAATCATGAGGAAATGCACTGGTCAGAACTTGCAGCGGAGATAAGTTTGCCCGCATATCTCTACAGCACACCTGCAGTATGCATCACCTTTACTCTGAAAAAAGAGGAAATGTTATCAAGGTGACAGTTCCTCTAAATTATATTTTATCGCATGCTGTCGTTATTTAAACCACCTTGTAGAGCCAATGTCATAACATATGTATACTTAATTTTAACCCCTAAATGCAGTACGAACAGGACAGAATTTGCCAGTCAGAGCCTGCCTATAAACATATGTCCCATCCAGGCAACTATCTTGGATCTTAATATGTGCCTTTAAGATGGACTGATTTAATTATTAATTCTGTAGGTAGCAACTGCAATCAGATGTGTAATCTGATTGTGAAGATATAAATAAATAGATCGGTGCTTGCATCTGAGAATCTATGTGTGTTTGTCTGGTAGTCAAAATCTTTGTGTGTGTCTTTATGGACATGTGTATCATATCTGTGTGTGTCTGGCAGAGAGTATCATACTTCAAAACAGTCCCACATCCATCAGGACCTATCCAATTTCAGAGTCCTGTCCCACCATCCAGCAAGACACCAGGCAACGTTGACAAGCAAATGCAACGTAAATGCAGCATTATATTCCCTTGCATAATGCTAAAACCATGCAGAGAACAGAGGAGGATTAACTATAAGGCAATCCTCAATTAAAGGATTTACTTACCATTTAGCAGCGCTGAGGCACCCTTAGCGCTGCTCACCTCTCGGCCACCCGTGATGCCCTTGAGGATGCGTGGTCTCCTTTGTGATGGTGTCAGGATACACTAATATGCCCAGCACGCACAACTTAAGTAAAAATAATGAAAACCCTAAGACATATTATTACCGGGCCTTAGAACGGCCGGATTTAATGTATAAAAAGAAAAGTACAAGACAGGCTGAGTTCAGCAATATAGAGTATATGCAGTGGTGTATTTTGGATTTGTGCTGCCCTAGGCAGGATGAAACGCTAGCACTCCCACATTTAAATTTGCCCCACCCCTTCCTGTCAAGGCCGCTCTCACTTTGACTGACAGACGCTTTCTAACTGATGCATGCACGGACATACACTCACTGAAAAATAGTCATTGGCACACACTGTTCAACCAACACACACTAACTCACAGACACACACACACACACACTAACTCACAGACACACACACACTAACTCACAGACACACACACACTAACTCACAGACACACACACACTAACTCACAGACACACACACACACACACACACACACACACTTCCCCCCCACTCACAAACTATCATTTTTTTAAATTGTAATTTAAATCCACCCAGCCTCCCTGGGAGAGCTGGAGTGGATTCCTTACCTGGGGTCCAGTGGGGCTGCTGGGCTGGTTCTTGGGACTGCTAGTGCTGCTGGGCAGGCGTGCAGGCAGGGGGTGAACAGGCAGAGTAGGCGGTGAGGGAGCTCTGATACTCCTGTTCTGCTCCCTTAGTCATGTCGGGAGCCAGACTGATGTCATATTCCAGCTCCTGGCATCACTAAGTGGCGCACGAGGGAGCTGAGCAGTAAGAGCTCAGACTACAGCACTGCCCGCCGCATGCCGGCAATGCAAGCTTTCACAATGCATGCTTCCACCCGTCTGGGGGGGGGAGTGGGGGAAAGAGGCCAGCTCTTGGGCCCCCCAGTGCACAAGGCTAACAAGGCATCCGCCTAGGCATTTGGGGGGGGGAGGGGCGCTTTTTTTTGGCCACCCCCTGCAAAGTTCCCCCGAAGGCAAATGCCTTGTTAGCCTTGCGGTACATATATCACTGAGTATACTTTAACAGTTAGGTAAGCCAAAGAATACAGATGTCAAAATAGTCAGGAAATAATCTAAAGTCCAAGGGATACAAAAATGAGAATAGTCAGTAAAAAAAGCCAGAGTTAAAATACACAAGAATCAATACCAGAAACATGCTCTTGGATAAACAGAAAGGAAACCATGACAGGTCACAGAGAAATGGACAAAAAAGGTTTAAATAGTCTAAGGTGCTCCTTGATTGGTTGTAGAGGAGCATGTGACAGTGGAACATGTGTGTGACACGTTCCTAGTAGTTAGGTACTTCAGGGGTTAAGAACCTTAAAAGGTTCTGACTTGCATCGGCCAGCATCTCTAATGTTTACAGACCTGGCCGCTGTGCGAGGGGAGGGGCGCCTGTCAGCTCCAAGACTGCTCGGAGTGAGGCCAGTGGGCGCAGCAGGCTAGTAATTGGCGGCATTCCTATTGCAACGTAGGAATGCCACCACAATGAGATGTCCGCCGGGTCCCAGACCGCTTTCTAGCAGGAGAGGACCCGGCTGGCGGCGTGACAGATGGTCAATCAAGACCCCAATATTCCTCTATAAAGAATTCTTTATAGAGGTGCATTGGATGTTAGATGCACATGTGCATCTAACAACCCCCGCATATGCAAGCCTTCCCAAAGAAAAGCATTGTCATGTGACTTACTCGGCCAGTGCCATGGAAGTACTTCTAAATGGGACGTTAATCCAACAATGCAAACAATGACGTTTCTAAACACACACACACAAAAAAAAAAAAAAAACTAATGTTTTACCTTGAATGATTAAAATGACAGGGTTTATGCACTCAGATCACTTTGCCATTAAATGGTCTGGGTGACTTTAGTGTCCCTTTAACAAGCAAGGAACAGAAACTTGTTAGACCTTTTATATAGATCAGGTTTGTAATCAGGTGATTTAATCTAGTAACAGCCAACATGTTCTTGATTCACCAATCCACCTACAAGATGCGATTTAATATTTCACTTTGTAAATGAAAAGGAGCATCAAAGCCTGTGATATATAGATTCGATTCTTACTGTATCTGGCTGTGATTAGTGTCAAGCCAGCTCCATGGCATTATTCATAGTGTATTGAAGCACCATGAGAAAATATTGTTGCATGACATGAATTATAGTCTTTAAAAAATAAATCCCATACGTCAGGTCACATCAACCACAGCAGAATATCCGTGTTTAACTCATAAGGGATACATTATTTTGATATATCAATATAATACAATAACTTCAGCCTCTTTCTCTTAAATCAAGGGCTTCTTGCAAAAGAAAAATGCAAAACTGGCAAACTCCATAACTATTCTATATAGACGGTTAACTTTTGTGCATTATATTCATTACTAAGCCTTTAAACGTTTTTAAAACATGTTTTAACAATGGGATGTCCTGCCTCTGCTTTTCAATATATTGGAGTGTTTAAAGAAATTCAGTTTATAGAACAATAGCCCTTAGTCTTAAGATTTTCCACTTGACAGAAGGAATGAAAAAAAAAAAAAAAAAACCCACCACGTCTCAATAGATCTACTATTCAGAAAATAACATAAATAAGTTGAACTTTCTGTTCTAGGCAATTATTAGCAGTAGTAAAAGGCAAAATACAGGTTATTTTATGCCTATATAATTTTTTGTTTTAAGCCTATATTATTTTTTGTTATAAGAAACTTGAAATGACCACCATCGGAAATTTTATTTATACCATAATATAACATTAAATGTCCGGTACATTGTGTACTTTTAAAATCTGTTCAGCAGGTTTTTCCAACTAAAACTTGAATGCAAGAGGTCTAGTTGTACTCCTCATGACACTGGACATTTTGTGATTAGAATGTTAAACGATATCTGTATTCTTATTGGTGTATGCATAAGAAAATCGGTCTATATATGATGCTATCAATTTTAGCTAGCAACGTATAGTTTTGGAGAAAAAAAAAAATCCATTCTAAAATAGGTTTTTCTCCCACTCCCAAGTAAAATATTTGGCACAGATCCCATGCTGACAATTTGACTGACATGGGAGAACAGAAGAGTCCACCCAGAATGTCCTTCTGCTCTTCAAAGCATAGCAAAATCAGTGCATATGCTGTGGTTGGAATGGTAACTCCCTATCCAGTGCGACTATGGAGTGAGTAACGACTTGGCCAGAGTGTCTGTAACTGAACGTGTTGGCAACTAATCCAGCATGTTGGGGACACGGAGGAGGGCGCAAGTTTAAGACAGACCAGAGATGAGTGTTACATGAAGAGTGACACCCACAAATATAACGAATACTTCATGTATCTTGATGTATTCAATGTATATGTGGATGATTTATCCAAATATAAAAGCACAGGTTCACTTTAAAAATTAGTACTTTTGTTTTTTCAGGGAATGTAAAGCTATGGGTTAATAAACACAAATAAATAGGCTGTAATGGGCTGCTAGTAAGACACCCCCTTCCACAGTCTTTTCACAGTCACTAGGGTCAAAATATGAGATCTAATACCATGATGGCAATTTCACTCAATTCTATTAAAAAAATAAATAATAAGTCAAGGCATAGCTGGAGTAATGCCAAAATAATACTTTTTAACACTTTTTCCCCTCTTGTATTTTGGATCCGAATTTCCTGATCATTTTACGAAATAATACAAATGAGTAATGTTACTAGGGGGAAAATAAATAAATGTGCAGGTTGTCCTTCAACAAAAAGACAGTGAAAGCGGCTTATCGGTCTCAGAAAACTGTCACTCTGACAGTGACGGAAAAAATTACCAGAAAAGAAAAAAAACTTTTAAACACTGGATGCAAGAAATTGAAAATCTTAAAGGAACAGGGATACAAACTGTTGAAATAGGAAAAAATTTTGAGCAAATAAAGGAAGAAATGCATGCAAATAGGAAAGTTCAATATATATATATATATATATATATATATATATATATATATATATATATATATATATATATATATATATATATATATATATATATATATATATAAAAAAAAAAAAAAAATCACATCACAATTGAACAGAACAATTTTATACATAGCCCTCATTGCATTCACAAAACTGACTGCAAATGTTTAGATTGAAAGATATAATGGAACATGATGCGGTATATTCCAGAATGATCACTGTGAATATGAGCAGTGTGGATGTCCAAACAGCTCCGAAAGCTCAGTGTGGCATCCCACAAATAGCTAGTATACCACTATATTTTAAAAACTGGCATGTGGCACTTGGAAGCTGGGGAAAAAATGTATATCTAAGCATCGGTTTTAGTGACCATATTTGAAGTATTTGCTCTTATGCTGACATAGTTGTAAAAAGGTGAGAACTACATAAAGGAAATATTTTGCTACATTTGCTAGCAATTTGGCTTTTGCATGACATGTACTCTTTAAAATGCACCAATATTTATAACTTTATTTCTTTTAACTCATTTCCCCCCCCGCCCCCAGTTATATACAAGTATATTGAAAAAATTATAGTACTAAACAAGCAAACAAAACCAATAATATCAAAGATACTTGCAACAAATGAACAAACTTTGCATACAATCATGAGGTAACATAGGTGGATAACATTACTTTGCAGGGAGGGAAAGAAAAAAAAGAAGACAGAGAAAATGGAGTAAATGTGGAAATTGGGATTATGGGTAATAGATGAGGGAGCTACACCAATATATGGTTGTTCACAGCACATTTATTATTATTGCATTTAACACCACCCATAATCTGAAATAGACTTTTTGTAAAGAGGAAATGGTTAGAGGTGTGTTGGTTTATTAGCGATACTATTTAAAGTAACTTAAAAGACGAATGTTTACAGTCTGTAATTCAATTAATCAAACAGAACAAGGACAAAGTGTTTAATTTGCCAACTCACTTATAAAAACTAATTTACTGCTGTTTAAAACACACTGTGACTTTTATTGCTGTGGCGTCTATATAAAACACTTATAAACGACACACGTTTTAATCTCACGCACACACACAATAGGAAAAATACATAAGAAATAGAGACAGTCTCTTAATAATAGGGACATTTGGGAAATATGCCAAGAAAATTTAAACCAAACATTTTAAATTAATGTAATATTCCTACTCAAAATACTTTTCATAAAAATAAAGCCTGTCATGTTACCCCAGTATTTTTATACATCATTCAATATCACACTTGTGTGACATGGATAATTTTTTCCTGTAATTTTAAGTCTATTCTGTCCTAAAAAATTGGTATGTCCGCTCTTCACCCTTTTAACTTGCTGTTTAGCAAATAGACCCCCTCCCCCAACTTTATAGTATCAATAAATACTTGAAGTTTACTAATGACTGCCAAAACTTGTCAATCAGATTAAAGGAAAGGTTAAAAGGAACTTAACATGTATAGTTTGGAGGAAAGACAAGAGGGGGGAAGGGGTTGGGGGGGAGGGGGGGGAAATTATATAAACATTTAAATACATAAAAGGGAATCAACACAGTAAAGGAGGAGACTATATTTAAAAGAAGAAAAACCACCACAACAAGAGGACAGTCTTAAATTAGAGGGGCAAAAGGTTTAAAAATAATATCTGGAAGTATTACCTTACTGAGAAGGTAGTGGATGCATGGAATAGCCTTCCAGCTGAAGTAGTAGAGGTTAACACGTGTGGGATATGCATAAGGCTTTCCTAACTATAAGATAAGGCCAGGGACTAATGAAAGTATTTAGAAAATTGGGCAGACTAGATGGGCCGAACGGTTCTTATCTGCCGTCACATTCTATGTTTTTTATGTAAATTACAGTTGTTTTGAGTCACCAACATTTTATTGACAGTTTTAGCCTGGTTTTATATATATTTTTTCCTTTACATCTGTATTTATAGGGGAGCCGTCACTTCTCTGGAATTTAGTTTAACATATCTTAATGACGTAATACAGATCAGACAAAACAAATCCAGGGCAAAGATTGCAAACAAATAAGAGAAATATAAACATTGCTTCATTTCTCCTCTTCTCCGTATGCTTTCTCTATGCTGACTGCAGGTGCAAAGGACAGAATCTGACAATTGACAGAGAGCTAAGATGGAGGAGCAAAGTTGAAAAATAAAGATGTGTGGATTTCTACATGTAATTATTACACGTGCAATTCGCTTCGGTCTGAATTTAAATTCGGACGAAATGCGAAAATTTGGATGCGAAAACAGGAGAGGGAGGGAAAATGAAGGGAATGATGACAGGAATCTAACCCTACCTCTAACCCCTGGATGGGTAGGGTTAGGGAATTTCCGAAGTGCCGAACCAAAACAAATTTTTACCCATGCACATCCCTAGTAATTATATATGTCAACTAAACATACATTTTTAAAAGTGTTTCTGAACCTACTTTTTTTAAGGTCCATCCCCACCCACTGTTTACCAAAACATTTGAAGGGAAAAATTTCTTTACAAAATTTAAAGGATTTACCTGCTTTTCACCAGTGCCGAGGCTCTTTTGGCGTTGTGTCCCTTGACATTGCAGAGGCATACTGACAGCCACTAAAGGTGGACTTAACCCTGCATACCATATATGGAAATTTTGCAATTTCTCAAAAACTGTTAAGAGGACATGGACACTGAAATGAAGTGGTCTGGGTGACTAAAAAAAACAAAAAACAAACCTCTAAAGTATTTATACAATAAAATATATATATAAATAAATAATGGACTGGACCTGCCTAACACCAGATGGAATGATAAGATCCTGTGGGACTTCCAGATGCAAACATAAGAAAGTACAGGCCAAACAACCCAACGTAGTGGTGGGAGATAAGGACCAGAAGACTGCAGTGGTGGTGGATGTGGCAATACCAATTGACCATAGCAGCAAGATGAAGGAACATGAAGAAGTGGACAAATGCCAAGGACTGAAAGAGAATATAGAAAGTGAAGGCAGTAGTAGTTCCAATAGTCATAAGAGCACTTTAGGCTGTAATCCCCAGCTTGGAGAATCGCGTCAGAAGATTCCAGATGGGACATCCAAGATGTCTGTCTAGAAGAGTGCAGTTCTGTGGGTTCTGCACAGCGTAGCTGTTCCTAGAACACAAAATACCACCCGGGGTAGTGATAAAGTCTGATATACATATATATCCCATATAGATATCTATATGTATAGATGTCTCACCAAGGGTGAGAATGGTCAAGTGGTGTCTGGATAGGCCTTGGTAAGGTTTAGGTGTTCTTTGTTTGTGCCCATCAAAGAATGCCTAAGACATGAATATATGTTATGAAGAGTAGATGATCAGTTATTCACTAAACATGGATATGTAATAAAATGTAAGAGAATTTCAAACTTTACACTGTAATATTAAAATTGAAAACTCTCAAACTTGGCTGTATTTCCAGCTTGATTTGTTTGACACAAAATTTTAAATTCACTGTTTAGTTTCCTGGTTAGTGAATATCCTTGTGGGCCTCTGATGTGGTAGAGATCAGGGATAAGATATGTGAATGCTGCTTGTTGCCCAGAACCATTCATTGAAAAAGAAAACCAATAACCTGTACATTCTAGTTATGACAGACACCAAAGGCTGTTTGCGAGACATGTTTCAAATTTACAAGACTGCAACATTCTAAACGTTGTATAACCGTTCAGTGTATGCTCGAGGGAATTTTTGTGAAGTTTTAAGATTTCATTTTTGCACACTGACTACATATTTTTGTCTAGGTCATTTCACAAAGTTTGGGGCCCTGTTCTAGCATTATGCATATAACGGAGCTCTCTGTACCCCCTGACTGGGTACCTCAGCCAAGGACTGCTTCCTAGCTGGAACAGGGGACAAACCACAGCACTTCTTCCCAGTGTCGCCGTGGCTTGACTGGGGACCTGGAACCGAATGGAGAACTCGCTCTAGACACCCCCAGGCACCCAGGCACTGGACGACACTCTGTTCTGGGAGCTCTAGTCCTTACAAGGACTTTCCCGGTTAAATCCTACACATTGGGTGGGGGCATGGCTGGCCTCCGAGCAAGATGGCCACATAAGGAGATCTAACAAACAAGCACTAAAGGCAAGAAAACATACGAGACGACAGCTCCCAATGTGATGTCTCACCACAAAACAAAGAAAACGGCCTCAAAAGCCGACAAAATGATTTTTTTCGGACACAAAGGCCCAGCATCGCAGACTCATACACGAGTCTCTCCATGACTGAGCATGCACAGACCGAACACATTACAAAGAGCTTCCTAGCACAGGCACTGGACACACTGTCCAGCAAGCTAATAGCCTCCTGGCAACAAACTGCAGACAACCTGAGAAAGGAAATGCACATTACTTCCACGTTAAATAACTGATCCTCAAGGCGAGCCAGAAGCGGAGCCAATCGCACGAAGACTACTCCACAGTAAAAATCTTCACCGACCTATCGGCAGCAACGTTGAAAACGAAGAAGGAATTTCCAACATGTTGCAGAGGCTTTACGGCTACACGGCACCAAGTACTGGTGGGGTTACCCGACCAAAATGCTGGTCCAGCACGGCGGAGGAATCAATCCAACTTCTTACAATCCAATGTTGGTTTATAGTTCCATATGTAATGGCATGTGATTCTATTACTTTGAGTTTACATAGTTATATGTTTAGTGCACAGACAATACATAGGGTCAGCTGCTCTGCCTACTTTGCCACCCCTATCACTAACCGGCAAAATGAACATGAAGGGAGAATATACTGAAGCTAGAGCGCCTCGTCACCGGATGGGAGGTGCACACGCTCAAACTCCAGGGGTGGGGTGGGGGGGCCTTCGTCACTATAGGCTCCTTGAGGATATAGCCAAGAACACAACTGACGAAGCAGGCTCTGTCATGCATAGGGGCGATGCTAAAGTCGGGTCATGCATGTCAGCCATGGGCTGGGCAGAGGTCGGGTGTTCCCCCTCCAGAGAAAATGTGGTACGCAAATGGATAATTAAGGCCTACAAAAGACCTTGCGGACACAGCTTCCCATGGGGAGCACTAGCTGGGCTGAGTGATGCACCAGATGGCCTACTAAGCTAATTACTGACGGCGAACTGGGAGCCGGCTCCTTTCCAGAAACAACAACAACAACAACATATAGAGCTCAACAGCCACACTACGGGAGACCCACACTACTCCCACCCCGAGGAGTGGATCTTCCATACCATGTCCTCCTAGGAGGGAAATGTATTTACCCCTTCCAAGTTCTTACACCCCTGTTACACCCTACCCCACACTCAAACCCTCAGGAGAGGACTATATCTGCAGATGCGCACGCCCACCTCACTATAAAATGCAGCTACATCCAAGAAAGAAAATAAACACATGGGATAAAGAGTACCTTGACCCAGCATCCTACACCACAACCATGTCTATAAAAATACGAACCCACAATACACGAGGGCTGAACCACCCTCACAAACGCCGCATTCTTTTAGAAGCAAAGCGAAATAAAATAAATGTTCTTTGCGTCCAAGAAACGCATTTTGTCACCAACAAAATCCCCAAATGTGGACTCCATGACTACCCAACACCATGCTACCCATTCCTCCAAATCAAAAGGGAGTATCATTCCTACTACATAGCTCGCTGACATTCGAATTATTAAGCACTCAAAAAGACACGCAAGGGAGGCACATTATACTGCATTGCATGATCAACGATACCGAATACGTCCTTGCAGGCATATATTGCCCAAATACGAACCAAAGACAGTTTTTGCAAAGAAATTTGCACAAACACCCCAAAACGACATTGGGAGCCACCATCATATGTGGTGACCTAAACCACGTACTGGATTCACGCATGGACACAACACTGCCTGGTTTCTCCCCACTACATTCCGCAACTGGGACACAAAGCAAAGCTATACTCAAACTAATAACAGAACACAACTTATACGATGCCTGGTGGACACTACACCCTACAGACAAGGAGTTTACATACTACTCACAGGTATACAAGTCGTTCTCACAAATAGACCATATCCTGGTGTCGGGGCCACTAGTTTTAAGAACCACCCAGTGCAAAATTGGGGACATCGTGTGGTCAGATCATGCACCAGTTACCATACCCTTGAGAGGTCCATTTCCTCAGAGGCCAGGCGCCTAAACGAATCCCTGCTGCATGACCCTACCTTCCTCACCCAGATGACAACACTTAGAACAATTTGTACAATTTAAAGCAGGATGACACAACACACCACCCTACTGAGACTGAAATAAGCAGCTTCCTAGACCTCACACAACTGCCATCACTGACATTGCAGCAAAAAGAACTGATACAACTACCTGTGACGAGCCAAGAAATACTACAAACCATAGCATCCCTACCATTCGGGAAATCCCCGGGACCAGACAGCCTCACCAATTATTACAAAACATTCTCCACCATCTTAGCCCCACATCTGCACCAGTATACAACCACATCATTACAACAGGCACAATGCCAAAGGAGATGCTCATGGCTTATGTAGCGATACTCCCTAAGCCAGGGAAAACACCAAATAAAAAAGTCAGAACTTACGCCCGCTATCACTCCTTAACACGGACACAAAATTGTTGGCTAAAAAAAATATTTGCCAACAGACTGTCCCAAATTATACCTACAATAATATATGCAGACCAGGTAGGGTTCGTGAGTGGACGTCAGGGAGCAGATGGAGTGAGGAAGGTCCTAGACCTGCTGGGTGGACTGCGGGGAGGGAGTCCGCCAAGCGTGCTGGTATCGTTGGATGCAGAAAAAGCTTTTGATCGCCTCCACTGGCCCTTCCTCCTCACGGTCCTAGGGAAGTTCGGATTCCCCCCACAATTCATAGCACTGATAAAGGCTCTGTACTCCTGTCCCACGGCCCAGGTGGTAAACGGAGGCTTCTCATCGAACAGCTTCACCATTTCCAACGGTTCTAGACAGGGCTGCCCCCTATCCCCGATACTATACATACTCGCCCTAGAACCCCTCACACAACTGAATAGAAACGATCCCAAGATACAGGGAATCAGAGCAGAGAATATAAACTTACACTGTTTGCGGACGACATCCTCCTCACACTACAAAATCCGCGTACCTCACTACACAATCTGATTCAACAATATGGAAAATGTTCTTATTACAAGTTAAATATAACCAAAACACAAGCAATGGGAATTAACATTCCACAGACTGAGCTAAGCCATCTCAGAGTCGTTTGCATTCGAATGGCGTACAGACCACCTTAAGTTCCTAGGGATAGCCTTGACACAGAATTTAACGGGTATACACAAAGCAAACTATACCCCACTACTCACAGAACTGAAAACCCTAATACACAGTTGGAAAGGGAAATTCATCTCATGGGTGGGCAGGATAGAAGTAACAAAAATGCTACTTCCAAGAATACCTATTCAGAACTGAGACTGAAATAAGCAGCTTCCTAGACCTCACAACTGCCAACTTGCAGTACACAACAGCTACCTACGTGACGTACAGAAATTAAATTCCTTTGTCTGGAATAACACCAGGCCCAGGATCGCAAAGTCCACCCTCTACAAACCATTCCCAATGGGAGGCATGGGCCTACCAAAAGTAACAAACTATTATAAAGCAGCCATCCTGGGCCTGGTACTAGCCGTCAGCAGTAATTCTAGACCCCTGCAGTGGCTGCATATAGAAGCGACTTATACCAACAACTTTACTATCTCTGCTCTTGCCTGGATGTCCAGGAAATTACGACCCAAACACAAGGATATCCTCCCCATGACCAAACTTACGCTACAAATATGGGACCAATTTGGGGACACATATATAATGAGGGGTGGTACCTCCTTAGTATCACCCCTGGAAGCATTACCCTTAGCAATACCGGAATTTAACTACAAACTGTGGCACAACCACCATATCACACATCTTTACCATATCTGCCAGGGACCAACGTTGAAAACATTTGCAGAGGTCCAAACACAATATGGGCTACCCGACACAGCACACTTCTCGTCCATGCAACTTATATCATGGTTCAGGAAGCAAAAAATTAGCTCGTATCATCCTGTAAATGGTCTACAGCTGACGGAGATGGAACAAATATGTCTCAAACTAAGACCACAAAAAAAAAAAATGAATATCTATATTATATGCTAAATATAGCACCACAGTAGAACCTCAAGCCTTTACATTCACCAAGGCATGGGAATGCGAAATTGGAACCCACATTCCTGAGAGCCAATGGGCCCAAATATTTCGGGCACACGGAAACCTCTCTTGTGGAGATTACGCGTAAAATACTATACCGATGGTACCGGTACGGCTCAAACGAGGCAACCCAACCCTGACAGACACCTGTTGGCGCTGTATGAATGACAAAGGGTCCATGCCCAAAATTAAAGCAATACTGGTCAGACATAAAAATAATACATGATTGAATGGGTGTTAGCTTGCAGGAGAACCCAGAAATTTATTTGTTAAACCTATTCCCAAAGGGTCTAAATAAAACCCACATATACTTCATATACCACATAATAGTGGTAGCCCTCCAAACGATTAGCGGGCTTTGGCATAAATCAGACCCACCAACCACGGCCCAATGCCTTACAACTGGCAAAACAATATGAAATAATGGCACGGAAAAACGCACCACCAAAAACATTCATAACATCAGCATGAAACACTTGGGAGGTGTACGTGACAAACAAAAAGGGGTGAACCCCCACATTACAACATAGAGAAAACAAAAACAAAAAAAAAAACCTAGGTGCCCCAAAAGGGAACAACTCACAATACCTATACTTAAGCGTCGTTATACGAGAATCTCATATAAATGAGACGCATGGGCCACTCCGACAGCTGAGACCATATCTACGCCATAATATGTACGAAGTGAATGTATCTACAAATTAGGCAATAACAGATATGCAAAACCTCTCTGAACCCCACCATCACTACCTCCCCTCCTATACCCTCTCCCCACCCCATACCCCATTTACTGTTAGTATGTTAAAAGTACCAACATGCAGCGAACGAAGTAGGGAATGCAATATGAGCTAAGAAACTTTTAAAGCGGATGCAAAACTCACTGTGAAAACTTCCATTGTAATATATGCGTCGATGTATGTTGATATTATAAAATCCTACACACTGGAACAGTGATTAAAGGGTTTCCCCTCCCAGTAACCAGACAATACATAGTTCTGGGAGTACAAGCTGGAATACTTTAATGGCAGCCACAACTGGCCTTATTTGCATGTCCCCATGCAAGGGTTCTCTCACCTGGACCTGAGAGTAAACCACAGTAAAAACAAATACACAATTACATTGGCTCTCAGATCTAGGACACTCCCATACATAATCAGATAATCCCTCCTCTGTGCCTGGAAAATAATTGCATCAGGAACTGTACTAATCCAATTATCTCCAAGCACAGGAAAAAAAAAAAAAACTTCTGGGTTACCAACATATCAAAAAATCACCCATATCAGTTCAGAGGTTCAGGAATTTCCTAAAAGTCATTTGTTTGACCGACCACACGCATGGTCCCATGCCCAACACAGTTCCAGAGAATCAGGGCTTGCGGTAGGTCTAGTTCGGTAGTTTAAAAACAAACAAACTACCTAACATAGAAAATAGTCTTACCCTGGAGCTTGTTTCCCTTGTTCGTGGGAATGTTTCCACCGAACAGTGTCTTTTTAAGGGTTGTAGAACTGAACACAGGTGATCATGGAAGTCCAGCGGTGTTCGGGAGTTTCAGTATCCGAAAATAGTTCCATGAACGCGACGACCAAACACCGCTGCCTGTGTTCATGCGAACAAGATGGCCGCCACATCGTTGTCGTCTATAGGAATTGCGGCAACCCAGACGAACACTTAGAACTCTGTGGTGGAAATTGTTACAAAGTAACAATTCAGCTTAACAAGCTCCAGGGTGGCCTCCGGTTCGTGCGGCTGTTCGGTTTCTGAACCATATAGTCCAAATGCATGAATGGAGACTTTTATATCACATTTTACAAGAGCCATAGTCTGTTGGCAGTAGGCTGGCAAGCAGGCTCCTCCAGGAACTCATGGCAAACTCACTTGAAAAGGGGAGTTTGTCACAGCGTCAATATCAGAACATTTGTTATCACTTTTAGCATCCATAGTTTATTTTCACTGGAGAAACTGTAACCCAGCAAGCTACACCTTTCCTCTCTAACATATCACCTATTTTAGCAAGAGTTCACTAAACACAAATACACAAAATTAAGCCCTGTGCTCACACTTCCACTACTCTTGGACAGCTGCAACAGCTATAATATTCATTATCCCAAATATATAATACTAAACTGAAAAAAAAAAAAAAAAAAAAGTTACCCACACACTATACCAAATGTTCCCTATGAACATTTAAATAAGAGGCGAAAGGCCATAAAAATGTAAGCACACATGAAACTACAAAGTAATCTTCAAGGCAAGTGCTTTCTCTAGTAACAACTTACCCTGCTGCTTTCAGGTAAAAGACAAAATCTCCAGACAGAAACTCGAATTCTTATGAAAGCAATGTGAATTGTTAGGGTAGAACTCATCTGAGAAATTTGCCTTGACTAATGGCCACTGGAGTGCTATGAAAACCTCCTATTATTGAAATGTGCCTAGGGATTTGGGTTGGGTGCAGGTAACTGTTTTTAATTCACAAAATACCTTTTCATTAACTTTCTCTCAAGGTTTGTACTCCTCTTCTTAAACTTTAAAATCTAATCTTACATAAAAAGTCACAGCTGAGCGGTTTATTTTATTTTAAGTTGCAACAATAAAAAGATGGTCAATTTATATATTGGTCACTATATTTGGTCTTTTTCTACTAAACGGCACACCTATGGGTTCCATTAACAGACTTCTGTTCCTATGTCTTGTATAAAAGGTCACACCGGTATGAAGAACATGAGGTATAAAACTAGCATTATTAAAGAAAACAGTTAACCTTTCTGTCCTCCCTCACCCAAGTGTACACCCTGTTGAGTGAACAGGTTACCAGGGTGATGTGTGTAGAGGAAATATAAGTACATATTCCTGTGCTGTTTTTTCTGGTGTTTAATGCCACCATTTGCTCAACATGCCCTGAGAACACAATGCATATTGGATATTTTCCATCCATGCTTTGTTTGCAGGAAATAAATTTACATTCAATGCATATCAAGTCAATGTGCAAAAATTATATACTGCAGAAAAATGAGTGCATCTCAGGTGAGATCAGCTGTAAATAGGGACTCAATCCCAGGCTGAAGCCCTAGTAAGGTATGATCCACTGTTTTAGGAGGCCAATGTGACCCAACCATTATGATCCATGCTTATGTTACCGGATCTACGTTATAAATGTTCTCGTTTCTATCGCACTCACATAATTATGACACTTTCAACTGGATGTTCCGTTTTAAAAGAAAAGAGGTAATTACTCAAGACACAAATTAACAAAGATGAAGTTAGATAAACAAATAAGATGTGAAGGATATGATGCTACAAACAAGGTTGAAGCCAGATCACCCACGTGACAACTAAAGCAAGCGACAAGTTCTGTCAGAAGTCACTCAATGACCTAATCAAGCACAGTCACATTGCTTTTGCTGCAGTGATCCTTTTATATGTTTTTTTTCCCCAGTAATGTGACTATAATGTCAGGGTCGATCGTAGGGTCATAGATGCCTGGGTGCAGAATTTTTTCCTGGGGCCCCAGGTGGGCATGGTCATCTTCACCAACTCCTCCCCTTTACAAATACCCAGTCTAGGCAGAAGGGGGTGACAGTGTGTGTGGGGAGGAGGGGGTGACAGTGTGCAAGGAGGCAGAGTTTTACTGACAAGGGTCCAAACACCGAAATAGACTTTTTTTATATTAGAATTTAACAAAATAGGTCTTGCAAAGTTTTTTTGTATTCACAGTGGAATATAAGGCAGAGGTTTGAATGCAGAAATAGTTTTAGAATGTTCCTGTGCTTACAAGCCACATTCCTTTTCTCTTTTTCCGTACTCCCTCACGTGACTGTAAAATAGAGATCTGTTCTATTGAGGGCACTGATTTCAACTACCTCGAATTAGAACATCAGCAGTTCCTTGTAATTCAGGACAGCACATTTGAAATATATACAGTGTTATTTGCTAAAGTGAATTTTAAATTTAAGGTTAAAAAAAAAAGACAAACTGGTAAAACTAAGTCAGCTATGCCTTAATTTAAGCTATGTTGGCCTTACATTTGAAATTCTTACAATTCATCTTGATTAATAGTGTCAGTGTTTATTGCCTAAATTGTGACTTTGACACTGTCTAATAATTTAAAGTTAATTTGATATAGAGATAGAGAAAAACCTATCAGGGAGAAGGTGTCAGGTTACTCTGAGGTAGTGGGGGGGAGGGGGGTAGGTGAACCCTTCTGAAATCCGAGTAACCCAGATAAAACGTAACTTTTAATTAATATAATGTAAAAAAAAAAATTGATGTAATAAAAAAAGAAGAGCCTTAATGGCGAAACGCGTCGGGACGTTATATGTATGATGTGGCTTCTATGATGAGGGAAGACATGCTGTAATATATTCAGACTATACCACCCATACAAGATTATTTTATATTTATTTCATTTGCATTTATTCTTCTCTTCTTTATTCCAGTTTTCGTTCTGTGATTTCTAAACATACTATATTAACTCTACTTAGAGGAGGGGAGGTGGTTACTAGTACTTTTAAAGGGGTGCCCACGAAGGCACAGCAGAGTAGGGAAGCTAGTCTCTCCACTTTTAGCTTTCTCTCCTGCTTATATATATACACACACAATCTTTTGCAGGGCTTGCCGTTCTGCTAGTATTCAAACCGCATTTATCTTTTTCCCTCCTCTCTATTTATTAGACTAGCAACATTTGTTTCTTTTGCTAGCAGTTACATTTGCTGTTATTCTGTATCTACTTTTTGCAGTATTTCCTCTTACTTGACCACTGACTCACAGAGTGACATTATTGAATTCTTATTATTTATGTTATCCAAATAATAGGGTTATATTTCTTTATTTTTTCCCCTTATGTGATTTAGGAGTTTTATTTACTCCCATCTAAGCAGAATCTATATTTACTCTGCTTATTCTTATTGCATACATTTTTTACACTATATTAATTAAAAGTGACATTTTATCTGGGTTACTCGTATTTCAGAAGGGTTCACCTACTAAATGGTTCTTCTCTCTATTCTAAAGTTAATTTGATATTTCATAGTTTTAGCGTAAACGAAAATGCAGCTGCTTTAAAAAACATTAAAGTTTATCCCGCAATTATGGATTAAAATCACTTTGTATTCTGTTTGAATCACTGACATTTCACAATTTAGTGAATAACTGATTCTCAGTGCTTAGAATAGTTGCATATGTTCACACATACTATCAGAACCATACGTTATCAGATAAAGCCAGATATTAAGAGCTGATGATCAGTAAACGGTAAAAATTCCACATTTACATATATTGAAGATAGTTTTATATAATAAATAACATGTTAGTAAATCACGTTACCTCAGAAGCAGTTTGTGTTCGTGGAGCTTGTCACAATTTCCTTGTAATGAAACAGGTTTCTATTCTCATGTTTGAACGAGAGCAAACCCCACCCATTTACAGGTTGCATGTGTGATGATGCAGTAGGCAAACAGGTGGAGCTGGTAGAAAGGTGAGGCGGCTCCTCAAACATTGCTTTAACCCCTTAAGGACACAACTTCTGGAATAAAAGGGAATCATGACGGAATATTTCCGTCATCTATCCTTAAGGGGTTAATCCGTTCTCAGGCACTGTAGCACCAGGAAATAAGCATCTCTTCAGAGTCACAACTAGAAAAAGCTTCAGGTGATAAGACACAGGTGTGTATTTAGTGTGCAGCACAAGTTCAGATGTCTCTTATCACAGAGATAGCAGTAAGTGATCTGTGCATTCAAAGAGGCTCCTGTATTACTCATTATAAAGAGTGTTAATCCCTAGTGAGAATTCAAGGTGAATTTAAAATTCAAGACCAAAATCAACAAACTGGAAAAATCCTCTTTGTTGCTATTTTTTCTTAGTTTAGCTACTCTGGCCTTTAGTGACTTTAGTAGACAACCCTATATGTGACATATTGAGAGCACAAGTGTCAATTCTGTTTTTTCTTTCCTTTCCCCCATAAAATGCCATTGAAGTATATAATAGGATGAGTAGTGACCCCTTGTGAGTGCATCTACTGCATATCACTCTCTGCTTCAGGGTAACCCCATATAAACTAGATATAGGCAGTGTGAAATAAGCTAAACACTGCTGTTGCTAAGCCATGCAAAAGGTGTCCAAGTATTAAAAATGACCAGTGATGCTCCACTGGTCATTTTTAATACTTGGACAGCTTTTGCATGCCTTAGCAGCTTGCTATCACTATAAATCTTAACGATCTCCCTGGGCAAATAGTCAGTTTCTATTTTTAGCGAGTAGTAGATGAGTAAGTATTGGCTATTTTAGGTAGATGATAGGCTGCCTTGAAGCAGCAGTGTTTAGCTTATTTCACACTGGCTATATCTAGTTTATGAGGAGTTACTCTGAAGCAGTTATTTACAGATTCTTTTAACCCCTTAAGGACCAAACTTCTGGAATAAAAGGGAATCATGACATGTCACACATGTCGTGTGTCCTTAAGGGGTTAAGCTATCTTTTCTATACTATTGGCTAATCTCTGTATTTTCAGGTTGTATCCTACATGTGACTACTTGTTCCTTCACTTATAAGCGGACCAATTTAAGTTTGCATACTTGTCTATCATCTATATATTAATATATTGGCTCTGAGCACTTGACCATAAGGGATATTATAGTAGGGACAATCTCATATTCAAATGTTGGTTTCCCGGCTGTTATAGTTTCTCAGCCTGGGGTTCACTGCATTGGATTACCCAATATATTCCAATTTCCTTTTCTTTCTATGGTTTCTTAATGACTAGTTAAGCTGATTAATAAGACAGACTTACTGGTTAACACCATACAGCAAGCATGTCAAACTCGCGGCCCAGCGAGCCGCGAGTACATGCTTGGTGTTAAAGCAGAGTAGGCACCTGCTTTCCCCACATTGCAGGTGCCTACTTTGCTAAAATTTACCTGGCCGGGGAGGAGGGCCAGCGAGGGAGCTCCGTGTTCCTGCTCTTAACTGCTCCCTCGCGCGCACCGTCTGTAAGAAACGTCATATTCCGGCACTTGGCATCACTAAACTGCACGCGAGGGAGCAGATAGAAGATTCCCACTGGACCCCAGGGAGAGGCCCAACATCAACTCCCAAAGGTAGGGAGAAATAAAGAGAATGATGTGTGTGCAAGAATGTGTGTAAATGTGTGTGTCTCTCAGTGAGTGTGTGTGTCTGTCAGTGACTGTGTCTGTCAGTGTGTGTCAGTGAGTGTGTGTGTGTTGCATTGGCTGCGAGTGGACAGTTGAGTACCTGGAGGTGCATAGAGGCACGCAACGCCACGTCACATTCCGACATGATATCGACATGCTCCACCTTCACAGGGTTTCAAGAAGTAGGAGGTGGATCAGATTTGGCACAGGGTGTGGACGGCGCCATTCGGGGTATACCAGAGGCTGTGCTCTGGAGTTGCATACTGGCAGTGCCAATGTGAGTGGAGTCTGCATGTTGGATAGAGGGGGTGCTGGGATTTAGTAGAGGGGGGGACTTGGATTTAGTATATGGGGGTGCTGTGATTTAGTAAATGGGGATTTATTTTTTTTACTACTTTACTTTTCAAAATAAACCTACGTTTCTATGAAAATGTAAGATTTTTTTTTGTTTGCAGCCCACATAAACTTAAACCTTGTTTATGCGGCCCGTGTTAGACTTTGAGTTTGACATGCTTGCCATACAGAGCCTTCTTTACTCTACAATTTCTGCCTATGATCCATTACACTGCCTTAGGATCAGTCTGCTATTCTTTATCTACAATTATCGTTATATATTAGATACTATATCAGGCTTTCCTAGCCCCCAGCAGCTCATAAGACTTAGCTGGATGCTTTTAATTTGTATGCAATTGTGCAACATAGTATCAGGTTAGCTTCATCTGCTTTTCTAGTCTATTTCCAAGCTGGGAGATCATTCTGATTATCTATAAAGGGATTCATCTGCTTGTTCAATTTTGTTTATTTTCTATTTTTTCACTTAATCACATTTTTCTGGTACTGTTTTTTTGTGTGTGTATTTTGTGTCATACTTATAGGGATTTAATAAAGTTTTAGTTTAATAAAGTGAATTATAAATTTATTTTTAATTCTTTATTTTTGTCAAACGAGGACAAAACAAAGTGATACATGTTCTGTGATGTAACTGTGCACATAGTACATCAACACAGAATGTATTCATACATGACGCCATATAGTGCACATTTTACATCAACAAAAAATGCAGGCACACATGACACCACATAGTGCGACTCGGTCGAATTATGCATAATGACCGTAAATCTTTAATTCACCTCAATGTTTTACACATCCACATTGTTTTTTGTGTGCATTGTTTCATTGTTTTGTTGTTTTTTTTGAAAATACAGATGCAAGACTGAGAGAAAGGCAAGTTAGTACAGAAAAGGTCTCTTAGCTCTGGCGGACCTTATTTCCGTGTCCTGGGAAGGTTGGACGCCTGCCGTGGAGGGAGGAATGGTGTGGGGGCGAGGAGGGGGAGGCGAGGAAGCGGGCAAGGGCTGTATTCATCGGCTCCTCCTTACCACTCTCCACCAGTTCCCGCCCGCGTCCCACCTCAGTCCGCAAGGCCGCTAGAGAACCAGGGCTCCCATATTTTCTCACACTTTTGTACCGTGTTCCTCACTTGCGCTGTCAGTTTGTTCATCAGGCACGTGTCCCTAACTTTATCAAGGACCTGCGGAATGGAAGGAACAGTAGGTTGTAGTCAGACCTGGGCCACTGCCCGTCTGGTCGCTAAGGTGACTTTCTGCAGCAAGGTTTGTTCTGGTCGTGTCCACCCATCTAATGGTCTATTTAAGAGGCACACCCATGGGGTTAGGTCCGGCTGTCTGTTAAAGAGGTTTTCCAAAATGTCTCCCACTTCAGTCCAGACTCCAGAGTGATCTAATCTGGGGGCATTCCCACCATATTTGGTGGTATGTGCCTTTGAGGCCGCAGCCCCTCCAGCGCAAGTTAGTTGGAGTTTGGTTCATGCGATAAAGTTTCACTGGAGTAGTATACCACCGAAACATAGTCTTATAGCATTGCTCTTGCAACGTAACGCATATAGAGGAAGACGCATCCGTCTCCCAGATATCTTGCCAGTCGATGCTCTCTAGCACCTGCCCCAATTCTGCTTCCCATTGAGAAATTTAACTTAGTTGCCCCCAGTCCCCTGTTTCCATGCACAGCTAGGCATTTAATAAGGTTATGAGGCCTCTCTGAGGAGTCTAATTCCGACACAGCCTTTCATAAAATGTCAATTGTTTGTGCGCAGCTTCTTTCACACGTCTGCTTTGCGTAATCCCTAATCTGTAAATATCTAAAAAAAAGTCAGCAGGGGTAAGTCTAGTACGATTCTTGAGGCACTATCTGACCCCCTTCGTATAGATGACAATATCTCTAGAGGCCTGCCCGTTCTATATTTTGGAAGTCCCGGGCTGACATACCTGGAGGGAATGCTCTGTTTCTGAGTATCAGAAAGATTGGGGAGGGTGAGGAAGATAGGCCAAATTTAGATGCTGTTGCATCCCAGATTCTAAGGGAGTTAAGTATGGCCGGGCACGTGGATCGTAATAACACTCTGCTCTCTCTAGGACCCCACATGCAGTATTGGGGGAGGTCCGCTCCTGTCATTAAGGACTCCAAATCGACCCATTTCCTAAAATCCACCAGTACATGCCACATTGCTATCCGTGTAAGCTGCACAGCTAAATAATAATAGTAAAGGTGAGGTAGACCCAAACCACCCCTCATTTTAGGGTGGTAGAGAACATTTCTGGAGACCCTGTGCCTCTTGTTCTACCATATAAATGAACCAATGGCGCTTTGAAGGGGTGCTAAATCAGTTTTCATAATCTTAATCAGGAAGGGCCTGGAACAAGAATAGAATGTTCAGTAACATGTTCATTTTTACGAAGTGAACACGGCCAATCCACGATATTAGTTTATCCTTCCAATTGTCCATGTCTCTAACCAACGTTTTGAATAATGGTCTGTAGTTCATGTCGTACAATTTGGTGGGATCAGCTGTTAAATGAGTCCCTAAGTATTTGAGAGAGCAATGTGCCATCTGAATGCTATAGGTAGATTGAATGTGTGCCATGTCTGCAGCTGACATACCCAAGGGAAGGGCGCTAGACTTGTTCATGTTTATAACCTGAGATGGATCCATACATCATCAAGAGATCTCAGAGTGCTGCCACAGACCCTTCCGACGTTTTTGTGAGTGATGTTAGAACATCAGCAGTGTATGCCGAAACCAAAAATTGTTTATCTCCTACAGTAATCCCTTTATTGTCCGGGTGTTCACAGATAGCTTGCAGGAGGGGCTCTAAAGACAATACCAATAACGGCGAGAGCGGGGCAACCCTACCACGTGCCTTTACCTAACCTAAAGGGTATGTTCGGGGGTTCCCAAGATGCGA